ATTTTCGAAGGCAGGCCGAGAGGATTTAGACCTATGATGCAGTCTGTAAGAACAACATCAATTGTCATAGGCTTTGCTGCGCTGTTGCTAGATTTGGAGGCCTTCTTAACGTTCTTTCCCTTGCCCTTTGAAGTTCGGGGTTGTGCCAAATCCCTCAAAGTAGCGACCGAAGCCATAATACTAGCTGACATATCATTCTCGGTTGCATTGTCGGCTAATCCAAGCATTACCATTAGCGTTGGTACGCGGTATTCGATCCTCAGATTCCATAGCTTGATCCTCACAATGGGCTCCATCTCGTCGCCGATTAGTCTAGCCATTATAGTTGGTGTGCGTAACGATGGCTCCATGAACGCTTGATCCATGCCTGCACCAATCAGCTCTTCAGAATAGTTCCGATAAGCAGAAACCGTGGCGACACTAAAAGCTACTAGCGATGGTATAGGAATCTGTGCCACTTCCAAATCGGTAGCTTTGAGCTGAAGACTGCCCAAAGTGTTGTTTACATCGACATTAACCCCAAGTTTCTTGACCGATACCAACGACAACAGACCGGGCCGATCGTCATCAGGTAGATACTTTGTGACGGTCGATAATCTTGCGATTTCTTCGCCCAATTCTGGAAGATAACTTAACTCGTGCAGGTTACCCATTTTGACTTGAAGATCATCCATGGTGAGTCGTAATACAGATCCTTGTTGTCGTTGACGAAGAAGGGTATCAAGGAGAATGTCGTCATCTTGATCGTACTTTGATTTTGACGGCGCGATCAAAGCTAATAAGCGATCTATGTCATTGTCCTTCGGTGCATTCAAAAGTTCAACTCGTGTTGAAGAAACATCAACCAGAATAGCAGGGTCTTCATTTGAATGCTTGAGATGCGGCCCGGACAACCTAATCTTGTTGATCGCGACTCCTATTCCTTCCTCACGACTGACTAATTTAACAGCAGAAGTCTCAACTCCAACACTGCATTCAGTGCCCACCAAGTCAAGAATAAATCCGCCAATTCTCACATCTGCTTTGTTCTGCGCGGCCACTGTCTTGTCATCGGGTCCTATGGGCGTATTGAATCTAACACCTCTCGACTGCGGCTTAGGTACGGGGTTAGAAGTGACGGTCGCATTTGAAGCCATAGAGCTACCAAGATTGAGAACGCTACTCAATCCCCCGAACCAGCTAAAAGTTTCATCTAGTCGCTGTAGGTCTACCGCCACGTGTAGGGGTAAAGTCTGTACTTCAAATCGAGTGCCATCAGAGCTTTGATACATATCGACAGAAACATCGATGCCAGCAGAAGCAGCAAGGTCACGAACAGAAGCTCTCATTTGCAGATTAGCGTTAAAAAAAATGATGTTTTCTTGAGCATAGCCGAAGAGAAATTTTTGTAGTGTTATGCTGGTCTTAGTTGTAGAACCTGAGGGCTTGCGGGATATACCAAGTCCCTTCAATGTAGTCCTGAGAAGAACATCCGAATCTAATGTCTTTGCTTGTGATTCTGCAGCCCGCGAGCCTAAAGTTCCCTGAAGTTGTTCTAGAAACCTAAGTGAAATCTCTTTGGCACTGATCTTAAGATGTGGTTCGGTAGAGCTGGACGTAGGTCTGCTTGACGCAACGGCTTGTGGCTCCTGTTTCATAGATTCTTGAATCTGGCAAACAAGCTTGTAAATTAGCCTACCTACAGATACGTCAAATCGAGCCAGTAAGTTCCCCACATCAACTTCAATCGATCTGTCCTCTTCAACCTTCTTCGCTGGCTGTACTGGAACCCGGGGTGCTGGTCTGGGTGATGGCCGCGAAGGCTGTTTTTTAGGTAAATGCGCGGAAAACGCCCCAGGAAGTTCCATTGTTTTTGAGCGCGATGAGTCACTATTGCCATCGAAAGTACTGCCGAACAATGCAGATTCAGCAACAGCATCCACCGGATCAGAAGAAGGATTGTTCATCGCTGGTATATAGATAGCGATCTGGTCAAGGCTGAAAATTTGCTTCGTCATTCGGCTATAGTCATCAGCAGAAGCAGTCGATTCCACAGAAATATCACTTGAAACTTTTTGCAATGGCGGAGATTGACGCGGTGTTTCCGGACGCATAGAACCAATGCTCCTAGTTGACTTATGCAGTGATCCCGATGGAAGAATTGCAGATTTCTCGAGTAGCGTTGCGTCCGAAGCTCCATCTAGAGGAACAGCATGACGAGCATTCTCAAGATTATCGAGCTTTTCCCTTCCCGGATCAGAGGTTCTTGGAGTAGCCGGAGGAGATTTTGCATCTTCGCTATCTGTACCCGAATCTGCCCAGCCACCAGGAATTGGGGCAACAGAAGTATATGAGACGGCACTCATATACATGCTTTCCGCGTCTTCGTGGCTAAACAACTGAGACTGCGCAAGGTCATCTCCCACATCCTCGTTGAGAGTTGAGCTTACTGAGCTGTCAGCCTCACTCATGGCATCAACTTCCGAAGGAGAAACCGGTTGTTGGACGGGATAGCTTCTATCAAGTGGTGCGGTACTGGATCGGAGTGTGGGCTGTGAGTGAGAAACTCGTTCCACAGAGAATCTGGTATGGGGCCTAGGTGGTAGCATGGTAGACTGCAACATGTTATGAGCTCTATTAATGCTATGGAATTGATTGAATCCAAGAGTCCGACTAGAGGATGGGGAAATATGAGTTGAGGCTCTAGGCGTTGAGGTGTGCGAGTTTTCGCTGGGTGCACTATGCCGCTCCTGTTCGTATTGGGATGATGAGGAGCTCAAATCGTCTCCCTCGTGATCATCCAAAAGCTGAGAGTCGGTAATTTGGTCGAGATATGCAGAATTATGAAGAATGCTATCTCCCATCTCACTACTATCTATATCCTCATGCACACTAACGGAACGATTGGAATTTCCATCTTCCGATGCATCATCGAATCGTCCACCGTCAGTAGCAGAAACTGAAGCTTTTAACGAGGGTGAGATCTTCAGAGGCCGTGGGGGTGTTGACGGACGTCGTATTTCCGGTAGCGAGGTCTCAGAAGCTCGTAGGGATGAAGCAGGCGATGGATGGGGGCTAGGCGAAGCTACTCCATCAAATGCACGCACACTTCCAACAGACATGGTTTGTGTCTCTTCTGATGATCGACTCTTTTCGGTGGCCCGCCTAGACTCGGATATATCTGAGTGTGGGACTACTGGCGACAAAATTGAGGATGATCGGGACAGAGTTTGGAATAGATTAGCCTCCGTAATCAAGGCTCCTCGAATATTGCTTAGACAAATAAGTTTCTTTCCCTCCTTGAACAACGACGTAATGTCCTTCCCGCCTCTTGTTTGAGCAGACTCAATATCGTGTGTGACGCCCTCGATATCTACATCATCAATCTTTAATTGCACCGTAACAGGGTCCGTGGTACGATTTGGCGTTGGTCCTTCCGCGGGAATATCGACATCCACATTGAAGGTAATACCATGTACCCGTACCTGTAACCTATCTACAATCCCCTGCAAGAATCTAGCCATGAATGCAGGTAAAGATAGAGCTGTTCCAGTCCCAACAGGTACTTCCAAATCTCCATCCTCACTAGATGTAACAGACTCTGATATATCCTGAGTCTCCCCAAGGATTGCAGCCTCCAACTCTGCCTTCTCTTCCCTCGGCTCTGTTTGTAGGAATGATGCCGCGAGACCCTCCGCCGTCGGAAGTGCAGGATCTGGGCCTGGGCTTCTGGATATAGACTTCTTCCGTAACCGATCATGATTCGTCCTCGAACTGTATGCGCCCTTCTCCTCCTTTACCCTCAACTGCACATCCACCCCATCAACCTCCACCAATATCGGGCTACTATATATATCCACCGGTATCGTAAGTCGCAGCAGCAGTACTTTAGCTTTACTCAATGCGATCGTAGATGGGAGTTGCAGTAACGTCTCGAGTTTCTAAATATCGCACATTAACATCATATTCCCCATCATCCTTCAAACCCCAAATGACGACATAACTACCTTTAACCTTAACCCAACATCCTTAAACTCAAATGTGCTATTCTTTCCCCACGCGATATCCAAGTTCTCCAAATCCAAGGCATCAGTATCAAGAATCTCTAACCTCGAAAGCGCATATTGGAGCAGCCGTTTAGGCATCGAGGATGCTTGAAAGTAACTTTGAAAATAAGACGCCATCTTTGCTTGCGACTTTGTTATGTAAAGGATTATTAAAAGTTGTTAGAAGAATCAAAGCCTCCAAGCAAGAATGTCTTGGAGAATGCCAGGAAGAAAGTAAGTAAGAAGTTCCCGTGTATTTGGTGGAAGATCCTGTCTTAAGAGGAACGGCGGCTCCTGACATCGACCTCGTGCACTATTATTGTCTGGTGCAAGATGAGCATCATACTTGACTGTACCATGGACTTTGTAGTTGTTACGGCTCAAGTAAGTCAGTAATAATGACTGAATGTACTCACTCGCCACTGTTGAATTGTAAATTCCCTACAGTACCATTTGATTGAATCCCACTTGATTGAATCAAATGGTTTGTTTGGTTGTAGGTGAGAAGGATGGTGGATGGTTTAGGTAGAAGATTAGATTGTCTGGGTTGCCATTTGTTTTCGGGGTAAATCCTTATCGATAAGAAACAAACTAAATTTCCTGTGTGCAGGTATAGCTTCTGACGTGGATATGATGGACGCAGCACATATGATGTCTAAATGATTATTATCGTATTTATCGTAGTACTTTACCATATATCCTCGTTGGATCTCTACTGCCCTTCTTCTGGTTGTTATCACACAGATCGTAAATCACAATATACAGGATTAACTTCAGGGGGCTCCTGCGAGTCAGTGCTGAATGCATGACCGTTATATAGGCGGTCAAAGTCCGGATGATGATATCTTTCAAGACAATCTTGTACGAGGAAACCTTGAGTACAACCATGATCTTCGTGCCATATCATGTTCATAACGTCAGACGAGATATCAATTACAAAGTAGCTATGAAATAGAGTTATTATTCTTATCTATTTTCTGATATGCTTTCAATGTTGAATTCCCACTTTCAATCAGGGTATTTTATACTTCCCCAATCATAACCTAAATCGCCGTGTTGAATGCATGTAGCTCCTCTAAACACAAATGCTCTCAACTCCAGATGGTCCATCATTCTCAAACTTACTAGATTCAATCCTGAGCAGCCAGAGGACCATCTCCATCTTCTCTAATTTTCTTCACACTATCCCCATCATCTCCAAACTCCGTCACTATCCACAAGCAAAACTGTTCCCACTCCACACTCCATTCTTGCAATCTCTTCGCCCTCACACCATTTCCAGTTGAAGCATCCTTGACATCCTCCAACCATTTGGCATTGTTTTGATCCTCGAATGCAGCCCATCTTACACTATTCTCGGCCAAAGAACCCAAACCAGCAAGCCCAAGATTATCCCAACCTTGCAGAGCTTGCCAGAAATCATGCGTCATACCATTAACATCCTGACCGAGAATTGACGGGTCGTCATTACAGAGAGAGCAAGAAACTCCTCGAGCGAGAAGTGCTGGAAGGGGATGTGACATGATGGAAGCGCAAAGACGCAGAACCTCGTTTGAGATTGGACAACTCTCTACAAGAATCTTCTTTTCCTTAACCAAATCAATTAATAAAGGATGTTTGTATAAGGAAAACCCATGGCCAATTCGACGAGTTCCAAGTAGGACGGCATCGAAGAGATTTTCATCTGTATCGCTACCATCACCAAGACATTCTCCAGCATGGAAGAAAAATGGAATCTCCACTCCCTCTTGGGCACACTGTTTTCTGAACCAGAAAAGTTCAGGGAGTAGATCTTTCAGTGGCCTTCCTGCATCTTCTTGGCCAACTAGATCGTACCCAGATACGAGCTCCGGGTAAGTCATCTTGATGGTTAGGCAAGCATCCATATCTTCCACAATTTTTCTTGTATCCAAAACTCGAAGGCCAGTCCAAATCATCCTCGCGCCCCAGAAACCTTTTCCCTCTTCTGATGCCTTAAACTTTTCAATCTCCTCTCCGAAGACCCTGAACATATTGCTGTATGTATCATCTGCTTTTTCTTGTCCTTCACTATAGTAAAAGAAAGTGAAAGCCAGTCGTAAATCCACCCATTTAACGCCATCAGCAAGTAAACATTGCATCATTCTCTTCATGAAAGCTCTAAATATAGGCTCATAAAAGATGACCGTGTTGAGAATCGTGAAAACCGAATTAAACTTCCTCCATACTGCATCAACACCGTGATGATGTTCAATAGACTCAGTATCAGTAATAGTGCACCGACTCCTCAGCCAACGCAGAAACCCATTTCGCCCACCATCAGGGAAAGCCTTCGCAGCATCCTTCAAAGGCACGAAACTAAACGGTTTATACTCCTTCTCCCAAATCTCCGCACCATCCCCATCTCCCTTCTTTCTCCATCTAAACTTAACCGGACCCGCTTCCCTACTCTCAGGCGAATCCAAAGCTCTATCACAAAAAATGCACATACCCTCCGTCTTCAATAACTCCTCAAACAAGAAATCATAATCAACCATTGCATCCATATGAGCATGCAAAAGAGCACCCTTGGGCATCTTCTTCACAATCTGCCATAATTTCGTTTGTTCCATTCTTTCCTTGGCCAGACTGAACATCATACCCGTATATATATTCTTCCCCGTTTCTTGCGCAACATGATTTTCGAATTCCGAGGTCCAGATCGACGCTTGTTCTTCGAGACGGATGCGAGAGACGATATTGCAGGCTTCCTGAGCGAGAGGTGAAAGAGCGGATTTGAATGCATAGTCTGTTGTAAAGAGTGTGTAAGTATGCAAGTCCAAGCGAAAGTAGCTAGTTTATTGAAATGTTACAAACCGCTGCGTTGCTGCTTCTCTTGATCTATAAGTGCTTCTCTCCCACCAATATACTTGTTAATGACCGGCTCATCCTTAGCAGGAATACCAGCAGCTATTTCGGCATATTCATCATCTGGTATTCGCGAGGGCCACGGGAGATCCTTGACTCTTGACATGATTTTGGACAATCAAAACTGGGCTGGCAAACTGCGAAACTGAAACTGAACTGATTTGAAGAGGCTCAATAGCTAAGCTTGCAAAGTACGATAATTGAGTAATGAAGCTGTACGAGAATTCGAAAAGCTCAAATAGTGAAACTATCCAAATTATCTTCTCTCTTCACCAACAATTCTTTCAGCCCTCAGACTTACATAAAATCGCTCAATAATCTAAGTATCTAATCAGAATGAATCATCGGCGAAAAAGTTTACAGAATAGGTAGGTAGTCTTACCTAGTAGCTGTTGCATGGCACAAAGCAGGAATGGGGGATGGCGGGGTCATTCTGATAAGAGCGATAAGCATTCGTTAAGAGTTTCCTGGCTTACTAAAATTACCCCTGAACGACATAGATGATGTTACGTATTGGTGTGACTTTGAAAAGTATGCAAATTAAATGTTGGATGAGTCCTGATTATATATAGTCTTGATACATGATTTGATATTATCAATGCTCTGAATAGATTCAAGCATTGAAATATATCTATCATTTCCAATGGATTCAAAGCATCCAACGAATACAATACATCTATCAAATGAAAGTAGAACTAACCCAAGAACTTGTCTACATTAACTACCTAGGTACCTAGTACGTCATGTACTTCTTATGTTTGTATTCGCTCATCAATAATAGAACATTCCGAAAGCCTAAAACAAATATGATTATACTGCGCCTGGCTGCATAGCTCCCAAAATGTCGACCTTGGAATACCTCAAAGGCGCTCGCTTTTCCCGACATACCTTTCTCCATACCATATATCTGTAACAATTATCTACAACATACTCTTTGGCATATTTTTTAGCGCCTGTCTTACTCCTAGATCACCCAGAACCTCCTCGGCTCCACCCAAAATAGCATCGAATTTGTACCTATTACGTGTCAATAAGATCTTCACATCTAAAAGTCTCAAAGCATATGTATAATACTCACGTTCTATGGAACATCTCAATAGTCCTTCCCATACCACTCTGTGTAAGTGCACGACCACCAAATATCTGCACAGCTTCATCCGCACATTCATGGGCTGAACGAGTAGCGAACATTTTAAGGAGACCAATTGGACCAGCTAGATGCGTGGCTTGTTGTTTGTATGGCATCAGCGTCATTTGATAGGTGATGTTTTCTAACCATGCTTGGTTTGCCTCGCAGTGAGATATCATCTTAGCCAGCCTAGAAGGGTCAGTTGAGAGCATTATCTAGATATGAATAAAACTTACTTTTGACGGATGACTGGTTGATCAGTCAACTTCTTACCAAATACCAGTCGTTGGTTACTCCATTTAATACACTCCTCTGTTACTAAGCGCATCATACGAGTGACCCCAGCAGACATCATCCATCTTTCGTGGTTGAAGTTACTCAGAATAACATGTATACCCTTATTTTCCACACCCAAAAGATTCTCGACTGGGACCTTTACGTTATCAAAAGTAATAAAGGCTGTTCCAGCTGTAGGAGAATAGGATGTTTTGATAGGTGTTGTCTCAACACCTTCGCCTCTTTCGATCAAAATAACAGAGAGTCCCTTATCTAGAAAGTGCATTAGTATGGGGTGCAGTACAAAATATGAGAGGTAACGCTACCTGTCTTGACACCAGTAACAAAGTAATCGCAAAATACTCCGTTGGTAATCCATTTCTTGGTACCATTTACGATATAGTGCTTTCCATCCTTAGTCTTTTCCGCAGTTGTTCGAATGCCTGCAACATCAGATCCAGCAAATGCTTCTGTGATAGCCAAGCAGATCTTCTTCTTTCCACTGAACACCTCCGCGGCGATTTTGTTCTTCCATGCCTCATCATTGGCAAATTGAAGAACTGCCGTCAAGGAGATAGTCATACCAGCCTAACATCAAGCGTCAGTCATACATCGAGGCAATTAATCGCGAGGACGTATAATGATAACTAACCATATTACCATCCGCAAAGCCCCTCGCATTGGCGCGAACCATCTCCTGACAAACAATCATGTCATGGAAATAATCGAACTCCTCCCCTTTCACAGCACCATCCATAAGTTCAACGCCATTTAAATGTTTTCCTGGACCCAATCTCATATGCAAGATTCCCGCCTTCGACATCCGATCAATCAAATGTTGAGGAATATGTGCACCTGTCTTTTCACATTCCTGCGCAACGGGCGTAACATATTTATCGGTAAAAATTCTCAATGCCTTCTGTAACCTCCTATGGCTTTCCTTATAATAAGGACTCTTGAATTGTGGAGTTAACCATGTAGGTTCTCCATATGGCACAACACTCAAATCCCCAATATTCTGTTCGATGACTTGCGATTTCTCCCCTTCGATCGTGCCGATACATAGATTCGAGTATTTTTGTAGGACTTCTTGTCGATGTAGATTATAAAATGCATCTGTTGCGTCTGTGCCGGCAACTTGCTTTAAGACCGATTCTCCACCTGGATGGGCATCGACGAACTCGGTGACATCGTAGACCTTACTGTCGATTATGAACCAGAGTGATTCCTCAGTGTTGTTTTTGGAGACTTCGTCCCGTGTGAGGGTGTGATGTGGCATTGTGATATGCTGAATGAAAGTAGGGTCGATGATAGTATGCTGCTTGAAATAAGACAAAATGGGGAATCAAAAAGACAAAATAAGCAAGAGAAGAGAGTTATCGAGTGAGCATATTCTGGGGAACCGTTGGAACCGCGCCTTGATTACTACCAAGGTATGTACCGAAGCTGGGGTAAAATACCGAGGCTCAAGCAGCCAATCGGGGTTCTTTGAATTACAACCAAGCCATGCAATTATACTCCGTAGTTTCGGCTAATTAAAGTTCTTGCGTAACCTTAGCTAAGTTACCTAGTATTAAATCTGAGTTGCAACATCTTCACGAAGTCACAAATTCGACGCCATGATATCTAACAGCTAGCAAACTCAACCCTGGTCCCAAGTCATGATGGAAGCTCACCGGGACTTTTCCGCACCTCATCCAGGACTGATTACCAATATAATGTTCAAATCACACTCACTGGTGGTCACTGGCGATGTTACACAATCGATCTCGACAAATTCTATTTATTAAATTGAAATTAACTATGCTACAAGTATAAATACAAGCGCTAGCTCTATCCTCCACCTGTAGGTCACCTTCTTTCTCTTTAAACAATCCACATCTAATACTTGAAATTATTCATGCTGTGCAAGATTCCATTCCTCAAATATGCAGACTCCCGATCAACGATTTAATAACCTCATATTGTTCCTCCCTGAAATTCTCCACCATTAGTGTATTATTCTTAGCCCCGAAGTTCATAAGTTGTTTTCCTTCATTCCAGAGCGGCCAGTGAAGTGTCGCATTTCCATTTCCAGGGCCAACATCGCGATTCGGATCCCCGTTCTCCACAAAATTAAGATAATAGCCCTGGATAGTCTCTTGAGGGAAGCCCAACTGCTTTCCGTAAACTATCGGCACATCAGATCCATGAGCCGTTCCCACTGTCGGAGTTCCATAACCATAAGTCGCAAGATATGAGTACTTTGGTACATGCGGTTGTATACTCTCTGCATGCTCCAAAAACAGACGTCGGATAAGCGTGAATGAGATATCGCCCGTTATGGCTGCCAAACGCTTGTATTCTGGGAAAATGTTATTGGCAGAACCAGTACCGAATGGGGAACCAAAGGAAGGATCATCGGGGTAAGCAGAGACGAGGGTGGATATTTGGGAGGAGTTAGCGGAGGAGTAGACGACGGTGTGGAGAAGGGTCTCTAGTTCAGCAGTTGTGTTGGGCGATGCGTTTTGGGAGAATATTGTTCCTTCGTCTTCTTGGTCGCCGATTATCATTGGTACAGGGGCGAATTGTCCGCGCAATGCGAGGACCTCGGCGGAAGCTGGGAAGACTCCTCCCTCGTAGTCGGGGCGTGGGAGGTAAGGGATTGAGGTGACGGTGTATGCTGGCAGTGAAAAGAGGGAGACGGTAGCGGCTAGATATGTTTCGTAGGAGACGCCGCGGAGACAATTTAGGGTGTCAGTGGAATTTGCACAGCCCGCCGCGGAGACAACTAGGCCGTATGATTCTTGTGCACGTGGCCCATCGATGGGTTCGGCGGGTGTGAGGGAGCCAGAATCCATGATCGCACCGCGGAAAAGTGGTTTGTTTTTGTAATGGTATTTTCCGCCATATAATGCCATTTGATAAAACACAGAAATAGATCCGGCAGATTGACCCCAAATCGTGACTTTGTCAGGGTCGCCTCCAAACGCTGCAATGTTGTCGGCGACCCATTCAAGACCGAGTCTTTGGTCCAAGAGTCCTAGATTTGCAGAACCATCTTTGTAAATCTCGGAACCGCCTAGGAAGCCAAACCCACCGATACGGTAGTTAACGGCTACGTAGATGAAGGACTGATGGCGGGAGACGGAAGTTTGGATGAATTGAGTTCCGTCGAAAGTTTGGGTAGATCCGGCTCCGAAGGCACCGCCGTATATCCAGAAAAGAACAGGAAGTTTGGAGTCCTTGGTAACATTTGAGGGGCGTTGGATGTTGACGGTTAGACAATCCTCTCCCATTGGATTTGAGGAGCGAGCTTGAGGACAGGCTGTGGGGATGCTGGTGGCTTGAATAGTGCCAAGCTGAGTGGTGATAGGCGTTGGAGGCTTCAAGCGTAGTGGTCCGACGGGTGGTTGTGCATAAGGAATACCTTTGAAGGTGTCGACTCCCGCCGTAAGATTACTAGACCCGATGATTTGAGCATTTGATAGCTGGACGCTAGGTGCTAGTTGGCGTTTCTCTGGAGCGGGTAAGGCTGAAGTGAGAGAAGCAAGCAAACACGTGGTGATGCCTAGGAGATACATGTTGTTTGGCTCAAAGACCGAGACTGTATCTTGAATATGATTTCCAGAATAATCAGTGAGATATCTTGATGGGAATGAGGGAACAATCGTTATTATATATAGGTCCTCAGTGTCGTTTTAAGGGCCCTTTCGGCCGCCGAAGTCCGTCGTCCCCAGTCCACTAATGCACTCTTTCAAGCATATGTCAAAATACTAATAGATTGTCTAGTAGACATAGCTATACCGGATCGATAAGACCGATCAGCCAAATTCGGTGTGACGACGTTTCTGGTATAAAAAGAGATGTATAAATTTTTATACAAGACTTATCTAGATTCTAGACTTTTATTCTATAATAGTTCTATATCAAAAGGCTCAAAAGTGTATTTTCATCGGCAATTATATTGAATTTGATTAAAAACTATTTAATTAATTAATATATATATATAATATCTCTAGGAAAACTAATCAAATCAAGAAAAATTTATAATGTAATCAGGTTCTCAATACGTTAACGATAATCAAGAACATAAAGAATTAGCCGATAAAAATAACTCACCTATACCGAAGGCCATGATAATCAAGTTCTGTCAATTTTAAAAAGCATGTGAATACTTTACAGATTAGAAAATGATATTCAAAGAGTGTAGAAAGATAATCATCTAGGACCGTACTGTTGCGACCTGACGGGCCAGTTTAAGCGAAAGTGGAAAGACTAAAGTCCTAAATTAGAAACTAAGTTTGTTCCTGTATATCAAAACCAGCCTCCTCTTATATTTTCAACATCTATTAAAGTTTTAATCTATGTTTATCAAATTTCGGTGTTTTAACAACGTGAAAAAGAATACAAGTCGTCTGTCTGTCTGTCTGTCTTCGCTATTTCTACTTCAGAACGGCATCCGATGATTTTGACGACGAACTCTACTCTCTTACTCAAGATTCTAAATATCCCGTGAAATAATCCCTTGAATCACAGAATACAATTTCCAACCCCATTCTTCCCCAACTCAAACAAGCTTGTCTGAAAAAGGGAAAAATAAACTCGCCAAAAAGATGACGAATAAATCCAACAAATCCAAATAAATGAAAAACAACTGCCGAAACCTTCCCAATCAAGCACTGCGTAAATGAATGTTGAATGCCGGGCATAAGATTTACCCGAAAATAAATTGCGAACGCCACAAGCACCCAATCACTCAACGGGGATAAAGAATACTGCGGAAACATTGCGGGAAGTCCCTTGGGGTCAGAACGCGGGGTGCGGAGATATCTGCGGCGATTTTCTACAAATATACTGTACTATACTTTACAGAATCACAGGTCCACCACACCACCACACCACCGATGTCCCCGGACCCCCGCCCGGGAAGGGCTTCATCTTACTGCATTTGACACTTTGTGCATTGCCGCGCGTCGGATGCTCTGCTGTGTTCGTGAATCGTGATGGATCGGCATGAGTTGTGAAGTTTTGATAGTCAGTCTGTATGTAGTAACAGCGCATTTGTCATGTATGTACATCTTCTTCTACTTTGTAACATTGCAGAGTGGGATATATTTGAGTATCGTACATACACACATACAGACATACATACAGACATAATATCAAGAAAAAAACGATCAGTAATCGCAAACCCCTAGATATTTACACGCTAGATATGCACTGCATGGTAGATGATGAGTCTCTTGACAAGTTGACTGATGGATGTACAGTGTAGGAAATATCCTTAACCGTTAGAATAACAGGCTGAATTGTGCATGCATCCATCCGAGGCAGTGTTCCTTCTCATCAATTACTGGTACCGATATGTTACCTTCCTCATTGAATGTTACTGAAGAGTGAGTGAGTGATAAGTATCCCATAGTTTCTAATGAATTAGTTGCTTTTATTATTTGCTGTTTATGAACCATATCGCACTCGCCTCTACGTAAAGCTTGTAAATGGGGTACTGACTCTTGAGGGCAATACCGAATAATCTGAGCAAACTAGATTACGCACGTCACTTGGACAAACATGTTCACCGCCATTTTTGTGTTTCATGTCGATTTACTCGCTAAATTTGTCTACGAGTACATAGAAATCAGTAAATGCAAAAGGTGAGACCAGCAGCAAGTTATATATGTAGCTCACCTCCAATCCCATTCCACCCCGTTCCAATATCCATACCATACCATGCCTTATCCAATTGCTCCTTATAAACCATACGCTGTAAAATGCCACTCCATCATCCACGCCTGGAATTCGTAAATCATAGTATTCAAGCACAATCTATATCTGCTCATCTTCCCCAACGCCTTCATGATTCTCCCACCTCCTCTTGACCATGCGAACCCATCTCCTTCTCCTCCATTCTCCCCTCCTACCCACACCATCAACATCACTCGCTTCCTCCCAACTAACCGGCACGCCTTTCTTGCCCTTCACACTTCCCACATTACTACTGCTGCCCGCATCCAAAACGCCCACAGATTCCTCCTCTTGTATTTCATACTTAATATCATAAACCCATCTCTCCCCTTCAGTTTCAACTTCAACCCCGGTGATAATCCTCTCTTCAACCCACTCCCTACTCCACAAATCTAGCGCCCATTTCTTCTCGCTCCATTCCCAACCTCGAGGACTCTTTACATCTTCGAAAAAGCGACAGCCTACCGGTCTCCCTATTTCAATCCGCATACTACTCAAAGGATCATAGGGTGAGGTGCAGAATAACCAATGTTCCCATTCGCCAGCGCGCGAAAGTTTTTGCAATTCGAAAATCTCTACCTCCCGAGTCTCGGGAGATGAATCGAGGATAATGTCGCTAGCTATGAATGTTTCGAGATTAGTTTGAAGAGGTCTAGCACGTGGTTGTACAATGGTGGTGTGGGTTGTGAGCATTTGACGCTGAATGGTAGGATGACCGAGAGACGTTATGGTCCAGCCTATTGTTAGGAAGATGAAGCGCCATGGCATGAGATGGGAAGCGATAAACATGAATGCTGCAGTTACTACGAGGAAAAGAAAGAGAGTGGATGAGAGCGGCTCGTTGGAAAAGTTTGTGGAAGGGGAAATCAGGCTGATTATTTTATCGTGTAGTTGGGAGAAATCTTCCATGCAATTTTGGAGGTCGCGCATATTTCGGAAGAAATCTTTGGAAAGTTCTTTGACTGGTTTGACAGTTGGAGCTGGGGCTATTGGCGGACCTGTCGTGGAATATGTGAAGGAGTCTGTAGTGATAGTTGTAGGAGGGGCTGGGTGACGAGCTATGAAGGAGGGTATGAGGACGGCAAGGAGAAGAACCGCCAGTGGGAGGACGGTAAGGAGATAAGGATCTAGGCAGACGAATGTATATACTGCAAGAAATGAGAGAGTATGCGACCATTGTTTCCAGCTTAGCAGACGTATCACTTTGGCTTGAAAGACGAAAACCACCCCTATTCTTGCATTGAACCTTCTGAAATTATTCGACATGGTCGTAACGTTAAAGGCAGGTCTTTCGACAAAGTTCGTAGTAGTCGCAGGGGCATCTTTGCGATTTTCACTGAGATCCTCGATTGGTATGACTTGTTGTAATAATCTATTATAGTCAGAAGAATCCTGAGAGGGAAACGCTGCAGTATAGGATCTTGGCATACCTTTCAAGTAATCTATCTTGTACACTTGCTGATTTTTCTGAGGCTTTACTGTGCGCTCTTTTGAGATTCTCCTTCAACCCCGATTTATGCCTCTTTAATCGCTCTCGCGCACCTTCTTTGCCAGACACCCCTTTTGTATCTTCAATATCATCATCAAGGTCGTCTCTAGAATCTAATCGTATGACCGGGATAGGATCATCACGATTCACAAACGCATCTGCTGTAAACTCATCCATTTTCTGAGACTCGGGAGTATCAAGCTTATTCGATAGGATTGACGGGTCGTGTCTGAGAGGGAGTTCCGACGATCCTTTATAAAGATCACTGAGGGGACTCTAGTCATAGAACCATGTGGCTGTAGTGTTTCGTTTCTGCACCGTCAGTAATGTTCCAGTTCCTGTAGATAAACAACATGCTTCGAATTAATTAAGTATCGATTGCAGCATTAAAAGTTAAGTTGAAGTGTATCCAATTCAATAGACATTGTCCACAAAGCTCAAACATCTCAGTGTTTGAAGTTGACGGGTTTAGCGATCAATGAACTACGAAAAAGCCATGACGTTTTTGCCGCCGGCCGCCCGCAATTGGACTGGAAGTTTTGAATCGTTTTTTGACTGGATTTGAATGACTTTTGACTGGATCGAGAAAATAGCTTCCGTTCTCCCGCGGTTGACAGATTGGATTGACAGATTGGATTGACAGATTGGATTGACAGATTGACTGACTGACTGACTGACTGACTGACTGACTGACTGACTGACTGACTGACTGCTCGACTGCTCGACTGCTAGGCTGACTGACTTAATCCAGGAACCATAATTTGGGATCTACAGTGTTGATTATGGCACAGTACGGTACTTCCGTCTTTAGGAAGCAAATTGAAATATTGTCCCTCGTATTGTTTTTCAGATTGAAAATGTTGAGAGAAAAAAGGTTTTCAATTTTTTATTTTTTTCAATTTTCTCCCCATGACCATGACCATGACTGAGAGGGAAACAGAAAGTACCTAAGAAAGACCTGTGCATGATCGATAAAATGAGATGGATGGGATAAGGTTCATACCACAAACACTGCTGTGTGACCCCTTTTCCAATATAGCCACTGGTGAACCTTTGATTATCACACAATGCTACTCGAGTATGAATAGCATCATAATCACATCTTCAAATTTAAGCCGGTTTGTCGTTGAAACATGGGTTTAATAATCTTCTTATCATTATTCCAGAATTCTCTCTTTTCTCCCAAACACATTCTGCTCACGTCAAGGGTTCATCACAATTTGGCTCAGTCAAACTGGTCTTACCTACTACTCCGTAGATAATGATGGGCAGGTGGTCGATGAAAACTACTTTTGAAAAAGGGGTGTGACATTTTTCTTTTTGCACTGTTGTACAATCTCTATGGCTTGGTGGATCTGTACCTCACAGAGTGTGATCTTTAGGTACATATGGGACGCAGTAGTGAGGATTTACTCCGTAGTTGTTGTTGCCATGGTGTACAAAAATTGAAGCCGAGTAGGGCAGAGACCTCCATGGAGAATAAAGTCTCCATAAGACTGCAGATGGTACGGAGGATGTAGGAAAAGAGTAGAGTGAAGCTCAGCTCAACACAAGACAACATTAATCTTGGAATGAGAAACATGATAACATGATACAAAGTAGATAAGGTAGAACAAGTTAAGTCATAGGTCATAATAATATAACTTCACTGCAGACAAGCTTTTCGAATTAGACATATAATCATATCAACCATTGATCAACCTTGAACATCCGCATCAATTTATCAATTATCAGTTATCAATTATCAATTATCAATCATCAATCCATCAATCATCAATCCATCAATCATCAATCATCAATCATCAATCATCAACCATTCAACCATCAACCATCAATATTTGATACTCGGTATATCCAGTAATAAATTGACCCCGTAAACAATTACACATAGGTAATCCTCATTAGCATATACTCGAGTAGTAAAATGATAGATAAAATCATGGTCACATAATCCTTATCCATAGTAAAATAATATGAAGCATTAAAAGCATTAAAAGCATTGACAAGTAATTAACTTGTAAATTATCTGGGTACTTATTACTGACGGTTCTGACTGTTCTGACTGTTCTGACTGCCCTAGCTGTCCTAACTGTACCAACTTGATTAAGGGCAATGGGGTTGGTCTCAAGGAGGACCTCCGCAGAGACGAAGTTGTTGTTAGGATGAGAGAGACAGAGAGAGAGAGACAGAGAGAAAGAGGAGATTCAAAGTCGTCCTGACCGCTAAGATTGTCAGATCCGGAGCAGTAACCCTAGCTGTCATTGGTTCATTGAAGGATTTCTTATATCTTTTCCAATTTTGATAGGCTCAAAGCTTCTCGCTACAAGTCCCAAAAATCATAATACGCTCTCTGCCTGTTATGTCCTGTATTCTGTACACACAAAATGGCCGTACAGAATCTAGATCCACTTTTAGTCTCTATGGGCAACGGAACGGAAGACCTTGACCTTGACCTTGAACCTTACAAGTTACCACCTCGAATGAATATCTAAAAAGGTACGGGAACAACCAGTCTTTCATCCCATTCGCAGTACTATAGCCAGTACTATAATCATACCGGGAACCTACATCCTTTCAATCCAACCCCAAATATTGTTCAATATCTGCAAACCTCTACTTTCACGCCCATACGAATAGAGCACAAATACACCACGGTACAGCATCTACCCACTTCCCCAAATCACCACTTAACATAATCCACGACCCTTGACTCTGAAATATCTCGAATCACAAATCAAAATAGGATACGGGTCAATTGACGCGCTTGATTTCTGTGGAGAAGAAAAAAGGTGGTGAGAGACTCAGATAGCTTTCTTCTTTAATTTACCGGGTAACCATTTACAACGACTTCCCTGTTTACTATACCCACGACGGCCATTTGAAATGAGATAGTCTATCGACAAACTCGGCCCTTAAACGGACTGAGCTCAAGGAAGGAAAACCTTTACTCAGAGATTACTTTCCGTCGCTGGCTCCCCCCAGCGACCTTAGTTCCTCATCTATGATTCGGGAACAGAGGGCTCCTTCAGGTCCACGACCAGACCTTTCGCCTACAAGACAGTAAGAAAACATGCCCGTCAAGAGAGAAGCCATTAGAGGCGCTCGCATTCACTAATACTTCTAATAGTAGGATCTCTGAGAATTACAATCCCAGTGTAGGCACAGGAGGATCGCGTCTGATAGCTGGGAAAGAGCCTACGCTACATGCCCCCTCGCGAAATAATCATACATTATTTACATTCGGAGGTCACAACGACGATAACTCGTCATCATACGACTTTTTGCCTTCCCCCAGCTTTGACGACATTCAAACTAGCATATCCAATGAACTACAGCTGGCACCACAGTATCCGGCATCAGGTGGGGGAGATTCAATGCCGAGAGAGAAGCCTTCAATGGGGGAAATTAAAGCATCTATAAACAATGGCCGAGGGCCAGGTCCGGCGCGTGGAGTTTCAGGACCACGACCGGCACGAACCTCTTCTTTTCAACGTCGACAGAGCGTGAGTAATCGCCAAGGTAGCATATCTTCAACAGCTTCCTCGACGGCATCGGGGAATATGGATCCGCCATCTGCTCCTCTCGCTGTGCGAACTCGTCGAAACCAATATCCTCCGATCTCTGGAAGTGCTGCCTCCAATGCGCCAGCGGCTAGATTGCCGCGCAGATCTGTAGGTTCCGATGCAGATCAATCGAACAAGGCAGGGACCACACAAAGGCAGCGTCCGGGTCTTGCTCCAAGTACATCATTACAATCTTTGTCTGATATTGCTAGCGCGTCTGTGAGGATGAACAATACCGGGGTCCCGAGTTACATGGATGGTGCAAGAGGTACAACCGCCTCCAGAACCGCAAAAAGTAAATCACTACAACCTCCGGTGAAAGGGCAACCGCAAGTTTCTCTTCAGCCCGGCACGCCAGATCACAGCAGATCATTGTCTCTAGCTACAAAATCACCTGGAAAACCCAGCGGAACAGCAATAGGCGCAACCACACCATCTTCTGCAACTTCAAAGCGGATGTCGGTCTTGCCGGGTACTACTCATGCGAGTGGACTTGGAGCTAGGACGATCAGCCCTACGGACACTCGAAGGGCCAAACGTCTATCAACTCATCATGGAGGTCCAGTCGTTGCGCCAGGTACACCGCCAACTCCACAACCCGACTCATATCCCGCATTCACCCCTCGAGGATCTTCCAGATCTCCATCAATGCTACCTCGAAAAGTCCCTACACCTTCATCTTCTCGAACTACTCCGGATAGTAACCGTAAGTACAATTCTGCTATTTCAGCTGCATCAAGTTCAAGCTGTAACACATCTCGAAACACTACAGGTTCTTTACAGCCTCGATTATCGTCCCTGGCCCCCACGACATCAAGGCTGCCAACACCCAAATCACGAAATATTCATAGTTCAGCGGGTAATAATGAAGAGGAGGACGTACCGCCAGTTCCTGCGATACCTAAAGCTTATGAATCTCCTAAGGACTCCCCCGCAGAAACTCCATTCTTCGCCAAGAGAAAGTCAAGCATGCCTTTTGATGCGAGTAGTATCAATAGTACTTCGACAAATAGCATTTCCGGTAGGAACTCTGCACGCGAACCGGCCAAGAATGAGCGAGAGTCAAAAAGGTCAAGACATGCACCTCCTAGCTCGAACTCAGATCTCGAACAGCAAAAGCAAAACTCCGCGACTCCCAAGAAGAAGAACCTTCAACCACTTCGTCTTCCGCCATTGAATTTGTTACCTCTAAGTGCTCCCACAGCTGCAAAGGCTAACGCCATATCCAACCCGGAGCCTTTGCCAAGTGGTACCATTACGCCCCCACCAAAACGAATCAATACCAAAACTCCAAGTTCGCCCATGACAGCATCCAAAACATCATTCTTTTCACGTCGCGCCGAAGATAAGTCGGAGCGTCAAATGCCTCAAAAGCGGAGCAACAGTTCTATTCATCACCGACCTGTGGAGTCTTCGCAAGTATTTGAGAGTGATGCTGGGACGAAACCTATACCCATCGCCAGTAGTCGACCGCCACCACCTAGAGAAACCTCTCCATATTTATCCTCATCTCTTCCCAAAAATAACGCTGGCCAGCATCTCATGCCTCGATCTAAAACCAGTGGTGATTTCACTACGATGGATATTTCGACTGAAAACAAGCCAGCCAGGTTGACTGGGCCACGTGCCTTGAAAGTGAACCGATTAGCTAAAAGCGACACTCCTGCGGAAGTGTCAAGTCCCGAGGAGCCGCCAACACCATCCTCAGCAACCTCATTGCGCAGAAAGCTAAGTCTTGGCTGGAAACGGTCTGGCTCGAAGAATAACTCCACCGCTTCTCATGCGGCAGGTGAGAGAGAAGCCAATCATCCACCACCTCCTCCAAAGCATGATAATATGCCACCTCCTAGATTGCCTGCCTCTGCTACAATGAATAATCTTAGTAGCGACAACAACAAGGAAATCCCTAGTCCTAGCCCTTCTGTCAAGTCAAGTACTACTACTTATCTTAATTCCAGTAGAAGGAAAAGCTCGGTTTCGAGCCTTAATCTTGTCACTGGTCACGATAGAACAAGGAGTGATAGTTGGGGTTTGCACCGAAACAGTCCGAAGAAGGAAGCATCGACTGACTCTATGACTCCGGAGAGGAACATCCCGACAGCCACTTCACGAACCACATCTTCTGTCATGCACAGAATGCTGAATCCAAAGGCGTCTAGTAACAATATCAGGCATCAGGATCATTGGACCGCGGACTTGGACAAGGACGATCTTCTGGCAGAAGACGAAATGAAGAAACTAGGTAACAAACGAAAAGAAACAGAGCAGGCAGCTCGTCAATTGGATGCTTTGAGAAAACGCGCTACTCCCAAGGATCGAGCGAATCCTCAACAGGCTCTTAAACTCGTCTCGCATCTTAACATTTACGAAAAAGGCGAAATTGTCGACTACAAGGACATCTACTTTTGCGGAACTGCCAGCGCAGCTAAACATGTCGGTCAGCTTCAATCCGATGCCGCTAATTTTGGTTATGATGACGATAGAGGAGATTACCAAATCGCCACTGGAGATCACCTCTCGTATCGTTATGAGATTATCGACGTCCTCGGTAAAGGAAGTTTTGGTCAAGTCGTCAGATGTATTGATCACAAGACAGGGGGATTAGTGGCTATCAAGATCATCCGAAACAAGAAGAGGTTCCATCAGCAAGCTTTGGTGGAGGTTAACATTCTGCAAAAGTTGCGCGAATGGGTATGTAATTCAAACAGCTTCATCTGGTAATCAGCTAACAGGCATAACAGGATCCTCACAACAAGCACAGCATGGTCAATTTTGTTCAAAGCTTCTACTTCCGTGGTCATCTTTGCATTTCTACTGAGCTTTTAGATATGAATCTCTATGAGCTTATAAAATCGAATGCTTTCCGCGGTTTCTCTCTCAAGATCGTTCGACGGTTCACAAAACAGATGCTCAGTAGCTTGTTGCTTTTGAAGTCAAAGAAGGTCATCCACTGTGATCTGAAACCTGAAAACATTCTTCTTGCTCATCCACTCCATTCTGAGATCAAGGTTATTGATTTTGGGTCAAGTTGTTTCGAGAACGAGAAGGTATATACATATATTCAATCCAGATTTTACCGGTCACCGGAAGTTATTCTTGGTATGACATATGGTATGCCGATAGATATGTGGAGTCTTGGATGTATCTTGGCAGAGCTTTATACTGGAGTACCCATCTTCCCTGGTGAGAATGAGCAGGAACAACTGGCCTGCATCATGGAAGTTTTTGGTCCACCGGAGAAGCATTTGATTGAGAAAAGTACCCGCAAGAAGCTTTTCTTTGATTCGCTCGGAAAACCACGCCTCACTGTATCGTCGAAGGGACGTAGACGTCGACCATCGTCGAGATCTCTTCAGCAAACGATCAAATGTGACGACGAAGTTTTCCTCGATTTTTTGGCTCGTTGTCTCAGGTGGGATCCCGAAAAGCGTATGAAGCCTGATGAAGCTGTTAGACATGAGTTCATCACTGGTCATAAGCTTGCTGCTCCACCTCGTGTCAATACTCGGCTCGACTCACCGATCAAGCGACACAATACTACCGCCGCACCTTCCACAAACAGACCTCTCCCAGAGCCACCTGCCACCAGTCACAAAAGTGGGGCAACTGTTAGACCACCAGCTGCTGGAACTAGTCCAAGTAAAGCTCTTCCTCCTCGACGACAATCCAATGCCACAACATTGACTGGACCTCCTGGGCCGAAACGCACGAGTACTGGAACCGTTACAATTACTGGTAGTAGTAGTTTACCCCGAGTTACACGAAGTGTAAGCTCGAAACAGGATTTAGCATCTGCCGGGGCATCGGCGGCTATGAGTAGTCGGCGAGCATTATAAAGGAATGTAATGTAAAAACGAAACGTGTTCAAGATGAATAAAACCCTCACAACACTCATTGGGTACATAAGGAGCGGATTATACGAATAGATGGTCTTTTGTTACTTTACTGCCTTTTTCTTCTTTCCCTTCGTTTGAAGTTGTCCTTTATTGCATAGCAGCGAGTTTGGGCGAAGCATTCTCATTTCATTTCATTTCGTTTATACCTGTGCATTATGCATACCCACATGATCTACACATCTATACATACTTCGTTCGTTCAAAAGCACAACGCGGGTCACAAGTTTACCACTCTACTCAGAGCCTTTCACCTGATGATGGAAGTCTTTTGGCGTTCTTGCGGCAGCACGGCTGTAGGCTGGGAAAATCCGGAATATACTAGTGGGCGCAACAAGTATTAGCTGATACTACTATAACACTACTACACTTTAATTTGACGTCTCTCTTTCACGAATTATTTACCTGGCGTTTTGGGCGGTTTGTCCCTGAAGAAAAGATGGGTGGGGAAAGTAGAGGATCCGACGTGGAAGTAGGATACATTTGGAGATCGTGATGGATTCAGATGGCATCCATGCATGGAAAATGGCGGTCGGTTCAGAATAAGGGATGGCAGGGCGAAGGGATTAAATGGGACTGATGAAAAGAACTGAGATGAGTGAGATGAATAAATTATGTATATTAATGTTTGGTATCTTCTTCTTCTTCTCCTTGGGTGTGGCGGTTTCTAGACGAGCAGAGGAGAGGAAACTGGTTTTATTACATATGCTGGTGGTGGTTAGATGATCGCTAAACTCATGGCTTGCTGGGCTCTTGTTTGTTGTTGTTGCATTGTTGTGTTGTATGTTGTCGCTGTAATCGCGAAGGAGGGATGCAAGATGTGGCGTCGTGGAAGATGTTGAGATAAGAGTTCGGGGGGATAGCTAGCATTGCGGGGTCCTGTTATACGTCGTATATGCATGAGCGTGCGTGCGTGCGTGCTTATATATGTGTGGTTGAAAGTTACTTAATTTGCTAGCTGTCTGATGAGGAGATTAGGTTGATTATATCAGTGAGGATGGAGTTGAATTGAGAAGAGGAGAGGAGAGGAGTTGGTGTTTGAGGCGAGGCGAGGGGTGGCGTGGCGTGGCTAGATCAGGTCAGCATGATGGCGAGTTTAGATATCCAATGCAAGCATGAGTTTATTATTTTATATTTTTTGGTGTAGTTGAGGGTTTTTCTCTTTTTATGGTTGTGGTTGTGGTTGTGTGATTTTGAATGCGAGTATGAGTATGAGTGTGAGTGCGAGTGTGAGTGTAGGTGTAGGTGTGTGTAAATGTAAATATGAATGTGAAAGTGAATAGAAATTATTCCAAATATAAGTTTGTATTTATATTTATATTAGATAAAAATAAAGATAAGTGAGTGACAAGATAATATTAAGATATATTTCTTTCTTATTCAGGAAATGGTCTTTGGAATTTTTAGTGTGCATGTATGTATATATCTATATATTTATACATGTATTTGTTTGTGAATGTATATACATTTACACAGGTTTTGAGGACTACGAGTGAGGATTGACTGTAAGGATTGAACGAGGAAGTCGATAGGAAATAATTAGATAATAGATGACTGATAATAAAAGATGTAGATAGGGATGAAGATAGGAGATAGGAGACGAAAGGATAAAGAAATGAGGTGATGTATTGATCAAGATGAATAAATTATTATATCCGAACTGAGGATGAATTATGAGATAACTGTCTGATCAAAAAGGTTAGAAAAGAGAAGAAGAAAAAAAGTGTCGAATCGAATTAAAGAATGGAAAATACAAACGTGATGAAATACAAACATGATGCAGTAAATAGTGCGATACGATAGATATAGATTTCGTCCATTTTTCATTATCATTTTATATCATTTCGTCTGAGCAATAGAATCAGCTACTAAAACATATTATTCTCCTCAATCCCTTCATCCTGTGAACATCCCCCTGCATCTGTTCTCTGTTCCATCTCCTTTAACGGTATCTGATTAAATATCTATCCCCTCTCTCCTCTCATATCCCTCCCTGCGTTCCATTTACTTCCCAATATTAACATTTACTTCCCAATAGTGACATTACATACTCATACATACAATTAGAAAGTATTGTATTATAGAACCTGCTGCCAAAAATTCTCCGCCCATCTCGTCCATCTCATCCCAATCCAGATAAATTATTCTTAGAGGGAGTTTATTAACTCATGTAAAGTCATAGTATATCATCCATAATCCATCATAGGTGTATATGTATGTATGTGTTCCAAAAGCATCGTCCAAAACTGTGTAAAACATGAGCCAAAAAGTCCTCCCCTTCATAAATAACGCCATCAGAAGGAGTGTATCATATCTTCAAATCTCTCGTTCTTATACCCCAGCCTTCGTTCCCAATTACTCATAAAAAAGAAAATCATAGGAACCACGCAAGCACAACTCCCATAGCTGCCAGTCCACCTGCGCTAACAGCATTAGCAGCACCCGTATACTCAGGCGCTCCAGTTCCAGTAGCTGTTTTACTTGGTCCTACGGGTGTAGCAGTTGCACTCCCACTGGATCCTAAACCACTAGTTGTTCCGTTGTGGACACCAGAACTTCCAGATCCACCAGATCCACCTCCAGATCCACCTCCAGATCCACCTCCAGAGCCACCTCCGGATCCGCTTCCTGAGCCACCAGTTTCGACCGCGCTGCCGGATGATAGGATGACAGTGCTTAGACCCGATGATGGGGTGGCAACAAAGTTGGTTGAGACGGCAGGAGAAGTGGTGGGCGAGGAGATTGACGGAGTCAAGGTTGCGGATGGGTCTAGAATGGGGGTGCAATTTGGGAGTGTGAATGTACCGTTGAAGTTTCCAGAGCCACCTTGGACGATACAGCTATTATGATGTTAATCAAGTGATATAGAAGGTAAAAGACTTGATAAGGGGAGGAAAATATGATGCGAAATGAGTAGGACAAGATAAAACATACTTCTTAGAACAAGCAGCATCACCGCTCTTATCACTAGTCTCCCAACATGGCGAATAATTCACACCATAAGGAAAATAACCTGCAAGATTATCGTCACAGTTCCCTGGTTGACCAATGCCGTTGGTACAACGAATGATAATAGGTCCGCCGAGGGATGGACTCGCGCAGTAAGCACCATTGGCAATAGGACATGAGAAGGTTCCAGTGGTCGAGTTACTATAGTGATATTAGCTAAGGTGACACTTATGAATGAGGATGATATTTAGAGTGTTAGTTTATGGAAGGGGGACTGACTAGGTAACCTGAGCACTGGTTATACCTGCGATAGCAGCAACTGTTGCTGCAAGAGTAGCGAATGGCTTCATGGCTTTGGTTTGTTGATGTCTACCTTATCGATTGATTATCTGATAACCAAAAGTGTCTTCCAGTGTATCGGGATTCCAAGAGTACTAGGTATTATGGTGGGTTGAGTGTGAAACAGAAACGATTGTGTAGGTGATCGATGTTTTGTTTACTTGAAAAAATTAACGACAGTAAGAGTTGATGCGTCTACGTGCTTTTTTTTTGGTAATATTCTCTTGGAGGGTGATGAGTTCTTCTTGGGGAAGGAGCGGATTTTAATTTTATATGTACATTGTGCGGGAGGCAAGAACTGACTACTGATCAGATGATTGACAGGTGCATATTGCCATAATGGAAATATCATGCCTTCGCCCCTTGTACTTTACATGTGCTTAAGCGGGACAAGAGACGAGGCGCTCGTGGATTTTCCCGTATTCCCAAGTAGAAAAATTGCAGAAATTCATGGGTTCTTCTAAGCAAGAGCGACCATCAAAGCAAAAAACGTGTTGCTAAGTAAGCATATAGAGAAAGTGGGCAAATAATTGAATCAGCCGCCTCAGCTGCCGTCGAACACGATCAAAATCTAAGCCTCCCAACCCGATGTTCGGTACAATTATAGGGCTAGTAGTCTCAATCTTTGTACCTTTCTGTCTCGGGCTATTCCTGAGGGACGGCGATTTGCCCCTTTGTATCGCTTGATTTATTGCGTAGAACAAGGGAAATTCGAAAAGACACCGAATTATGCCGAAGATTCATCAACAGTGGCATGGTATGATGTGCCACTTCGCACTGATCATCGTTCCATCGTTGGGATGCTCAATTGATCTATACCGGATCAATTATACAGATTGATCCAATCGATACATAGGAAGATAGCTTGTATTCTGATGATTTGCTGGCCGGATTATACTGCATCAGAGATGTATAGTATCCTGTATTTCAAGAGGTTGGGACCGATGATGTTGGGAGGAAGATAGTTCGGGTCGCTTGAACAGTACAATCCATTAACTGTCATTTGAGATTACCGATCTTCGTCAAATCATGAGATTTCATATAGATCTTATTAAATGAGTAATTGAGTTCTTTTAAAGGAATAAATCAGAAATCAAATAATAGATATAAATATAAGAATACTTCTATATTTGATTTAAATATTATAAAAGATTTATTCGATAATACCAGGGGCCTGCGCCCCCCGGACCCCTGGCTTTTCGAGAAAGTTTAGTAAAAATTTAAGTTTTAAAAAGTTTATAATAAATTTAAATATTGAATATATATATTAGAGTGCAGATAAAATATCAGCTTGTCTTTGATAATTGAAAATCAAATTTGTTTATTTAAAAATAATGTTTATAATAATAATATTTTATATTATTTATAATAATAATAATAATTATTATTATTATTATTATTATTATTATTATTATTATTATTATTATTATTATTATAAGTTGAATAAGTTAAATTGAATGAATAGAATTGAATTAAATAATTTCAGAATTGAATGATTTTAATAAAGTTGAATGATTCTAATAGAGTTGAATGATTTTAATAGAATTGAATGATTTTAGTAAAATTGATTGATTTTAATAAAGTTGAATAATTTCAATTGAGTTGAATTAAAAAAAACTTTAAGTTAGATTTGTTTAAGATTATAAAGTTTACTTTATCAAGCTTTTTGTTAGATTTATTTACCAGGGTATTTAACAGGTTATTTTAAACCAATCAGATTAATAAGATCACAATTCATTTAAACAAGTTTCTTATTTTCTATCATCTATTGAATAAATCTTATATATAATAAAATTATAATATCAACTTATCAATATTATAATCTTATTATATATAAAGTTTACTTGATATAGATTATAGAAAATAAAGTTTGTTTAAGGTTGCAATATGATTGATCGAAAAGTGAGTCGCGATTCTGATAATCTGATTGGTTTAAAATACCCCAGTAAAAAATCTAAACAAAAAGTTTAATATAAGCCTTACAATCTTAAACAAATTGTCACGATTCACGGTTTTGATTATAGTAGTATTATTGATGTCGGTGATTTATACATCGATTATAGAGGGAGTGTGATTTAACCGTTGCTTTCAGAAGACCTAATCATTTACAAATAGAACTTCAGGATTCCTAGGATAAGTATCTTAGGCAATTATAGTAGATTAGGATAAGTGTCCTAACTAATTGATTAAAATGGAACAATTACCCTAAAGGATATTGTATCCTAAAGCTATAATTCCTAAAGGAAAAACTCCTAGGACAAATGTTCCAAAAAAGGAAAGATCTCAGGATCAATCACATAATGTGCTAGCTCTGCTAGCCAGCTAGCAAAGCTAGCATACAAAAAAAGAGATTAATATATAATCAGAATAGTTTTATAGTTTAAAAGCTTCGTGCTCAACTTGGTTATCAATTAGTTTACCTACCTTTTAATTGATCTAGTAACGAATTCACTTTCAAATAGATAACCAGTGATTAATAACCTTAACCCACAACTACCAATCATACGAAACCTCAGGCAGCCGCTGCCTCGACCAGATCGTTACAAATTAATTCGAAGATTTAGATCTCTTTTATTGAATATATTTTAACAATTGATAAAACTCTTTTTTTGTCACGAACCTCGTATAAAGGAAGATCACGTGATTCTAATTGATCGATAATTCCTATTGGTGAGCTGATAGTCTGTGTATATCTTTCATTATAGTCACCTTAAAGAAGAAAGCATACAACCATACAACTATTATATAGGTATTTTGTATATATATATAAATGCTCCTTATGAGCTATAGTTCTTCAGTTATAGATTCTAAGGAATATAATTGACCCTGTTTATTCAGCTCTTACAAGGCTCTTGTATGTCACATTTTTCTTTTGTTATTTATAAAGATTTGAGTATATAATAATAATGATTCCTTATAGATTTTATTTTATATAAAGATTGAAACTTTATTGTAATCGAAAATGAATAAATGAATAATAAAACAACTCTTGAATAATTGAAAAAGATTTTTATACCTTAAACAATATTCTTTCAATTGAAAAAGGCTAGATTATTTATTTTGAATAATTATAAAAATTATAAAACTATTGAATTTATAATTAAATATTTCAAATATAATATATATCTCTTATTTTTATTATTATATATATTGTATATATTACAATTATTAGATTTATCAATATTCTTATTTTTGAAAAACAAATATAAATATTATCTTAATAAATTAGATTTTTTATTAGATTCTATATTAATTAAAAAATATAGCTTTTTTAAATATTATCAGAAAACAAGAATAAAAATTTTAATAATTAAAAATATCAAAGAAGAATGAAAAGTTTTAGATTTATAATTTTAAAATTATATTAAACTTTTATTCAATAGATTATTATTTAAAAATAATAATAAAAAGATTATTTTTCAAAATCTTTCTTTAAATAATAATTCTGTTTTTTAATAAAATAAAAATATATTTTTTATTAAATAAAAAACCTTTTAAAAAGTAAATGATATTTGAAAATATATATATATAATGATTTGAAAAAAAGAAGCTAATCTTTTAATATATCAATTGTTTTTTCGAAACTTTTCTAAAGGATTTGATATTAAAGATTATATATTTATATAAATAAAATATCAAATAAAATAATTAGTATTCAAATTAGAATATATTGTATCTAAGAAAAAAAAAAAGATTCAGATTAATTTGAATTTGAAGTTTATAAGAATTAAAGCTACTCGACGAATACAAATTGAGATTGAAGATTATGAAATTGATAAGAATGATTCTGATGATGATTATAAAATAGATTCTATAAGCGATTGTATTGAAGTACAATAGTTATTGAGTTATTGAAGTTTAAAATTTATATAATGGTTTTTTTTGAGGTGTCCGGAAAGTGGAGTACTAGACTTACATTGTGGGTATGCATCGGCTCAGCCGTTTTTACCCCAGATTTTATACAGTCATATTATTTTTGAAAGCTAACTCGTGCCTAACCAAAGATAAGAGTTGAGAACATATAAGAACAGTTCGGATTGTAATTCTGATTTGTTATCTTTCTAATAGAAGATTACAACTTTACTATATTGTGCTCTCTTCTGAATAGTAAAACTCCTTTAAAGCAGACAGTCAATTATAAATATTTGGAGGGAAAGAGATATATTAATCCATTCAACAGAGATTTTACAATAATACAAAGAATTCCATTCACGGAAGCCCCAAGCCTAAGCTCAAACCATGATCCATATCATACTAGAATTCCAAATCGTTTTATTCATTACATTCTTTATGTATCCTTTTTGCTTCGACAAGTTTATGTACTCATCTCGACCATTTCATCTATCTCATCCATCTCATCCATTATAACCATCTTATCCATTTCATCCATCTCATCTGCATCATCTATAATATCTACTCCCATCAAAATCAACTCTTCCTTCACTAAGTCTAGTACCCTACTTTTGGACCACCTCTAATATGGACCACCTTTTTATACCAAAAATCGTCATTTTCAATTATTAATAATTCAGCAACGAATGAATGAAATCGATTGAAATTTTAATTATAGATTTGCTATATAATTATTGATAGATTCTAAATTTTCAGATTTTTCATGATTTTATTGATTGAGAAATTGAAAGTTGAAATTACGATTTTCAATTTGTATTAGATTTATATACAAATTTGAAAATATTGAAAATCTTGAATAACTTTTCAAAAAAAAATTGCTAAAAATAAACTATAAATCTTTTTGAGATTTTAGATTAAACATTATATAATAGATTAATGTTTTGAATTTTAAATAATATAAATAAATCTTTATTGATATTTTTAATTTTTGAAGAGATTAAAAATCATAACATTTTGATTAAAAGAATTTTTGTAAATTTTTTTAAAATAAACTGATCTATTTGATCATTTATAATATAAATATTCGAAAAAAATTTATAATTTATTTTTCATTATTTTTGTTGAAAAGTTATTCAAGATTTCAAAGGTTTTGTAAATTTGTATGGAAATCCTATACAAATCAAAAGTTATAAAATTTAAGGTTATAGATTTCAATGAAATCAATTTCAAAAAATCTCAAATTTTCAGAATTGAGTTATAATTATGTAATGAATCTACAATTCAAGTTTTATCAAATTCTATTGATTGGTTGTAAAGTTATTAATAACTGAAAATCATGATTTTTGATATAAAAAGGTGGTCTATATTAGGGGTGGTCCAAAAGTAGGGTACTAGACTTAGATATAGATTTACTATATGGTTTATTAACTGACAACCTTTTCGGAAACTGCTATGCCTTACAATAATACAATATCTAATGCAGAAGCAAGACTCTCTTTCTAACTAATTAACTTCATCCGTTTTACAGAGGCCCTTTTCTAGTGAAGGGTTTCACTGGAAGTCATGGTAAATCGTATAAGCTTATAAACGGAAAAACCATCCCTCGTTCTTTTCATACAGATCACCTCAAGCCTTTCGAGCCAACGACAGGCCATTTAATTTCCCCTTACGAGGAGGAATTTCCAGATCACCAAAACATCCGCTCTGGTAACTTCAAAGTCACCTTTCCAAAAAGGCGTGGAAAGCTACAGATTGAATATAACTCATCTGGTTTACTTTGCTTCCTCTTTTGACTTCTCTACGATTTTATTTTTCCGAGTATATGTATTAACTCAAAAAGAATCTCCGGAACAGCAAACTCCTCCCAAATCATCTCATCTACAATGGTTCACCGCTTCAATCTCGACGAAACAATGCCTGATCGTGCTATCGATATCGAGCTTGGGAGGGGCAGGAAGATAAAGATTAATGGTTTCTAAAAATAGGATGGATTTCATAAACATATTGGCGCAATTTCAAGACTTATTATCAGTTCTATACCCAGACAGGTATTTTGGGGGGAGAAATCATTGTTTATATTGCCCCGGACTAGTTACCACACTAGTGTAGCAGGCGGGCTTTCGCCCGCTTCCACATACAGAACGTGCATTGCATGTTCTCTATATAAAAAGAATGCGCAACCCTACCAAAATTTTTAATACAGCACTGTTGTACTATTGTGACACTGTTTTCTGTTGTGCCTTACTACACGTGATGTAATCTTACTGCTACGGTGTAATATGGCTTGAGGCACCCAATCTAAGATGTGGGGTAAACCGAAGGTTTACCTTCTCCCTCAGAGCTTGTAGGTTAGATCTTCAATTCTTAACCAATTATAATACAAAAGCTAGTACTTCATCTTTCTATCTCCCTTTGCCAGTGACTATTACACTCTATAGGGCATAATCTTAACAAGTTCAATGAAATATCATCGTCGCTGATTTTGATAAGGACCGTCGCTAGTGTGTACGAGGTGGTAAAATCTTCTGTTTGTTCAACTGTAACTTATGCAAGTATCCGGAAGGCTAAGTCGCCATTCAAGAGGAATATTCTTCCTTCAGACTTCTTGTAATTCCTTTCAATTCTTTTCTATCTATCTTATCGTCAGTTTTGACAAGGTATTTCTTACAAATGATGCATCAAGCCCATTTGCAATGCTCCTTGTGTGGCTACGGCTGTGGTGAAATACAATGGACGGCATTGTTTTGTGCTGGTAAGTTAATTAATAGTCCAGAATGATTAATTTACTGAAACAATTGCATCTATAGTACTGCGAACTCAAGATGAGGATATGGTTCTTACCCATCCAAAATATACCTCACCTTCCATCAGCTTCCGCCTTATAACATTTCCTTATACAAGCTCTAAAAATTCCAATCATCGAGAGATCAAGGTTTATTGCCAACGAAGAATTCTTGGCAGTTTCAATTGCTTTCTCGTTCACCATGTTTGTCTTCAAACCTTGCAAGACATACTAAAGATGGATATACCACCTAAAGTTTTATTTGCGTTTTGCCAAGCTTTAACAGAGGATTGGATAAGAAAGGATGGCGCATCAAGATATAAGAGTCAATCTTTAGGTGGAGTTACTAAACCCTTTATAAAATACATTATCTAACTATATTATAGCCAATTTCGATGTATCTACTCCAATGTTCAAAATATTACCACCATCGGAAAATAACCCAAATCTCAATCACGAATCAAAAATCGATAAACTACCGTTAGAAATAATATGGATGATTTTACACTATCTTGACTCAAAATCGCGATTCAGCTATTTCATCTCTAATCGATTTGCATTATCATCATCTACACAATATTCTCCTTGGCAACTTCTTCTCTCGTATACAAATTCAATCTTAAAACAATCGATAACGATACAAGACATGGTAATCTTTGCTCATCGTATATTTGATGATAATGATTATATTGCTTTGGATGGGTTAATGTCGTGGATACGAATATTGAACCATTTGGCATCTATTTTGAAAGCTCGATATCCATTATACTCTTCGTCTTTCTGGATCCCTCCTAAACCAATCGATAATTTGCCTCAAAAGCAACATTTCCCACTTGGACCTCGACAAATTACAACACACATACCTAATGTACTTACAGGATTTAAGGTGTATTTAATTTCAATACACGGTCAAAAATATGTCTCTGGTTTAGAAGGTATACCATCTAGTACCCAGATATCCATTGGAGTCTGCCATGGTATTTCATACCACATCTACTTTCGAACAAACCAAATATCCAGTCTCGGTTTCGTTGTTGATCCGTTGGGTATACGCAGTCTTAAATTCGGCGAGTCTGGATGGTCATCTGAGGTTCCTTCTACTTTGAATTGGTTCGAAGGTATTAGCATCAATAATGATTCGAACAATCAATTAGTTGTTTTTACAGATGTGAGCTTTTATGGTTTAGTTCACTTAAACAATTGCTAATTCTCCCAGGCTTTAAAATTTCGACAAATCTACTGGCAGTACAACTCGAATACCAGCTTATCCTTCCCTGAAACTATCATTATGAAGCCCTTTCAAATGGGAGTATTATCGTCAGAGTATTATATAAATCGAGGCAATGTTAGAATGTCTTCTTATGGAACACATGAGGTACCAACGGAATCGGTATTCTTTGATGAGGATGTGTTTGCGATATCTGTGAGATTGCAAGATGGCGTTGGGGTTACTGGTGTTTGTGTGCATTCAACGACAAGGTTGCAGACTATTGGAAAACCCAATGATGAGTCATCAATATATTTCCAAATTCAACCTTATAAAGAGAAAATTGATAAAATTTGGGTATGGAATTTCCCAGGGTTATATCTTACAGTATGTTATATCTTCTATTTTTATTTTATAAGGGCAAAAATAACAGTTTTTTAGATCCATACCACCTTAGGTCGATCCCAATATTTTGGTGCGACAGGAGGCCCAGAGTCTACAGATACATACAAAAGTTTCCAGCCATCGCAAGGGCAGTTTATACGAGGCTGCTATTTTTGGTTCTACGCCCTTGCTATTGAATGTTTTGGTATTGTATATTAAAATTTCAATTAGGATCATCACAATCTGTTAGTTTGAAGCAACACCACAGCAAGCACTTAGAGTTGACGTATAAGGATTATCATTTATATCAATGGTTGAACAATATCTCCTTTACATTTGCATTAGAGCATAGGGAAAACCATAGACAAGGGTAGAAAACCTATGTTAAGGAGTCTGAGAAAAAAGTATCACATCATCTTATCCCATAACGCTCCGGCTCGAGAATCAGAAGAAGACTTCATCTTCTCAAAGACTTTCATCTATATCAAGTGTATGTAGCCTTTTTATTTCCATCTATCCTTCGCCATTTGCAACCATCAGCCTTAGAATCACTCCAACCATGATAATTATATACCCATTGATTCGTTGGGCATTCTACAAGTGTGCTTGTCTTTGTCGATTTGAGATAATAAAAATATTTTCTGTCGACAACATAGAAATGATCCCCATCCGACCCGAGCTTTGATGAAGTGATTTGAGAAGTGGTTCATTGCTGGTTTAGAGATGTACTGGTAGATGCTGTAGATGCTGCAGCAGCTGGATAAGAGCCGTAAGGTATGTTTGTGTTTGTAGTTGATGAGGATGATCCGGTGGCGTATGATATCTGTGAAGTTGAAGTAAGTTTAGATTTTCTCACCATGTCAAGGAATTCTCGGATCTGATCAGCTTCTGCAGGAATGTAAGGGTCTCAAGATCCGCTATCCCTGTCTTGCCCTCCATCAAAAGATACGCAATGAATGTTGTAGAAGTTTCGCAAGTGAAATTCCAAGCTCGAATCTTGGTTCCGAACGCAACTACGCCATATATGGAGGTTCACCCTTGCGATTTACCAAACTCTGAAAAATAGTCTTGAACATATAGTTCAAACTGTAATTCCATTTCATCAATCTCTCGATGTGTCCTACTCTGGTGTTTACATTCCAGTATCAGCAACAAAACAGGGTTAAATTCCCGATCATAAGATCTAACTACCACATCTGCAGATCTGGTTGTATTATCCAATGATTGTTGGGAATTTACACGAATACCCTTATAATGCTCAAATTCATCGTTGAGAATATCCTCCCAAAATAGAATAGTGGCCGATTTTCGCAATTCTGGCTTGGAGGCTTGAAGGTAAGCTCCGTACGAAAAAGGATTTGTGATAAGTCCACTAGGTCGAAAAGACATCTGAATTTTATCAGTAAACAAACTATCATCAAGCTTTTGGGATATACTTTGCTTCGTATAAATTAGAAAGAGATATATATGAAGAATAATATCGGTGTTACGAAGGTAGCCGTCTAGATCATGTAGAAATGCTCTAGATTCTCGAAGTAGTGTAACGATCTGGTTGAGGCAGCAGCTGCCTCTGGGTTTCATCTGATTGGTAGTTGTAGATTAAGGCTAATAATCATTGGTTATTTATTCGAAGATAAATACGTTACTAGATCAATTGGAATATAAATAAACTAATTGATAACTAAATTGAGTACGAAACTCTTAAACTATGAAACTATTCTAATTATATACTAATCTCTTTTCCTATACTAACTATACTAGCTGGACTAGCACAATTAGCATTCTTGTAATACTAGCTCTGCTAATTGGACTAGCAAAACTAGCATATCACATAATTGATCCTAAGGCCTCTCATATCCCAAAACCTTTCCTTTCCTGGAACACTTATCCTAAAAGCTTTTCTTTTAGGAATTATAATCCTAAAATATAATATTCTCTAAGATGATAATCCTATTACAATTATTTAGATAAAATACTTATTCTATTCTATTATAATTGCCTAGGATACTTATTCTAGGAATCCTGGAATCCTAAGCTTAGATAATCAGGACCCCCGAAAGCAATGATTAAATCACACCCCCCTTGTAATCGGCATATAAATCACCGACATCAATAATACTACTATAAAGAAAACCGTGAATCATGACAAGTAGGTTTATAATTAGGTGTTAAGCAAAGATTTAAATAATGATATGTTATTTGTAATTAATAATAGAGTATACCAAATGATTGATTTTGAATATAAAGTTCTATACAAAAGGAATCCATCTTGATTATATAGACCTTCGTATTTTGAAAGTCGATCGATTTTTGAAGGGCCGATCGATTCCTACAAAGTCGGTCGGCTTTCGGATCAGGTGACACTTGTCGCATGATCTTATTTAACTACTTGGTCACCTGATACGGGCTATGTTACACTGTCGTAATATGTTTTTAACTTATCAGAACTTATCTTGAAACTTTTTTAAAAGACTATATAATCTAGGAATTCCATTTTTGTAATATAGAATTTGTATTTGTTAGATTTATATTAAAGATCTATCTCCTTTAAATATTTTAATATTTTATATATATATAATTATTATAGATAATATAATCATAAAGTCTATAAAGCAATCTTGATAGGAGTGATATATAAGAGTATATAGAGTTTTATTAAAGTGAATAGACTTGCCCTTGATTCTATTGATCAAGGGCTATATATATGATGTACAAGAGCCTTATAAGAGCTGAATAAACAGGGTCAATTATATTCTTTATGTTACAGGGTAACAGTCAACCTGTCCACATGAGCTTAGGCCCTATCGAAAAGCAAGGCGATTTGCATACAAATTTGTATGGTAATCGCCTCATGTGGTCTCCCCACCCTCAGCAAGCTCGGACATATGGTCTGATCGTAGTCACGTGATGGAGCCTCGAGGAGCCTACAGGAGCCCACGCTCCTGGAGGCTCCCGAAATGGATTAGTATATAGTCAGAATAGTTTCATAGTTTAGGAGCTTCGTGCTCAACTTAGTTATCAATTAGTTTACCTACATTCCAATTGATCTAGTAACGTATTCACCTTCGAGTGGATAACCAGTGATTATTAGCCTTAACCTACACCTACCAACCATACGAAACCTGAGGCAGCCGCTGCCTCGACCAGATCGTTACAATTTGAACTCATATAACATCAACTCCAAAACCATTATAAATTTTGTTTTATTTATAAATGATATATTACAATATAATCTAATTCAGCTTTCTCTTCCAATTCCCTTCTTATAATATACTATCGGGATATATATATCTCGACCTATCACTTTTACAATATAAATGTCACGATTCACGGTTTTCTTTATAGTAGTATTATTGACGTCGGTGATTTATAGGCCGACTACAAAGAGGGTGTGATTTAACCGTTGCTTTCGGGGGTCCTGATTACCTAAGCCTAGGACCCCAGGATTCCTAGGATAGAGTATCCTAAGCAACCATAGTAGAATAGAACAAGTGTCCTACCTAATTGATTATAATAGAACTATCACCCTAGAGGATATCGTATCCTAAAGCTATAGTTCCTAAAGGGAAAGCTCCTGAGACAAATATTCCAGGAAAGGAAAGGCCTTGGAATATAAGAGGCCTCAGGATCAATCACGTAATGTACTAGCTCTGCTAGCCCAGCTAGCAAAGCTAGCATCACAGGAATGCTAGCCGTGCTAGCCCAGCTAGCATAGCTAGCATGGGAAAAGAGATTAGTATATAATCAGAATAGTTTCATAGTTTAGGAGCTTCGTGCTCAACTTAGTTATCAATTAGTTTACCTACATTCCAATTGATCTAGTAACGTATTCATCTTCGAGTGAATAACCAATGATTATTAGCCTTAACCTACAACTACCAACCATACGAAAACCTGAGGCAGCCGCTGCCTCGACCAGATCGTTACAATAAACTAGATAAATAAAACTTTATAAAGAGTAATAAGATCGATATGATTATATAATATCGATAAGATATATAATAAAACATAAACATATAATTATTATGATATTATAGATTATATAAAGTCATATAAGATCGTGTGAATTCTATAACACTACTTCATTTACATTTTATATGTTTTCGAGTTTGATATATTTAATATCAAATAAATTTAATTTTTTGAATCATTTATAAATAATTTTATTAATTATATTTGAAATACAAATAGAATTAATTTTATATTGTCTTTTGATTTTAATTTCAGGATTTCTAATCAAAAAATTATATATTTATTATTTTCTAAATAAAGAAGTCTTTTATTTTATTTTAAAAAGGTTTTCTTTAATCTTTTTTATTTATCGATATATAAAATTAATATTCAATCTATCAATTTCTTCTTTTAAATCGAGATTATCTTTTGATTATATTGATACCCTTGTTTATAAAAGAGGTAATCATAAATTCGATCTAGAAGTATACTTTTTGATATATTATATTCTGAGTTGATTTGATATAAAAATATATCATTTACGATTGTATTAAGGGTTATAATAATATTATCTTCGATATATATTTTCGATATCTTATAAATTATGATATATTCAAATTTCAGATTAATTGATTAAATAGTTATTGAATTATTAAAAATTGAATGAAGTAGATTACTGAAAGTGGTGTGGTTTTTTGAGGTGTCCGGAAAGAGGGGTGGTCGGAAAGTGGGGTACTAGACTTAATCCACAAATCATGTTTGCAGTAATACTTGACCCAAACTGTAGAAGATCTAATAAGGGTAGACTAGTGGTGTGGTGTGGCTGGAATCCAATATATTTGATGAGCCACTTGGACATTTGATCGATCAGCTAACTATTCATTGCGGGGTAGTTGAGTTAGACTGAGAAATGGCGTGAGTTACTATTTGCACATCATATCTACTCTTCCCCTTCATTCCCAAGAAAACTTCAGATATTCTCTTCACAAAGAAGCCCAATAAATATTTACATCTCCATCACCTTTTCACCTCAAATCAATACATTCCCATTCTCCAAAAGAAACACCCGACGCCCAACAAACGGACACACACCATCGGTGACATCGCCCATAAGAAATCCTAGACCTCGTATCCCTCACGCCAACCATGTACGATTCTACAATTACATTTACCTTTGATACCATTTGTCCATGGTGAGTCGTCTCCGAAAATCCTATTTATCCTTCCCTTTTCACCTTTTCCTTCTTCATTTCTTGCCGGTGCTTATGCAAGCAATATTATGGAATACGAGGTTAAGGATTATGGCTGATCGTGTTGGGTCATAATTAGGACTTATCTTGCCAAGAAGAGGTAAGGGTATTCAATATTTCGCTCCAATATTATTGAATCGAGGGAAGTCCGGATTACTGACTGAAACAACGCGTTCGTAGATTGGATGAAGGTAAGAATTAGGCTTTTCTTCCAATTTTGACGTCGGCCGAGATGAAAAGGAGATTGTGAGAAGAGAGACAATCACGTGATAATTACCACAATCATTTCCTCATTTCCTTCACTCTAGCACTGTACCTTTAGGTCCACACACCCATTCCCCATTTAATAACAACTTTCCTAGCGCTCCGTATCGTCCGTTCAACGGATGCTGCTTCGAAAGTTAGATTCACCGTCAAATTCTCGCCCTATCAACTATATCCCGAAGCCAGCAAAGAAGGCGAAGATAAATATGCCTGGTATCGTAAATCTCGTTACGGAGACTCCGAGGAGAAGATGGAAATGTATATGAAAGTCATGACCGCGTACGGCGAATCCGCAGGTATAGACTACAAATTCAATGGCACGGTTGCCAATACTCTCGATGCGCATCGAGTCATTCAGCACTTCCAACAAGATGACGTTAAAGGGGGAGGGCCGGAAACAGCGGACAAAATTGTCATGGCTTTGTATAGAATGTATTTCCAAGAAGAAAAACATCCGTCTAGTGAAGAGACGTTGCTTACGGCCTGTAAAGAAGCGGGAGTGGATGAAGAGGAAGCGAAAAAGATTATCGGGGACGGACATGAAGGATTGATGGATGTGAAGAATCTGATTAGAGAGGCTGAGGGCAACGGCGTGGATAGTGTACCGGTTGTTCGCTTCGAGGGTAAGAGAAGAGATATCACTTTGGAGGGGGCTCAAGATGTGGGCGAGTACGTGAAGTCGTTGGAGCAAATTGTTAAGGAGAGTGAGTAGATGCTGAATGAGATGGTACTTTCGAGCAAAGGCCTCTGCATGTACTTTTTTTGGCCGCGAACTTATCACTCATGGGAGATGATGAAATGTCTTTCCTTCATTGGTGTTTTCCTTATTCTTACTGCGACGATTGGTGATTTATATAACTGCGAATAACATCGTTTTCATGCATTTTCACCGAACATCTTTTCAATCTCAACTATGATTTCTTCCGAGGGGCCACATTGCAAGTAAATGGTGAGATCACCTAGTACTGCCTATTTCTCACCTCCTCTTCTCCTCTTAGTATGCATCGCTAGGTGCAAAGCGGAGTAGAGTTTCCGCTCAGATCTATCCTTTTTATGCTTCAAAATCACCAAGTTTCGCTTCAAGCCTATACCTATCGTCAACTATCTAATATATCACAATTTATATATTGCATATCTTGTACTACAGCTTAGGAAGTGTTTGAAAGGTTGGTAACGGGGTAGGGGAAAGGACTGTCTAAATGGGCATTGGATTTTGTCTTTTAGTGTAATGCCAACTATTTACTGCTCAGTTGATATCTTTGAAATTTGGTATAAGTTAACTACAGCTATTTCTAAATACTTGCAAGGATCGGAGCTGTTTGAGGCTTCTGATTAGAGTTTCAAAATGGAATGTTGATTGTAGTTCTGTCTCTTTCTAATAATATACTTTTTTGGATGCCTTTCTTATTGTTTTGACTGCTTTAATTTTGAATATTAATAAAAGTTAACCTTCAAATCCACCTGAGATGCACACACAACAACACTTCCACAGGAAAGCCACACGTATTTTCTTCAGGAACCAAAAATCACGTTTTCCGCTTAAAAAGGATATAAGAAATCAACCGGTAAAACCTTCTAATTTCTTTTGGAAGGGGAAAAGTGCTCCTGCTTCTTTCTTCCTTTCTATAATATTTTAACACTGTGAAACCTCCTCATCCTGTACTTACTTATGTTACTTCTAAGAAAGGGTTCCTGAAAAGCCTTGCAGATATGCAACAAAATGGAACTTGAGCCAATGAGATCGGAAGAGGGAGCTTCAAAACAGCACTTTCTATTTTGATAAACAAAATAAATTGACCATTCAATTTATTCACTTATTCTTCATAGGATGATACTCTCACTTCCTTCTCTCTCTGCTTATCTAAAAATAAATCATGAAGATTCACTCGTATTATACTTATACTACTTCCAAGATGGGGCTTGAATATTTCTTCAGATATGCAACAAATCTTTCTGAAAGGAGCCAAAAGTGGCTGTGCGAGGACCTCGAAACTACACTTTCCAACTTTAATCAAGAATCCTGAACAGACCTCTTAATTTGTCATTGCGAAATCTTATGATAGTGAAAATTTTCCTTCTTTCCAATGCATTTACCTGTTTCAATATAAAAATGATCTCGTGCTGTTGATTTTCCTATTGTTTCAAAACGATGTCCTGAAAATTCTCCAGATATGCAACAAAATCCGAGGTCAAAATAAGGTTTGAGCTAAGCCTCCATTGAAAAGGGGTAGAAATACCAGTATTTTCGACTTTGCGCAGAGATAACAAATTCTCGAGTTGATTTATTGTCATCTATTTGTATACATCGATTCTTTGGTTTCTTTTATATATATTGATAAGTTCTCAGATACATCTGAGCTTGTGGAGTAACTTTCAAACCGATTATAGAAAGAGGTGTGTAAAAGCCTCTTTAGATATGCAACATAGCTCTTGGTGAACCAATTAGATTGGGGCCTCAGGGATTCTTGAGCTTTTTAGACGGCAATTCCCAAGTCTGCACAGGAATAATGCATTAGCCATTCGAGTTGTTGTTTATTTGCTTGGATATTATGATTCTTCTGCTTGTTATCTATTTACTTATATACTTCTCAGCCGACTTTGATGGATACAAGAGTTATTTGATGAATTTCTAAAGAAGATTTCGGAAATTATCTTAGATATACAACAAACATTTTCGGTTTCAAATAGATCCGGGGTTGAAAATACTTCAAACTACAATTAGCTATTATATTTGTACAGAAATAAAATATCAAGAGCCTGGATGTTCCTCGCTTGTTTCTGTATCATGATACTTCTACTGGTTCTCTGCTCAAACATACCTAGTAAGTTATGAAATCTATCTGAACTTATTGAAGAATTGTTAGCCATTTTTAAGATAAAGTCTCAAAATCATCTCAGATATGCACACATAATTCAAAATTGAGCCAATGGGGTTCGAATGAAATTGAGAAATAACCCAAGAATCATTATTTCTGCAATGGAAAAGAGTATAACAAAGTAACGATATCATTTCTTCATTGTCTGTTTTGATTGTGTAGAACTTTAACTATTCCTCTATCAACCATCAGATCGCCGGATATATCTATGTGCATTAAGTAGTTGTTAAGCATTTTTCAAATTCAGGTCTTCGGATCACTCACTTAAGGTAGGTATGCAAAAACCCTGGCTCTGCCAACCAAATTGAGTTTTGTAGCCAAGGTTAAGATGAGTGGAATATGAGGAGGTTAAAAAAGAATCATTTTCCACTTTGGCAAGATGTATCTCAACAATGAGTGTTAAGTTCTATATGATCTTTATGTATGATTATACCCATGCTATTTTCGAGTCTGCTTGCAACTTTGAGTGGTTTTAAAGCACCTGGTTGATTTCTAAATGGATTTTTTTAAATAGGATCCTCAATCAACTCAGATATGCAACAAGACTGCTTGAATGTGCGATTATTAAGGATACCAGACAGGGAAATAATAGGAAAGTTCGGAGCTGGTGATATTATAAAAGTGGTAGGTTGAGATATATACGTCCTGATAGTATACTATGAGAAGGGAATTGAAAGAAAAAACTGAATTAGATTATATTGTAATATATTATTTATAAAGAAAACAAAATTTATAATAATTTTAGAATTGATATTATATAGATTCAGATATATATATAAAAGATTGATTATTATAAAAAGAAAAGATAAAAATTCTTCTTTTATATTTAATCACAGAAAGTTATATAATTGATTGGTTAAAAACCTTTATGTATTTGATCTATAATTCCAACCTTCTCACAATATGAGTATCTAGCATACAATCGTACGCCCTCATTGAATTATTCATGGCCTAGTAGAAGTAGTTACTTGGTCAACAATGGTACGCGCAGGTAATCAAGTTGGTATTATGTGCAATGTATGATCGGATATGCAGTGCTACAGTGCTAAATATAAAGTTTGAGGAACGTATAGTTTAGCTCAGACTGCAAATGTTTGCTTCTTAGGCGTAGTTTCTGCGGAAGAGATTGAAGAGGACCATAGGTATAAAGAAAAAACAAGAAAAGATTGAGGGAGACGTTACGTGCTGACTATAGCGAAGCTGTACGGTACCGTGAATTTTGATGTTGGTACACGAAGCCATAGAAAGCAACCACAGATTTCCGAATACAGCAGCGACGACTACCTAGTACCCTATCCGGTTCAATCGACATTTCCCTCTCCAAACCACCATTAACATGACACAAAAGATACCAAGAATCTCCCTGTTACTTTTACCCCCATACTTTACAGTAACTGTGGAGGCCCACAAGTGAATATCACTACAACCACGTTCATCAATATTGTCGTTGGATTTTTCCACACGAACAACATCGAATCAAAACATTGCCAGCCACAGAAGATATATCATATCAGTCACTCCAAACCCCCAAAACGTTGTCTAATTACTAGATAAAGACGTATTCAAACATCTTCTTCAACTATTAGAAGAGCTTTACAAGTTTCGACTTGGCCAAAAAGCTGGTGTATGGTGTTGAATATGATATTTGTACGCAACCGGAGCCTCGTCGATATTTAAGTGATCAAATTCACTTATTTTATCAGTCACTCCTCAACTTCCATTTTCAATTCAGCCTTGAATATCTCCATAGGAGAGCCTCTTTTTCTCCCGCCTTACTTTCAACCATAGCTCGAAACTCATCGATCCATAACAAATTCCAAAAACCAATAAGGGATCACCCCTCGCGCTCAATTCTCACCAAAATAAATAACGCCCCTTCTCAAAATGACACCATTCTATCCCAGGCCCAACTTTACCTCATCCTCTGGTTTCCACATTCATCATCCTCCCAATCGTTCCTATGTACAGCCTCATTCCAAAAGGGCCAATAGCTTCTCCGCAGTGAACTCTGACTATGGTCTTCCACTACCTGATACCGTTGGAGATCGATCCAGTCGACGGGCAAAAACATCTGCACGGAACACCGTCAACGACGTTCCTTTATTAAATAACCCTGCCAGCCCTGCCCGACCCCCTCAGCACAGATACAAGAGGTATGATTCCAGCTATTCACCTTTCACATCTGATTCTTCCGCAATAGATACACCTCTTCGAGCAAGGGGACTTCTTCCAACAACATGCATTGAACTAGCTCCCAATCAACCGGTTGTTTCCACATTACCTGATCCCGTAAGAGATCAAAATCATGGGCAAAATGAGCAATCTAACTCCAAAAATACTGGGCACTCCGTTAACTGGCGGATAAAAGGGTTTCGGATTCCAGAAAATCTAGATTATACCCTAGGGGCTGAAATTATCGTTACCAATGTGCCTCGCTCTGCCTTAAGACCTACTGTAAAGGGTTCTGGCTGTCAACGTTCTCAACCCTGTCCCACCAGGTTCCAACCTTATTCGCAAGCAGGGAGAAGAAACGCCGTGAGTCTAAACTCAGGTAATTCCGGACAGACACCAAATACCCATCCATTGCCAGAAGTTATCACACACACGTCCAGCTCCTGCACAAGCCATATTTCTAAGCCTGTACCAACCATCGGAGAATTTTATACTTCCTGGAATCACAATAAAAGTCCTGATGCAAATCCACTTTTTGCGCCATACGCAGCCGGAAAATTGGATAATGTTAATCACGCGAGACATGTTCATAGATCCGGCGCATTGTCGAATGCTATATCTACACGCGCTGATGAGGCAAAAGGTCAGCAGGGTAGAGAAGAGATGGACATCGATAGTCTAGGACACAGTCCTACATCACTTCCTAGTCACATACATCCAACAGGACATGAAACCTCAAGCGATAAGCACAGAGAGAGTGCCAGGGACGCTTTCACAACACCTAATAATCCTCTTCCGAACGATTCACCATTATCCACTTCTACTTCCAATGCCCCAGGGCCACGAACCTTTTCTCAATCAGCAGGGACTACAACTGCGAGTTCTCGAGGACTAGCTCAGAGCGAAACTAGAAAATTATGGAAGGCTATGTATGGAAAAGATACTGCTGATTTGCAAAGGGATTTGGTGACGTTGAAAAGTATCGGTATTGAGGATATAGATTTGAGGAACGTTGTAATTACAGAAGAGCGGTGAGATAATAGGTGTGCAATGCAAGAAATAGAAATTTTTGATGAAGGGGAAGCGGAATTGAGGGATGCTTGGGGTTGGGGGAGGATTTTATGATTGCTCTGCATATGGATGATTGGTTAGTTGTGGGTGTTACGATGTGTTGAGATGGAAAGGATGGGTGGTAGAGGGTTAGACGTTAGAGCGTTCATCAATTACAAAAGAGTTTCTCCTTTCTTTCTTGATAGATAGACTTAATACTTGAAATGGCAATGAGTTAAGGACAATAGTAAAGAATCCTCGGAATTCTCTAGATATCCAAAAATCAATAAATCATGATATATCGTGCATTAATTAAAACTCTAAATTTTTCTATTTACAAAAAGACAGCGAACCTCCACAATCCACTCCTTTCATTTAACCTCATAATAAAATATCTTTATAACCCTCAAATTATCCTTTCAAATCCAAATATTAAATAAAAGAGAACCCCAACAGTTGGTAAAGTAAAGTAAAATCAAAACGGTGTCTTTACTTCAAACGAGAAACTAAGATGTTTTTTTAACTTTACCTTCTAATGCTTTTACCGGCACCAACTCACTTGATAGGAGCTTGATGTGAATGACCAGACAGATCATAGATTATTGAATGAATTGTGATTTTACCAATGATTATCTGAAGAAAGCGAATAAGGGTAATGATGAAAATGAAAATGAAAATGAAAATGGTATCCATACCGTGCCTTTTTACTCTCTGGCGTTTTTGATAAAACTTTTAATCTCAGCTCTATATTCTGACGGGATCAATATATGAAATAGCTTTCCATCATGATGATGTTGGGTTCTTCGACATCTATTTCTATTGACTATATTAATTATATAAGGTTTTTAGGCTACTTTACAGATAGAAAATCATCCAAGTATAATTAATAAATGCTGGCTTGAAAAGTCTCTATCTAACATGTATTGCCGACGAACGAGTTGGAAACATCAGATTCTACGTTTGGGCGGATAGGGGTAGCGGAGCTTCTAATTATAGTCTTTCGCTTTGCTAGATTTGGTGGTGGGAAGTTCGTCCAGCGAATGGGGACTCTTGCAAATTTAGAAGAAGATGGATTTTTCTAGTTACCATGCTGGATTGATTGAATATAATCACAATCCTTCAAGCGTAGTTATTGGGATTGAAGTGAATACTAGACCAACGTGATTTGGGATACAGTTTGCTTACATAGAATGTAACTTAAAACGCGTGCACATCTTAAAAGCGTTCAAAATAAGATAAGGGGGATTCGGAAGTATATTTATTTATTGTTTTTGTATTTATTCAGTGAAACTAAAACTGCTTTTCTCCTTGATAGTATGAAAGATCCGGGAGAACTCTCGCGAAACAGATGTTTAGGAGGTCGCGAAGCGGTCGTGGACTTCCATGCCACCTCCGGGTCTTCACCAGCTATCGAAATAGACGCGCACATGGGCCAGGTATAATTCAAAACTATGTTGTCAGGAATACTGGATGATTCAAGAAAAAAAAATCAGAGACGTTGTGTCGGAAGATTGCTATTCAAAGCATCAAGGAGAATCTTGGGTGGAAGACCAAGTTCATACTCTCGAAATGCCACGTTTTGTCATATATTGTCATGAAGCATCGCCGCAACACCACACAATGCGCATAGTCCCTGTTACAGTCGGAGCAGATGCGCCGTATCACTTTGTTGTGATGGATACAGAGTTCCGTTTCATAATCATCAAAAATAAGAATAAAGGTTGGTTTGTGTATAATATCTTTGCCCAGAAATGCATACTAATGTTCCTATGATACGGAGATAATCTGTCATATAGATGGCGATGCTGTCAGAACTATCACTTCTAATCTATAGAATGGATTTTTTGAACGCAGAGAGTAGCTGTTCTCTTACTAGGAAATATAAGATTCATGCACATGTAAATGGATGTTTCTCGCGCATAGGAAATCGACAAAAAATTGCACTAGCTGTCATTTTAGTCGATTTTCCGTTTGACTTCAAAGATTTTGCCACGTAATTTATTCCGAAGCTGAACCTGGAAAATGAAAGTATGTAAAACCCACGTGGTCAATTACTGAGGTGTCCCTCATTGAAAAGTCAATCCTTGACAATTTCCTTGAAGGAAATGAGGAAGTTGGTCAACTGAACCTCCAACTGTAAAATTTTGATGGCGATGCCTAGTACTTGCTAAAGCGGTTGCTTCTTTACAGACTGCTTATATAGATGTCATCTCCCAAACACTTGCATTTTGCGCTGTGGTAAACCGTATCTCCGACTTCGATTTTGCCAACTTTGATAAATAAAAATGGACAGAAAGATGGGAAACTACAACTTTAAAAGGCCTTTGGATGCAGCGTGGGAATATTATGCTTTTTGGATGTTCAATACGTCAAAATATTATATGATAGAGAAAATCATGCTGAAACTCGGCAGGGTACTGAAGTTGAGAACGGCCATGACTAAGAAAAAGATGATTGTCTTGAAAGAGTAGAAAGCCCTGGAGAGAAACCCCGATTATGTCGATCAGGCAATCCAGAGAACGGCAATAACTACTTGCAGACTATTGTTGCGATGAACTCCCATCGCCAAGCAAAAGCGTGAGCCATAAGGTTACCTCGAAGTAGACATGAGCATTTCAGGTATAGCTAATAAAATAGTGTGGCAAGACTGAAAGAGTGAGAAATGACACGATCAAAAGCTTTACTGAAAAGTGTCTGCTGATGCATGACTAGCAAGGCCTCGTTTTTCCTTTCAATCAACCTTTGTGCTGCGGTATTATGCGTGCACTTGCTACGTAGTTTAAACATCTGTAATCCTAGCTGATGACTGGTCATATAGCTTAAAGAATAGCAACTTTGCTCCTGGAGAATCTTAATTTTGGCAATCTACCCTCTTACTCGTTATAGTTTGATAGTAATAATTCATAGGACTTTCCCGGCAACTAGCGGGCTCCTTGCTCGTTATAGTAAGAGTTCTGGACTTTCCTTACCGCACACCGTGATGTTTTGTGATAAAATCCTGCAAAACCATATTTTCTTATATAAAATTAAATATCAAATAACTTTTTCAATATTGAATAAAATCAAAAGAAATTTTGAAATATAATTGTCGGCTTGCCGACACCATAACCTTGCTGTACGCGAGGTTTACTTGGTGGGTGATGGAAAATGAGAAACTCGCTTAAATGAGTTACGATCCTGACAATCTAATTGGTCTAAAATACCCCGGTAAATAAATCTAACAAAAAGCTTGGCATAAGCAAGCCTTACAACCTCAGGCAAATCTGATTTAAAACTTTTTTCAACTCAATTGAAATCATTCAATTCATTTAATTCAACTTTATTTATTCAATTCAACTTATTCAATTCAAAATAATAATAATAATAATAATATTAAATTATATTATAATTATTATTTTTAAATAAAATATTTTAACTTTCAATTATCAAAAACAAGTCGATATTCTGCCTGCACCCCGATATATATTCAATATTTAAATTTATTATAAACTTTTTAAACTTTAAATTTTCATTAGACTTTCTCGAAAAGCCAGGGGTCCGGGGGGCGCAGGCCCCTGGTAAATTTCAATTGATTAATTTTAATTTTCTTCCCATTCATTTTTTTTTTCATTTTATATAAAGATTTAACAGGGATTTGAAAAAGGGAATAAATCAAGGTTTTAAGTGAAAAGCGTTACACTATGTGGCGAGGAAAGTCCAGAACTCTTACCATATCTCGTCTTCACAGACTGTGTTCGAAAAAGGTGTATGAAATGCTTGGAACTTTTTTGGCAGGTTACTTTTGTCCAAAGACCATGGTTTATTTGCTAGGCAGTAAGATAAAGAAGGATTCTTTCAGATAAAACATCTGATATGTTCGCGTATAGAGTAGCAAGTTCACGATCGGATGCTTTCATTGAGACCAAAGTGAAGATTGACATTTGCTCTTCAATCTCTGTTCTAAACTTAAACAGGAGAGTCATAATGATTTATCTGACTTTGTACATCAGAAGGTCGTTACTGCATTTGACCTCGAACACATAACCTCAATGTTCTAAATGACATCGAATACTGAGCGTACGGACTAACCCTTAAACGAAGCTCAGTCTTCGACCCAATTTCTTGGTCGATGTCTCAGAAATCGTCTTAAAGGCAACGGAACACCATGGAACACCATGGATCTTAGATGGGTCATACAATCAAGTGACGCAGCGGAGCGTAATAGGAGAAAACCCCTGTCTCGAAAAGCATGGCTTCCATTCATGATCAGGATGCACATGCATCTAGAAGCCAGCATACGATGCAACCCCAAGAACAAGCGTTCACATCCACGTGCACGAATCCAGAAATCCCACTCCCAATATAAAAGCTACCGACAAAACGGGTGCGGTAAGCACTAAAACCCAAGAATAAAATTTTCGGAACCCACCGAGCTCCACACCAAACCACAAACAGTCTAGTGCTTCCAAACATGACCTGATCCAGCTCCATCGTCACACCACCATCACGTTCTCCATCCAACAATTGTATTCTCGATTTCTTTGCTATCTACTCCTTTCCCGATTCCTTTCATTTCGTTCCTACAATTTCCATAATGAAGGGTCGACGAGTTGGTAAATGTAGGCTTGGGATTGGTTGGTATTTTGAGATTAGGCGAGGAAGCGATCCCAAGCGAAAAATATCAGGAGATATTGCAAGATTTACTGTGCTGAAGCTTGCTGACCGTTGCTGACAGTTGCACGTCTTCGTATGATATTTTGAATGATGAGGCGATCATGGTTCGTTTTGCTCTTGGGGGTGAAATTTCTGATGTTGGATGAGGCTGTGATGTTGGCTGGAATCTTGTTTTGGGATGGGTTGCGGGCTTGGAAAGAGGATTTGTAAATAGGTTGGTTGTGGGTAGGTATCGATATTCTCATACGGAGGAGTCTTATATATTTGGCCTCGCTGCTTGGCCACTTTGCTTCCATGTTTTATCCTATCATCATACAATTCAATCGTACAGTGATACAAATTCCACTCAATCACAACATACACACATATCACTTAACTCAACCCGACCAATCTAATCAAATCTCTCCCCACAAACCTTAACTTTGACACAAAACCCTTACTCCCAACCAACCAATCATAAAGTCAAAAATCATGTCCCCAATAATTCGACAAGTCGCCTCCCGCCGCACCTTCTCCATCTTCACCCAAGTTCGCCAACTCGCACGTGGTTTCGAGCCCCATCCTTTCGAACGCTATCCCATTTCACAACAAGCTGCTAAAGCTGACTGGAGTAAATTGGTCAAAAGAACTGCTGGAAATGCTGTATTGTGAGTTTTCTTCTTTCAAGCTTTGTGGAGTAGACTTCTGGGACTGGTTAGATGGAGTGATGTTGAGTGAGATGTATGCTAATCGTGTAAATAGCTATTTCCCCGGTTTCGCACTTGTGCTTGGATGGCCTTTATTGGCCGAGAAGGTTGTTAAGGTAGTTCAGTAGTAGAGCTAGGAGGGCGCGTACAAGACAAAGGAGGAAAATGTGATGTAAATATAGGATAGGTGGTGGAATGGGGAGCGAGATCTTGCATTGTGCATAGTTGGCGGCGTCTTGGGGCGGCGATTTGGGACCATTTTGAAATGCATGATGGTTAGATCGTTTTTGCAAAGAGTCTAGATGAATAATACAACACATACACAACTAGTTCCTGCGGTGCTTGATAAATGTGCATCCGTTCAAGAAATTATGCATGTAAACTAAGAACTGCACTTTTGCGTTTTAGAACGTAGCCACTAAGCACGGATATGGATATAACAGCCCCTCTGTCATGCGAAAATACGTAAAATACTATACAAATAGCACACGCTATGATACATTGCCGGAATTATACGAAGACAACCATTATCTGTTCTTCCGTTTCGGCGTTTTCTCTATTTTTCCAGGTGCATTTGCGATATCTCCTAGAATGGGGTCATCTTTCTCTTGCTTGATGATACCAGCCTCAGACTGAATCCGAGCTTTCTCTTCCGCGTTCAGCGGTATGTCCTTACTATCCTCCTCGGTTTTAACTGACTCTGTGTGCTCGACGATATTACCCTCGGGATCTGTCTTGATCTTCTCTTCTTTAATCTTTCTTCCAATTGTAACTTTACTTCTGTCGGCAGCTTTGCACAATCCATTCATTCCCAACTCACAACTTCCGCACTTTTTCCCTACCGGTAGACAGACAGTTTGTCCAAATCCAACGAGCAACCAATTAATCTCATGCCATAGTTCTTTCGGCAACCAAGCCTGTAATGCAAGTCTCGTCTCTTCCGGTCCTTTCGTCGTGTGCCATCCCCACATATTTGTAATACGATGAACATGTACATCCACACCAATTCCCTCAGTTCTTCCCCAAGCACTACTCATACACAAATATGCCATCTTCGGACCAACTCCCGGTAATGACATCAAACCCTCAATCGTATCCGGTATATCACCATTCCACTGATCCCTAAGAATTTCCGCTGCTGCCTTTATGTATTTCGTCTTGTTGTTGTGAAATCCCACTACCCAAATCAACTCATTCAAGAGCTTCGGATCCACAGCTAAAATATTATCCAAAGTTAGCCCAATTGGTGCACCCTCCTTGTAGGCAGGCAATTCTGTATAAAGTCGGTTCATAGCAACAGCATTTGTGGTATCCTTCGTCTGCGAAGACAACATCAAAGCAGTCAAGGTATGATACCTCTTCGTTTTCGGATCAACAGTATCTTGTCCCAATTTGTCACAACCCATTGTATCCACAGCTGCATTTTGCGCTACGCCTAATTTGCGCATTTGCATGACTACATCGTAGACCTCTCTCCAATCGTTCGGAGGCTTGACCTCCATCTCTCCGGTATCCTCATTCTTCACTTTGCGCGCAGGTTTCCGCACTCGAGTTGGTTTCGACGGCGCAGAGAAAGTGACGGTATCTTCGATTTCGGTCTTTATAGTTGTATCGCCAAGAGATTGTTTCTTTACTGAAGCTCTAGGAGCCGAATTTCTCTTTCTTTTTAGAGTCGAGTTCGAAGGAACAACATCTTCAATATCTGGAGTTGACAATTGATCTTCATCCTTGACCGAAGAGTTCAAAGCAAACCGAGACAGGGAGCGAGTGGAACGTCGTGGTGAAGTAGATGTCGCATTAATTATCTTTGCAGTATCTTTTGATATCCTCGAGGTACGCATGATTGTGATTCGAAAATTAAAGACCAAATTTTGGCTCCAATCTGGGGATGTGCTTTAGTGGCCATTTTGTACTAGATTGATCCCTAGTAAGCTAGCACGAAAATGATGCGTCGACTCGTGCCCTGGCTCGGCGCGTTGCCTTGAAGCGTAGCTTACATAATCATTTATATTTGGTCTACCATCCCACCAATGAAATTTATCTCAACGGAAATTCACGAGGAAGAATCACAAATTTGAACCTCAATAGCAGGAAGGATAGAATTGTATAGGACTTGGTCATGAAAGCAGAAAATATACCTACAACAGGTATGATGCCCCATTTTGTCATCATGGCGCTCATTGCTTCGTTCACAACACTGCTGGACCAGGCTAGACAACCTGGCAGCTATTGTTACATCAAACGGGAATGTGTTCCTATGGATCTTTTCTTGTAATCCTACCCTTTTTAAGCTACTTCTCTTGAAAAAGAAAACGAACAGCGGTATCTGTTCTGTTGTTCTGGCTGTCTGAGAGACGGGCGTGCTCTGCAGCAGTTACTGCTCATCATCCTCGCTCAGTACAGGGTTTGAAGTTGATTAAACCCTCAGAGAAAGTGCTCATTTTCTCCTCTTCGTCTTGGGAACTGAAAATTCTAGAGACTTCTTTTGTATAAGTCATAAGCCAATGTTTGCTGGTCACCACTATCAACGCTTGAGCTGTCTTCGTCCAGGTACTTAAAACTATGAAAGTTGAAGCGAGGCCCCTGGCTGCCAGCACAATTTGATTTTACCATTGTCGATTTTTGTACCATCTTCTGTTTCCCTTCTCATGTGTACCTTCTCAGTAACTCACACTGTTTTTCAGACAGAGATTTATCGAGAGTATATCGGGATTTGTATTCTTGTCAACATAATAATACACCCAACTCCGATATCATGTCATTACCATCAAACCCCTCAACTAAGGTTAGTCCGAAGTCTAACGGAAACTCAATATTTATTCCAAATGTTTGATAAATCGTAATATTTGTGTCGTAAAGCATGAGCATGCAATAGCAGAGCGCAGATCCCTATACTAATGTTCTCCCTTCAAAGCTACGCAAACAAAGCCCTTCATTACCTCCAAAAATCTGCATAGTCGGTGCTGGACTTTCAGGACTCCGGTGTGCCGATATTTTACTCCAGCATGGTTTCGACGTCACAATATTAGAAGGTCGAGATCGAATAGGTGGAAGAGTTCACCAAATAAACCTACCATCAGGTCCCCTAGTCGATTTAGGGGCAAATTGGCTTCATGGCAGCGAGGATCAGCCTTTATTAGATATCGCCAAGAAGACAAACACAGGAGTGCATACCTGGGCTGAAAAAGGGATATGGTTTGGAGAAGATGGGAAGCCCTTGACTGAGGGAGATGCAATGATGAATGAAGTGTGGGAGATAATTCATGGAGCTTTTAAGTATTCGGAGGAAAATTCGGAGACTATTGATCCGGATAAGAGTCTTTATGATTTCATAGAGGAAAAGCTTGTGGAAGCGTATCCTGATGATGCCGAGAAGAGGAGAATATCGATCCAGTTTGCTGATATATGGGGAACTTTTGTTGGCAGTTCAGTTAAAAAGCAAAGTTTGAAATTCTTTTGGCTGGAGGAGTGCATTGATGGAGGTGAGTTCATTTTTTCTTTATCTCCAGCTGCTGATAGACATGCTCAAATTGACAATGGCTTCGATGTTTGTCTATATTGTCTAAGTGGCAAATCACATCTGCATATTCGAGGGTTAATATATATATCAGAAAACATCTTCGTTGCGGGAACATATAAAAATGTTCTCGCTCACGTGGCCAAACCAGCTCTGGAAAATGCAAAGATACAATTCTCAACCAAAGTTACTCGCGTGGAAACAAATCCAGATAATGTCGCTGTATTCACAGACGACGGCAAGAAGCTCGAGTTCGATGAGGTAGTAATGACAGCACCTCTCGGCTGGTTGAAGAAAAACAAAGAAGCCTTCCAACCTCAACTCTCCTCACGATTTCTTTCCGCCATTGATTCCCTCGGTTTTGGCTGTCTCGAAAAGGTTTGCGCTCCATGTTCTCTGCCAAAATCTGTAGTCTAACAAGTTCAAGATCTATATAACCTTCCCTCGCCCTTTCTGGAGCAACTCTGCCCTCCCCCTCTCCGCACAAACCTTCGACGGTTTCACCCAATGGCTCTCGCCCGTCTACGCCCCCACCACAAACCCCGACAAATGGCATCAAGAAATCGTACCTTTATCATCCTTCACGCCAGAAAATGCACATCCTACACTCCTCCTCTACATCTATGGTGCACAATCCTTGCATTTCGCCAAAACCCTTTCTACTCTGCAAACACAGATTGAAAAGGATGAATTTTTGATTACGTTTTTTAAACCGTATTATTCACTTCTTCCAAATTTTAAGGAGGAAGATGAGGGATGCAGACCGCTCAGTTGTGTGGCGACTACGTGGGTTAATGATGACTTGGCGGGAAATGGAAGTTATACTAACTTCCAGGTGGGGTTGAAGGAAGGGGATGAGGATGTGAAAATTTTGAGGGAGGGTGTGCCGGAGAGGGGACTCTGGTTTGCAGGGGAACATACGGCGCCTTTTATTGCCTTGGGGACGACGACGGGAGCTTATTGGAGCGGAGAGGCTGTGGGAAAGAGGATTGTTGATGCTTATAGGATGGGCGGGAAGGGGGCGTGAAGGAGGGTTCTTTTTAGTTTTGGATGCATTATGGGAGTTGTGTACACTGTGGAGGGTGGTAGTAGATTTGATGTGTGTACATTGGGCATACATTTGCATGGTATTTACATGAAAATAGTAGTGGAGGTTGAATATATTCAATAAGCAGACTCTGATATTTTGTCCAATCTTAGTCATGCCATTGACACCGCCCAGAAATTATAACGTCACCATATGAAGAGTCTTTTCGGACAAGTTTCTCCATTCAAACTACGGAGGAGTTGAAACCGTCACAAAACCAAATATCGCTCTTGACAACATCATGCAATCAGGCAAAAGTAGAAAAAGCAAGATATGTTGCTATGCTTTGCTCTGAAAGTCTTCCTCGATGAAAAGTTTTCAGTGAAAAGTTTATTTGCTGCATATTTTGATGTACTGCCACCTATACCTGTCCCGCCAGTTCAGATATGGCTAATGCTGAGGGGGCATTCGTGAACACCTGGGGTTATGATTCGAAACAGGTAAATGATACCCGCCTTTTCCATATGCTGCCGGGCGTATTCGTGGTTAGATCGCTGACTGCTCACATTATTGAATGATAGAATTGATCCCCCCACCCGGTCGTCCATACAAAAGGGGAGCAAGGCGATGATTGTATCCACAATGAATGATGAATTCGGATCGATTCAAGGTTTTCGAAATCTTGAAGATTCGATGACCAATAATAGGTTCACACGACAACGTGTAAAAAACGCGTCTTTGCTGATACAGGTTTCATTCACGTCTTCGTGGTCGGTACGCATAACAACAACAACTTGTGCAATTCATGATATCCCGTTGCTTCCGCCCCTCACTTGAGACAATTGGTTCACATAGTAACTTGTACTGTGCAATTGGTGATAATTATGTGTATGTTTCTCCACTGTCGGGGGAGCTCGGTTCAAGGGCTTAATAATTTGTGTCCATACTCCGTACATACTTCGTACCAACATGTGTGTGTGTGTGAGTGAGTGAGTGAGTGTGTGTGTGTGTGTGTACATGATATCTCGGTGCTTTCACCTCACTCGAGGCTGGATAATGTAACTTATTCACATATAGCAGGATGTGCTACTGACACTTGATTGTGCTCCTCAGTGGACCGCAATCATAGCTGACTCGTGATATCCACGCTTTCAGGAAGCCAATAACCCAATGTCTCGGGTTTGAAATACAAAATACAATATTCACAAACACTAATGTAATTTGTTTGACCGACTTCTGCTTCTTTTCTTCACAACTTACATACACACAATTGACTTTTTCTTAGTTGTGTTACCGAGTACATACGTTACAGGGATAATCAGGGCATTCTCACTGCAGTGTTCTAGTAGGGAATAGCTGTTTAGTGATGGAGTCTTTAGTTTCGATATTCAGGCCCATTCAGGCATTAATCAACCATTCATCCACTATCAACCAACACCAAAGAATTATCCGGTGCCAATCATTTCGCGGGAGTACCTGATTAAATCATTCAATCATTTCGGCTTGCATTTGTTGTTATTCCGTAGAAGCCAGAGTCATTTGCGATTCCTGAAAATGCATGTGAATAATTTGATAGCATACATATGGAATACACGCATAAGTTTATACTAATACTATACCCATCCATTCATACCCCCATCCGCCAATCCATTCCATATGGCCATGGCATATATCCATCCATACCCATATCTTTTCAAAGTATGGAAAATTACCCAACCTCTCCTTACAATCACCAATTCTTTCTCTACACCGTATCGTATCCTCTTCTCTTCCCGTAAAGCCATCACCAAACACAATCACAATCACAATCACAACCACAATCACCGAGCCGCTCTAGAAAATCATGCGTACAATGGATTAAGAGATCGCGGTGATGTTACCAGGAGTACGACGCTCCACCAAGGACTCAGGACTCAGGCTCAGGCTCAGCACGCAGCACTCAAAAATTCAACAACCAACAACCCTGAAAATCCAAGAATTCTTTACCCAAAGAGAGACAACGCAGCCACTTTATCTAGCTTCGCATCCAGGCCACCACTGCACGAAGAAAACGCCTCAACGCCGCCAATAATGGCCGATTTATCAGATCTAATAGGCCACATTCCAGTCTCTGAGGAACAGCGTAGTACACTCAAATGTTGTTGCGGGCGGAAAGATTGCGCATATCTCGTTCACAATGGGGAGGTTTTGAATAAACTGGAGGGGGATGTGACGTTAGCAGCTCAGATGGGTCAGGTACGGTCTCTCCCATGTCTCTCATATTTGTGTTTATGTTACCGTTGATCTTCTACATTCCTCCAATATCTCTTCTTTTTCTCTCCTTTGCTCTACATCGTCAAACCTCAAGGGAAATTAATGCAGCAAAGTTTTCACTTGGGGAAGTGGATACTGTGATCTGGTTCTTGGGTTATTTACTTTTTACATCGATTTAAATTAAATCTAATCTTCTTTTGTTTACAACCCCGCGTCATCCCACGCGCCTATATAATTAGATGCATGTGAAGGATCTCGGAAGATAAACATCACTCAGATGGCTCAATCATTGACTTTTGCTTTGCAGGCTTTATTAGAAAGGCACGAACATTATATGATCGATGCGGAACGAGAACGGGCAAAGATGTCGGCAAAGATTGAGCAGTTGGAGGTGGATAAGAGGGAGTTGGAGGTCAGAAATGAAAAGGTAATTGCGGAGAATAAGAGTCTGCTAGATCAATTGGAAGGTCTCAATGGTAGTTATGAGGAATCAGAACTACAAATCAAACTACTCGAGACGACTTTAAAGAGCACGCATGCCGAAATGAAACGTCTAGAGACTTTAGCTTCGAGAACACATCAACTAGAGAAAGACTTGGCGATCTTAGAGGAGGAGCAAGCAACTTTACGAAAGACAATTACACATACGGCAGCAGAAGAGCGCGCCGCGATACTGAGGTGGAAGAGAGCGGAGCGAGGACTTCGTGATCTACAGGATCAATTGGAGAAAGTTGAGCGAGAGGCACGAGAGGAAAAGGAACGACATGTGGAAATTTTGGGTCGCATGGAAAGACAACGTACAGTCGAAAGAGAATTAGATACGGCTGCTTCTCGTCTGAAGGGAGCCGCTGCCATCACAACTGGGAAAGGAAAGCATGGTACCAATGTTGTATCACATTTTGTTAAGGATATCCTACAAGATAATGCGAACTTACAACTTGGAATTGTGGAGTTAAGAGAGATGTTGATGAGTTCAAATGATGAGGTGCAAATATTGCGGGAGCAATTATCGATGCATCAGCCGATGTATGCGGATGATGTCGTCGACAACGCACATCAGCAACGGACATTAGGGGCAGAACTTGAGCCAAGCGAACAAGAATCGGAATCAAGACCACAAGAATCACAAGTTGTTTCCCAAACACTTCATATACATCATCATTACCATACACCAAAGAGAGAGGAGGTGCGTAAGCCGAAAAAGAAACGTACTTCTTTGACTTCCAGTATATTCTCTCCACTTATAAGAAGTCCACAATCACCGCGAACCTCTAGAGGGGCAGAGAATGCTATCTTATCCCAAACAGCGGTCACAGTTCCAAGTCCTATCAACACGAACAATCGATGGTCTGTTCAATCAAGCCAGTTGTCAGAATTTGCTCCTTCATCAGTACCATCATCTCCACAATCCATGTATCGAAACAGTACTCTATTTGATCGGAGTTTTGATGTCGATTCATCACGTCCGACATCACCTACCTCAAGTATTGACCCGTTATCACCTCGAATTCATCCTTCATTTCACAGAAAACGACCATCTGAAGTCTCGACTCGAAGCTTTGCTGCTATTGCTAATTTCCAACCACATAGTATAATACATGAAGAGGAGGATGATGATATTCATGATGTATCAGACTTACAGATTACCGATATTCCTTCTCTCACCGATGATTCTACAAATCCTACCACTTCTGATCTTTCTGACAATACCGTCGAGGAATGGATGCCTTCTCAATTCGGTCCTAGGTTACATCGTTCTTCATCCCGTGAATCTATCATATCAATCTCAGGAATCGACATTCATACATTAAGAGCACGACCTTCACAATTAAATATGTCCTTGGCAGGAACAGCAATGAGACCAAGATCAAGACTTTCAACTCCAACAACAACTTATTCCACGGAAACTATTACTGGTGCATCTATTATCACAGCTCAACCTACTTTATCTCGAATGGGCCATAGTAGTACAAGCTACCTTCGCTCAAACATCGGGTACACAAATTCATCCAAGTCTACAAGTAATGATAGAAGTTCCATTAGATCCAGTTCATCTAATGAAGGTAATAGCAATGATGGTGGCCTAGGAAAGAAAGTTGGCGGTTGGGTTTTTGGTCGATGGGGAATGTCTTCTGCTAAGTCAACCAGTGATCTTCGAAGTACTCAAGAAGCTCAAATTCCAGTTCCTCCACCAATTGTTCGAGCTGTTAGTACACCATCTGTCTCAGTAACCCCAGAACCAATAAGGGCTATTTTGGGAAGGGCGGCGGGGATCAATCAGAAAGGCCCCATTCCAGGATTTAGACAAACGGAAAAGGCACCTAGTAAGGTCATTCCGGATTTGGTTGATCATGATGCATTGTCGGAGGTACTTGAGGAATGAATCGTCATACCTGGATGAGGTGCGGAGATCAAACTTTACCATAATAATACGATGTCGACTACGGATATCGAGAACTTCACAATACAACACAATACGATTTAAGATTTCATTTATTCGATCTTTTCGCTACAGCTTGGAAAACTTTTACAGGTGGGTATTACAGATATAAAATAGAGGAGTCATATATTTTTACATAATTTGCAGGGCGTTTATGGATTGAATGGGATACGGTGGAGTGGAATAGCGACCGATAAATGGTTTTGTTGGTTGGACACGGATACCCAATTTGTACTTTGTGTATATATCTTTTTTTTTTCTCTGTATACATGTATGTATTTATCTTTTTATCTATAGTATCTATAGTATCTATATATGGAGTGATATTGGGAGAGATGGGGAGAGATGGGGAGAGGAGGGGAGAAGAGGGGGTGAGAGGAGAGGGAGTGAGATGAGATGAGGTGACTAGATTATCTCGTTGAAGAAAGGGGTCTTTGGGTAGATTAGATTAGATATAATTAAATAATTTATAATATTCGTTTCAATTTATATTTTATATTTATATTTATATTCAGGTTTGAACTTAAATTTAAATTTAGATTTATCTATAAATTCTTTATTAGTTGAATTCATAAAGTGATTTTTAATAAAATTAAAATACGTACACGATGTAGGAAAATCAGTTAAATCCTATAAATTAAAAAGTTGAATTATAGTTATAGAATGTAGAGTAAATATGTAAATATACCGCACTACAAAGAGAATTCAGTAATAAGTCTTTCCGAGTCGAGATTTACTTGGGTTTTTGGGGGGTTCGAGGTGAGAGGAAATTGGGGGAAGGGAGGGAGGGGTTGCGTTGTTTTGAGCTTGAGGTTGGAGGTTGGAGGTTGGAGGTTTAGGTTTAGGTTTAGGTTTTTTCCCTCTTTGTTATACGAATGAATGAATGAATGAATGGTTATGAAAAATTAAATAATTGAAGGAAATGAAGGGAATGAAGGAAAAGAAAGAAGTTATGATGTTTTTCTTAATTTATATTTATCTAGGTATTGATCGCAGGTTACGTTGCCTGGTATATTCTTTTCAGGGATGTAATTTAAGGGAAGAGAGTAGAGAGTAGAGAGTAGAGAGTAGAGGGTAGAGAGTAGAGAGTTAGAATGGTGATGGAAAGGGGGAAAGGTGGCTCGTAACATAACATCATTATATTAGGATATCCACGAATCATCAACATCGTAAATCAAAGACCGGAACGAATCATAGATATCTAAAAGTCATCTTTATTATCTGCATATCATCATAGGGTATGCAGTCAAAACGCACGCAACGGGTGAGATATATGAGCCTAATTGGGTATTCAATGCATCCGTCCATTCATCCATCATACAAAATACACTTCGTGTAATTAAAGCAAAAATTATCCACGCCCTCATCTACTCTACGCAATCCAGAACCAAATTCTCTCCCAAACATTTCTCGGTGTTAAATCCGGCCATTGACCATCCTCAGCATCCAGTGCCGCCTTACCAGTATAGATATCCGCATCAGCTGGTGAGACCCATTTTGTGCGTTTGACGATTTTCCAGAAGCCGTAAAGGACGAAGAAGATTGGAATTCCGATGTATGCGGTGAGGAAACCTATCGTCAAGGTTAGGTTTGTTATTATTCGCAAAAGATTCAGAATATGTACTTACTGGTGATATTCCAGTGAGAGTGGTTCTCGCCAACAAAGACATCAAATCCATTGAAGAGGATGATGATGATGAAGAATCCTAATGAGATGTATGCGGTGTATGGTTGGAATTTACTTTTGAAGACGAGAGTATTTCTGTCGACCCCTTGAGCTTCTAATGCTTTATGGAATTGAATGTAGGCAACGCAAATGGAGCACCATGTGAAAAGAGATGCAATGGTGGTTAAATTTTGGAACCATGCGAAGGCAGCCGATGCACCACCTGAACCAACGGACAAATATGTGATGAGAGATATCGCTGCTGTGCAAAGGACAGCCCAGTATGGAACACCTGCCTTACTGCATCGGAGAAGAAACCTTGGAGCCTGTTTATTTTGAGCGAGAGCGAACAAATAACGAGATCCGGTATACAGGAAGGCATTAGCGGAAGAAGTTGCGGAGGTTAAGATGACTGCGTTGATGATTGATGGTAAAACTGGAATACCGGCATTTTGAATACCAATAACCCATGGGGATCGAGCAGCACCAGCAGCACCTTCTTCTTGAGCCTTGAGTAAATGTTTATCGCTGGAGGAAACGAGGACACCAATTGCCAAGGAACCAAGGACATAGAAGAACAAGATACGCCAGAAAACTCGGCGAACTGCCTTTGGGATGTTCTTGCGTGGATTCTCAGCTTCACCGGCGGCTACAGCAACCAATTCAACACCACCATACGAAAAGGCAGCATTGACCAGAGTGGAGAAGAGACCAAGGAATCGACCTGTGTTTCCTGTAGAGTCATACTCCTTCATTGCTTGACCATGCTTCCAGTAGCGGAATCCCAAACGATCATGTTTAGGATTTCCTCCGAGATCTACGATAAAGGCCATGATCAAAAGTCCCACGATTGTAATAATTTTGATACTGGCGAACAAGAACTCGGCTTCTCCATATATTGAGACGGCGAAGATGTTGAGGCAGATGACGAGAACGATAATTATACTGATCCAGGCAGCGACATTGATATGCACTGCTCCGGGCCAGTATTGGATAACGACAGAAGCGGCTGAGATTTCGGCACATAGGGTAATTGCAGCGGAATACCAGTTCTATTCGACCACCATAATCAGTATGAGCTTATGATATCAGGCCTCAGGTGAATGATAACACAACTTACATTCCATCCGACAGCAAATCCAAGCGCATCATCAGCATACCGAGCACAAAATTGTGGGATAGCTCCAGGTAAAGGTAACCACGTAGCCATCTCACCCAAACACTGCATCATAGCAAAGATAGCAATACCAGTAAAACTGTAACCCAAGAGAATGGACAGCGGACCAGCTTGCGTGAGAGCACCTCCAATACCCAAGAAGAGACCAGTACCGATGGTACCACCGAGCGCAATAAATTGAATATGTCTCGATTTCAATCTACGGGTCCAAGTTAGCGATAGATTTCGTCGCCGACGAGTTATTTGAGACCATTCTCGAATCTTACCCGCGAGAAACATAACCATATTCCTCGGCCGTCTCGATATTTCCATATATCTCACCGGCTTCCTGCAATCCAGCAGCTTTGGTTGCATGACCGCTAGCAGGATCGACATATTGCGGGCGGGCATTGTTAGCATTATAGTCGAGCGACTCGTCGACATTATAGTGTCCCTTCTCCATTTTTGCAGATGAGAAATGGAGGATCAATATTGGCAGGGAGGAGAGAGGAAAGAGGAGAAGAAAGAGAAGAAGAAGATAAAATCAATACCACAGGGGAAGGTCAAGCGACTTTATACAAACACTACAAACACGAGTTCTTGAAGGTGAATGTGAATGTGAATGTGAATGCGAATGCGAATGATACCTCCGAAGCGCGACTAGTGAAAATTAAAAATATTTGGCCGCTGCAAAAAAAACTTCCCCTGCTGCACAAAAGAAAACGCCATTTTCAAGCCTCGCTGCAGCTGTATGTTGGGGTGGTTGTCCCATTTCCAGCTCGTCGGCCCATTAGATGATTTGGATAGCTTTGCTTCACTCAACACGCACATGCACACGTACATGGCCAGGATCAAAAGAAATCAATTACCAGGGTTTGGAAACGGGGGGGCCGTATACAGACAGTATACCAAAGTTCGAAAGAATCCCATTACGGACTATTTAGTCGTTATACATATTTCACATTCATTTGGAGTGAATTCCAATTCGTTGTCAGGAAATGGGATTCGAGGGGTTCTGTCTGTGTGGAAAAAGCCACTAATCACAAGGGATTACAGAGATGATATCTGATATCTCATTCGTGCGTTTTATCACAAGGGTTGCTTCGCCGTACACAGATGGGAGGGAGGGAAGAGCAGTAGGCTTGGTAGGGCAGGTCGCACAAGCTGTAATGGATGGTTACAGTACATTTGCTGATGCCTTGCGCGCCACCTGTAATTTGGGATTTAGCATACGGGACTATTTAGGCATCCGTTGCGCTCGAGTTTGACAATCGCAGCGCAGTGGTGTACGAGGAAGGAGAAGAGAGAAGAGAGAAGAGAGAAGGGAGGAGAGGAGAAGAGAAGAGGGAAGAGATGTAGACGGGAATAATAAAATATCTAGTAGTCGATCGATACCTACTCTGCACATGAAATATGAAATGCGTGAAATGAAAGGAAGAGATGATGACTACCTACCACGTATTTTCTTTCCTCTACAACTAGATCCAGATCTAGCTCTCATCCCCGCTCTAGCTCCAGATATCATTTTCGGCGATTCCGCCGACAAGACCTGCCGTTTCTGAGGGGGGGCCCCGAGATAATAAATGCCCTTTTCTTTCATTTTCGATAGGTATAATAAGAACATAATTTAGAAGAAGCTTCGGATTCCAATTCGAATTCGAATTCAACCTTATTAGCCTCAACCTAGATAGAGCATGGGCATTTCATCTGTCCAATTATATGATTAGATTCCATTTTCATGCATCTTTTGACTTCCCCAGCTCAGCTACCTCCCCCATGCACCATTCCACGCGAATGAACATGGAATGAATGGTGGAGTGGTGAAATGGTGGAGTGATGTGATGAAAGATAACAAATCGGACGGGCTCGGGTGCCGATAGGTTAGGCTTAGGTTCACCTTACGGAGTATAGACGCTAGCTATTTCGTTTCTAGCGTGGCGCGCTTTTGTTAGTTTCGGGGTCGATATACTACCTATGTGGTTAGTGCGGTGTCGATTGAATGGATGCTTGGATGGATGGCTTGATTAGCTCTAACTCTCTCCAGTGTTCTGGATCTTGCGAGTGGAGAGCAAGAGTTGAGAATTGAGAATCGTGAGGCAAAGCGGATATATCTGGATCGCAAGTAGTGATGTAAGTAGTAGTATCCTTATATAGAATCCTGTAGATCAACAGTCATCACAACAAATATTGATATGAATCACTTGATGGCGATGCGCTGCACTTGTAAACTTCATTCTTTCTCATCGGGGAAATCATCCGGTTGTGTGTTGTAAATGGTTGTATACTTTCCTCCAAGGGTGTTGCGTTCGAATGTTCAATGTAAGATTACCACCACCAATCAACAACTCATATTACAGATTCCACCTTGTAGTCTGCCCATCACTACACCCCTCAATAAAGTAAGCTTCTAGAAGTATTTTATCGAAGATTATTTATTATTATTTATTTACTACAATGAAGATCGACAGGGTCTACCTAGGTACCTAGGTACCTAGGTACCTACGGATAGATTACTCGGACCAGGGAGGAAAGGGTTATCTCTCGCGAAAAGCTTCACAACCCAACCACATCAAGATACAGATGATAAGAGTAAAATAACGAGTGATAAGAACAGACACGAATGAAAAAGATTATATCATCTCTCTATCGTATATGTAGCAGATATATACTAGATAGTATACGAGTAAATAATACATAATACCAACAAGTACTTTTCCCACGATATTTGATGCCGCGTTAATGTATTGTCAGTAGGTTAAAGATAGATATTAGATATTCAACATCAACTTTAGAGTTTAGAGTTTAGAACTTGAGCTGGAATTCTGGGGACGCACGTGTCGTTGTCGAGATGGCCCGGGAAGATAATCGCCTGATTAACCCACTAGGTACAGTAGCTAGCTAGCTTTAGACTCTAGGAGGCTAGAAGGCTAGAAGGCTAGAAGGCTAGGAGGCTAGAAGGCTAGGAGGCTAGAAGGCTAGAAAGGTAACCAACCCACTATCCGTTTCCGGCGTGTGTATGTATCTTACCTACTCCGTACATATGTTCATTTTCCTTATCTGTGGAGTTACGGGTCCCTGGTCTTTTTGGGAGATACGATGCTGGTGCTTATTATTCCGTACTGTGTTTCGGAGGAGAGTGGATGGGATGGGTTGGGATGGGATGGTCATTGCTTGTAGTCTCGGTCTCTTCTGATATGGTTTGCTTTGACATGCTCTGGTTTGGTCTCGTCTGGTCTGATCATGTCAGGACGGGATGTCAATCTACTTACTTTCGGCCTTAAGCCTTAAGAGGTTAGTTAACCTTAAGGGTAACGGATGTGGGTCCGATAAGGAAGGTCCTTATAGTATGTGTTAGTTTGTAGTTTGGATTAACTACATGTAGATCAACCAAGTACCCCAGACCCCGACTCGAGCTATCTTTTAATCTTCGCATTCAGGACCGTTTAGCTGCCATGTTGTTTCTTTCTTTCTTTCTTTCTTTCTTTCTTAATTAACAGATAACGATGAGTGGTTATAGAGCAGAGTAGTTATAGAGCAGATTAGCTCTAGAACGAAAGTATTGTAAGAACTGAGAATCTATAGAGTAATCCATGCAAACCATCTTCTTTTCTTCTACATATAACATTACCTAATGCTGTCTTTACTCAAACACCATCTATATATTTCTACCAAGTAAGTAAATACATTCAATCATCAATATCAATACTATCAATCAAAATATAAGAACCAAATCAAATCAAATCAAATCAAATCAAATCAATCCACAATACGAAAAAAGCCAAAGTGAAGAATAAGAGCCTTATAAAGTTCACCTTCCTCCTTCTCAAACAAGAACCTTGGCCGATGTATAAACAAGCTTATACAAGTTGACGCCGAGCTTATCCGGTCTTTTCCTCTTTCCTAGTATTGTTTTGAATTTCTTTCTTTTATTCCATCAATATTTATTCTGAAGGTTCGTTGCCGTTCTTTTAGATGTTCGGGCTGGAACTCGTTATATATACAGGTAGGTAGGTAGGTAGCTTTATCCCTGAGTCTTATCTTCTCCTCTATACGTTGTGTTCCGTACTAGGTGTGTTTTTAATCAATATTATCATACTACCGTCCTGATGAATTTGAGCATGAGCCACCATCGGGCGCTGTACAAAGTACGTACTGTACCTAGGCATACTTAGTATTGTCTTAGATTAGGCGTGCTCACTGACATATGATTAAGTGGTGGTCCTTGGCGCACGTACGCAAAATCAAATGATAAGAGAATAGGCTTGACGAAATATATCCTCATTTCATCCGAGTATTAAAACTTAAGAAAAATGCATTTGGCAAAGTTTCATCAGATCAATTCGACCGAATAAAGAGAGAGGTCAGCTAATCGGATCAATTTATACACATTATAAATATGAACCATTCAACATATCCACCAAACTCCCCCCGTTCCTTTCCCATGGTATACCTTCCTAATCTATCTAATCCATCTCATCCATCTCGTCGATGCGCGTTAACTTCGCATACCTAGGTAGGTACTAGTATCTTCAAACTAGAACTATGCAAGTAATAGTAATATTAATAGTAAGATACAGAATACTTCAAGTGCCTGCCTACCTACCTACCTTCCTAGTACGCATAGGTAATATAAATTGATTCCTCCCTCTCTCCTCCCATAAATAACTTGACATTCCCCCTTCTTCCAGTATTTCCCCTTTAGATACCTATTCATCCCGTCTCGAGATTCTCCCTCCCGGCTCATCAAAACTACTTAATTAATGGATAAAATGTTGCGTAGCTCACTTATCTGTCTTCTAGATTAAGAATATCTAGGTCAGGTATTCTGGAATATTATATAGCTTATTGAGAGTGGTGAGTTGAGATGGATGCATGGATGCTGGTAGCTGAGTTTACCTATAGCTGTATATATCTAGGTAGTTATTAGTTGGATATTTAATATGCAATATGTAACATGCAACTTACAACATACATTATCCTGCGTGTATTAGAATCATGATTCAAGATGAGATGAGATGAGGTAGATTGGTTGGCGTGTACCTATGCAATATACTTTGGGAATGTGAGGATGAGTGAACGTCGAAGAACGACAGATGTTAGATCAGATTTTTGTTCATCTGTGTGCCGCAGGAGGCGCTTATTGTTTGATAAAATTCTTAAAAGGTTGATAGGATATTTCTGTTTCTGTTTCTGTTTCTGTTTTTCATTTCACTTTTATCTCTCGGTTGTGTTGTTTTAGTTGAGTCTGTCGAGTCTGTCGAGTCTGTTGAAGTTGGATCTTTACAATAATCGTATTTGTATCATACTCATTATCTTGCGGGCTCCAACTCTGAGTCTCTTACAACTTTTTAAAGTTCGGGAATTGTTTCGTTATTTACTGGTGCGTAGCATTTTGTAGAAGATATCGTTCGAATGAGATAACTTCCCTCATCATCATATTGCTGAGACTTTTACACACTTGTTATTTTGTGTGTGATGCTGGTGTATGTTTGTCAATGTTCTATGCCATCGATCTCGACTGTCTTTATAATCCATCAAAATGATGTACATATATTTCATATGAATTAAGATGTTGTTTTGGCAATGGCATTAATAATAGAGAAGAATTCTGGACCAGCCAATACAAAAACTCCTAAAAATAAAAGCCTATCATCCATCGCGAAGCCCAAATAAACGCACCATTAAAATAAAGGGGGAATCATTAAAGCAAATCGACACCATTTCAGTGCACCGAATCCAGTAACCACACTGAAAATCAAAACCATTCTCCATCTCAAATGCCCATGCCTATCCCAATCTATCCCACCCAGGATACCAACAAAACCACCATGGAATTTTTAAACAACGACAACCGAAGAACTCTCACTATCATTATCCTTCCCTTCACCATCTTCTTCAATCGGGATCATCCTCTCCTCAATCGGAGTATCCACCACAAATTCAACCGCCTTATCTGCGGCATCAGCCGCCGAATCATCCACATCCAACTTTTTCTCCCCAACTTCCATAGGATCCTCATCCTCATCTTCATCACTACTCATCTCCTCACCCATAATATCTCTCTTCTTCTTTTTCTTCAGCGGTTCCTCCCACTTTCTCTCTCTCTTAACCCTAACCGTCACCGCGCTCTCCTTACTATAAACCCTAAGTCCGACAACCAAAACCGCATTCCATGGATCCTTCTCAAATTCATCTTCTTCTTCGGAATTAGTGGTCGGTGGAGGTGGAATTGCTTTGTTTTCCGCCTCGATTATATCGTCGAGGACTCCAACACTAATGTCAGATATGTCAGAACATATGGATTCGAGATCTGAGTCATCTGAGTCGTCTGAGTCGTCTGACTCGTCGATAGGAACTTTAGGCGGATGAGTGACTGTGGTTGATGTGGAGACCGATGCAGATGGATTGGTGGCTAGAGCTGATCTGAAATCGACATTTATGGCCTTGAGTTGAATGATTTTGTCTTCTTTTGATTTGCTACCAGTTTCTGTATTAGCAGGTACACCGATAGTCGTCGTGTTTGCACGCCCCTCCGACGTGGCTACATCGATTATCGCTGGTTTCTCAGTGTCTGATGCTTGATCAGATGATGTGACGTCGGACTCTGTCTTTCCATTATCTTTGGCTTCAGTTCCAATGAATTTACCTTCCACAACCTTTACTTCAGCCTTCGGGTCCGTATCACCAGCTTCTTTCGCACTTTGTTCCGAAAACACCCTAGCAACATGTTCAATTGTCCTTTTGGCTTCCTTTTCAGCTGATTTCTGAGCTGCCTTCTTGGCTTTCTTAGTTTTGGCCTTAGCCATACGTTTGATTTTCTTCTCTTGAATTTTGCGTTTCTCCTTGTTTTCATTATGAACCCTTTTCTTCTTTTCCTTCATCAATCTCTCCTTGACTTCTTTCCTCGCCTTATTCTTTCTCTTTTCCTCGGCTTCTTTTCTAGCCTTCTTCTCTTCCGGAGTCTCTTTGACAATTCCCTTGGCATGAGCTAAATCATAAGAAAGACCGATACGGGAAAGCTTATCACGACGTTTTTTGGCGTTATTACGAACAACATCTTCTACTGGTAAGGAGCTGCCGTCTTTGAAGGCTTTAACTTTCATCAAGACATCGTATTCACCAGCTGGAAGTTCAAGTTCAGCGGTAACAGAGCGACGCATCCAATAATTGCCATGACTTCGAACAATGTAATCTTCTTCACCAGCCTGGTGTATACGGAAAGATAATTCAAAACGATATTGTCCTTCGAGTCCACAGAAATAACGGCTGTCGAGTTGAGAGAGAACAATCATAACAGGCGCTGCATTGTCGAGAGTGAAAGAAAATTTGGTATCATGGTAACTGACAGTCCATGGAACTTCCATAGAGGCCCATGATTGCGTAACCTTCCATTCTTCCGTGAAAAGTCTTGTGCGATCGAAAGTTTGAAATTTTTTGAGAAGATCGTCATAGGACATCCAGAATGAACCATCATCTCCAAAGCGATGCTCAAGTTTCTTCATCCATTCTGGTGTCCACTCTTTGCTTCCATCACCTAGCACGTGTCAGAACTATAGATATGTACGAATGAGAAGTCTGACTTACTCCATGCCCCCTTCCATTCACCCTCGCCCCATGGATTTCTTAGCAAGACGAGTCGCTGCCCATCCATCTCCACAGCTCGTAGAACTGAATATGCATGGCCTTCATAAATACCTTTTCTATAGCCACGACCGCAGAAAATACCGGCAGCACAACCGAATAAGAAATCTTTATTAACCTTCAACAATTCTTCTTTCCAGAAGTATTCCTTGTCGAGAATATCGGTGCTGAAGATTTCGGTTGTAACACCACCAGTAAGATCCTCAAGCCCTTCACCCGTAAAACCCCCTTCAATGGCGGCATAATCCTGTGATTTGTTAGTGAATGACTTTTCCTTAATTCGTGTCCGTAGACTTACCCCATGAGCCTTTGCATATGCCTTTTCTAGCAACGGTAACCAAGTCTCATTTGGATCTTCGCACTGCGCAAAGTATAATGCACCAGAGTTACTTTGATAAATCTTGCGATAATCTTCTTCGGAATTGATACGCTGACGATCTTCGATGAGGTTACGTTCAATCCAACTTTCATCGTAATCAGGCTTTGTCAAATAAAGCTTATCATCAATGATCTCAGATCTCCACTCTCCATCTCGATGGAACACGAATCCATAAACACCAATATTCTCATCTCTGGCAACACAAACTTTTTCAATCAAGCCAGGCTTATTTCCCAATGTGCAAAGAGCTGCCATAAACCAACAATCACCATCACGTCCTTGTCTGATATCATTTGCTGTGGCTCCGCTGACATAAAATTGAGGATTGTCGAATATATCACCGACTCTTTTGACGGAGCCAGGACTAAATGTTGGAGTTAATTTCTCGCTTGTATTCTCGAGCATTTGCAGACAATCTCCTTTTCCCCACTTCAAATCGAACTCAATATCGAAGTGCGGATCGCGATATTTTTGATTTACTCGACGACATTCTTTGACGATTTTTGCAACTTTTGCTTTGCATAGTGCTGCCGCTTCTTCATATGATGCGACGGCATTCTTGCCTCTCGTGACAGGCTTGGATGCCTTCTTACCAGCTTTTGTTGTGTATAAGTTCTTTGGTAAGACAGTGGAAGCTAGATTTCAGGCTTAAATCAGTATTTGTGTTATAATTTCAGAAGTACTTTGTTCATAGCATACCTTTTCCTGGTGTCTTGCTATTAAATTTGACCCAGAATTCATCTATCGCATCTTGAGGGGAGATGTGCTTGGACTTTTTAACATCCACTGCTGGAACAAACACAATATTTCCTCCAGGTCCTTGCCTCTTAACTCTTTGATGCTCATCGTCAGAGGAATCGTCGCTGCTAGAGTCGCAGGAAGGAGGAGAAGGAGGGGGAGCCATCTTGTTGAACCTCTTGCTAAACTTGCCGAGGCCGGGAGATGGTGGTACAGCCATATTTAAGTCCGCAATACCTGGTACTTACCAAATGCACGCTCTGTGTAATCAATGGGCTCGTTCAATTTTTCAAGCGCTCGTTCCATGAAAAATACAGTGAATAGTCAAACAGGAACGAGTTACAAATAACAGCTGAGACAGAAAATGAATAGAAATTAGAAACCAAACTGCATGAAGGCAGAGCTTTTTTATATAATATTGTACAGCTTCAACATCCCACCTAGGGTTGAACAGCCGGTTGGCGCTTACCCTTCCACGGTCAGCGGCTGAGGATTCACTTGGTCTCGCCGCGCGACAACGACTGATCGAGCATTCGCCTAGACCAGTAATACCAAGCAATACCAGTCATCTTTGAATGCATACACATTATTTAACCACCGGCAATACAATCATTCTGATATGACAACCAATCTGCGTACGGTGGCTGTAACGCCGCTCGTCTGGAGTTGAGCAAGAGGTCAGGATTTCTTAGCTGCATGACTAATCGTTGTAAGCTCAAAGCCTCATTGCCTCACCGAGTATACGGTGACCCAAAGAATTCTCAGATCTGTGGATAAATAGAGGTTGCGGCCTAGATACTGCCACAATAGATGACTCTTATGGCCAAAATACAAAAGCAGGATATACTTTTTTATATCAGGTGAACGGGACGACGATATAAAACCCGGTGGTTAAATGGTGGGGTTCAAGGTGGGCTCGCATGGACTTCCTGAATCTAGACTAACCCCGATGTTGCTCAAGTATTCAAGAAATCATGATTCTCCCAAGATTAGCTCATGGCTCCTAACATATGTGTGTATAAATGTCGATAACGTATCTAGGTACAAATATTCATAATAAAGGTGTCTCGTTAATCTCAGTGAAAGTTAAGTTATCACAATAATGGTTCACTCTATCATCCCATTTTTGACATTCCTACCCGCTGTAATCGCCGCAATTGCTCCTTCAGGGCCATACCAGCGACCATTGAAGCATCCCAAGAACCAACATGAAAATTTCATTGCCTCTTCTATTTTTGGCCCTTACCAACATGAAATACTCGGATTTGAAGAGCCCGTTGCACTAAAGCCTACATTTGAATGGCGAACCTTCGCGGAAGACCTGGATGATGTGATATCCAACTCAGGTGGGACATTTGCCCATCTACCTGCTGTGGACTGTTTCGATTCCGGAAGCGATGGAACATTCGATGTGGCAATTGTAGGCCACCCATTTGACCTTGGGGTTACATATCGGCCTGGGGCAAGATTTGGTCCCAATGCAGCACGGCAAGGGGCTAGAAGGATGTCGCCGAATTTTGGGTGGAGGCAAGTTTGGTCTCTTGAGTAGGCTATCGAGGACTTGAATTCTGACTATCAATAGTATTGATAATGGCGTGAATCCTTTCCGTAGCTGGGCTACTGTCGTTGATTGTGGGGATATTGTGAATACGCCGTTTGATAAGCATCTTGCTTTGAAACAACTCGAGAATGGCATGAGTTCTATCAATTCGCGCCGTCCAAAGAATGATACGGAAGGAAAAGCGGTTCGGGCCATCAGTATAGGTGGTGATCATACCATCAGTAAGTCTATCTTATTTTATTGTCTTGGAGTCCTTGAATATTGAATTGTTTTCAGCATTGCCTATCCTCCGAGCCCTTCATTCGACATGGGGACGTGTTGCTGTGTTACATTTTGACTCCCATCTTGATACATGGGATCCTGCGAAACTTGGGGGAGGATTGTCAAAGTACACTGACGTTAACCATGGAACTATGTTACACATCGCACATGAAGAAGGACTTTTGTCCAATCATAGCAATATGCATTTAGGAACACGATGTCCGCTCATGGATGAACATTTTGACCTAGACAACGATCTCAGGTGCGGCTTTAAATATATTCGAGCGAAAGAGCTTGATAAACTTGGTATCGAAGAGGTGGTTCAAAGGATTGTTGATACCGTTGGTGATGAGTATGTTTACTTGAGTGTGGACATCGACGTATTAGATCCAGCCTATGCACCCGCGACTGGAACGATCGAACCTGGGGGATGGACAACAAGAGAGGTATTTTTTCAGTCCTCACAGTAAGCTCACCTCACAATGACTAATATTGCATCCCAGCTGTTACAAATCATAGGTGGACTATCAAAAGGAGGGCTGAAGATCGTAGGATCAGATGTCGTGGAATTTACTCCAGTGTATGATAATTCGGCCGAAACTACTGGTATTGTGGTTGGAGAGATCATTTATGAGATTCTTCAATGGATGGTGCATGTCCCAGTCGCACCTAGGAAGTGACCATAATTGGAAGCTTACGAGCTTGGCGGTTGGACATTTATTGGGAGCTGGGTAAAAAAAAGCACGAAGCTTAAACTATGAATATCCGTCATGAAGTGGCAGAATCTGAAGTACTAGGTAGATCTTGAGTTTCTGCACGATCTAGGTTGTGAGGTGAAAGGTGAGATAAGAATTGATAAAACTTAAATTGCACTAGCTTTGTTTGGGCTTAGTATTGTTGACAGCTCCGCCAATGAAACGGCACGTTCCGAAGCTTTCCCACTAAATCAATGACGACATTATTGGTAAAGAGCTCAAGGTTCTCTCTTGTCCAATAATATGCTCTCAATTACCATGCAATATACTCGATTAGGTAGGTAGGTAGGTCTTACATTCTAACCCCTCATCATACCACATTTCCCCGCCATACCTCACCTGCAACACAAATTGAGAACTCCATATCCTTCACGCCGTTCTTCTTTTGTACTTTCCCACCAAGCGCATTCAAATCTTTTTCCCGTTCTTTCATGTACTCTCTCAAATCCGCTGTCCCAATAACCCTGAGACATCTTACAAGTAAACGGCAAGCTTCGGTTCCCCGCATTCTCAACTTCACAAAGCATTTCACAACTACCAAAATCACAATGGAACATCAATATAAACTCAAGGATCTCAGTACCTTGGATTTGAAGCCAGGAGAGAAGAAAGAAGTTGAAGTTGAGGGTATTGAAGGAGGAAAAGTGTTATTGTGTAATGTCGGTGGAAAAGTTACAGCTTTAGGTCATAAATGTACACATTATGGCGCCCCACTGGTTAAGGGTGTTTTGACTGGAGATGGACGTTTGACTTGTCCATGGCATGGAGGTATGCAATTCTATTAAACGAGATGCAAAGAAGATATGCTAAGAAGATATGCTAACGTTTCGTTGGCAGCTTGCTTTAACGCCACCAGTGGAGATATCGAAAATGCCCCCGCTCTAGATGCCCTTCCTTCATTTGAGTTGTCTGAGAAGAATGGTTCGGTGTTTGTGACAGGAGATAAAGAGACTATCAAGGGCAGCCGAAGAAAACCAAATATTAGGATTACTGGTGGAGTTTCACAGGAAAAAGTCGTAATCGTCGGCGGTGGAAGTGGTGCCATTGGTACAGTTGAGGCACTTCGTGAAACTGGTTTCAAGGGATCGGTCACCATGATCAGCAACGAAGGTTACTTACCAATTGATAGAACAAAATTGTCAAAGGCTCTTATTGATGATGAATCGAAAATTGCTTGGAGGGATGAGGCCTGGTTCAAAGACGGATCGATTGATGTTCTCTATGATACCGTCAGTGGTGTTGACTTTGAAGGAAAGAATGTATTAACAAAGACTGGTAGCTCGTGAGTATATTCCTACCCTATGTTTTGAACACGGTAATCCATATGGAGTTGTAAATTCTCTGACACCCATCTGAGATAATTAATGAATTTATCATCCCGTCATCCCAGACGATACTAACACGTTAATCACCTAGTTACCCCTACACAAAGTTGGTACTTGCATCTGGTGGAAATCCAAGGAGTTTACCATTACCTGGTTTCAAAGAATTGGGTAACATCTTTCTCCTCCGCAATGTTTACAATGTGAAGAATATCGTGAAGGCTATCGGAGAGAAGAACAAGAAGATTGTCATCATCGGAAGCTCATTTATCGGGATGGAAGTTGCCAATGCCACAGCCAAAGATAACGATGTTACAGTCGTTGGCATGGAGTCCGCACCGCTTGAAAGAGTCATGGGGGCAGAAGTTGGCAAGATCTTCCAAAAGGCTTTGGAAGGAAATGGAGTCAAGTTTTACATGAATGCTGGCGTAGAAAAGGCCGTACAATCAGCATCTGATTCCACTAAAGTTGGTGGTATACAATTAAAGGATGGTACAACTCTTGAGGCGGATTTGGTGATCCTAGGAACAGGTATCAGTCCTGCAACCGAATACTTAAAAGATAACAAATCGATTGAACTTAGAAAAGATGGTTCATTGACGACAGATGAACATTTCCTTGTTTCGGGTTTGAAGGATGTTTATGCCATTGGAGATATTGCAGCTTATCCATACCACGGACCTGGTGGTGAAGGAGGCTTAACACGAATTGAGCACTGGAACGTGGCGCAGAATGCAGGACGAGGCGTGGCCACACATATCAACAAACCCAATGCAAAGCCAAAACCATTTATTCCAATTTTCTGGTCAGCTCTCGGCTCACAACTCAGATATTGTGGAAATACTATCAACGGTTGGGATGACCTCGTATTACAAGGAGAGCCGGACAAAGCAAAGTTTGTGGCTTATTATTGCAAGGGGGAGACCGTGGTTGCTGTTGCAACTATGCAATTTGATCCAATTATGACACAGGCATCAGAATTAATGAGAAGAGGGAATATGCCAAGCAAGAGTGAATTGAAGAAGGGTCTTAAGCTTGAAAGCATTGATGTTCCAGCCGAGGTTAAGATGTGAAAGTCCATGGCCTAGGCGAACAATAGAGGATGGATGGAAGGACGGGAGGTCAAGGAGTATGTGAAATATATGTACGTAGTAATGAGGGAACGAATTCCAATAATGAAATAGCAGAGCATGAATGAATTATCTTCAATCGATGCACCTCAAAATATTTTTCAGTGTTCATCGGGCTTTGATAATCGAATGATAGTATCTCATACCTAGAACCTGGGGAGGACAGTGTTCTTGTGCGATTCATGACGCTCGATGTATGTAGCCTGGAAGACCAATTGTTTGTCAAATCTCAATGGGACATTTAAAAATATTACGAGGCATGGGTATATGCGTTAATAATGCGGTTAATCCTAAATCATACCCAGATTTGATTGGGTAGCCTTTTGTTTGGAGGGAATTGTCGGAGGAGGGCCGGGCTTAAGATTCGGATTTTGCTTGAACGATGAAGGCAAGAGCTTCGAGGTGTTATAGTCAGAAGTTATTATGTGGCTAAATTGAATTAATCATGCTCTACGCGCCTGCTTTGCTCATTAGAGTATATCAATGCGGAATATCTCGAAGTCTACTATTTTAATTGGAATAGATATGTATTTGAAGACAGCGCTCCTGCATGTTTCGAGGGGCTCTGTGAGAAGTCTCGATCCTGATACTGATATTTTATTTGTGCATGATAGTGTTAACTAATGCCTAGATACAGAGTGATGTTGAATGATATGTCGCGGAAAAGTCTTTCCTATACCTGGTTGTTCTTTCCTCAGAGAATATGGATTTTACCTTCTCCCTCTCTTGTCTCATTTTGTTTATATTTCACACTCTGATTTATTTCTTTTCGTTCTTGATTCCGTGCATATAAATCTAAACGATACCATGCTTTCCCTCGCTGCGATCTACAATTTCTTGGGCTACATAGTTGTTGCAAATGCATATACCACCTTTGATACGACCTGTGCAATTCCAGCTACAACTACTAACTACGTCTCACCACCCAACAGTCGAGGTACTCTCAATATCCTCTGGTCATCTCTTTTTACAATCATCGCTTGTGCATGGGCAATTCAGCATCTAAATGTACCCAAGCAACGAGCATGTCGTGAGTCCAGTTGGAAAGATAACTTCACTTGGAAAGTGACAGGGTTCATGACCAGTTTTAAATGGATGATAGCCACCGCCATTGCTCCAGAGATATTACTTGCTAAAGCCTGGAGTGACCTTGACGTTGCACGGAAACAATTTGAGAAGTTTAAGCCTTGGGCGGCGGATGATGATGTTGAGTGGACACTAACTCACACTTTATTCGCGAATATGGGTGGGTTCGTCATTCGAAGTAATCCGCCATCAAACCTCGATCAAGACGTAGAAGCTAAGCCAAGCGTGGCACTTGATATTCTCGCAGATCAACCACCAACCCCTCTTTTGGCAGAAGCTCTAGCTCCGCTGATGGGACCATCCATAGGATGCGTGTCTTCCGATACAAATGGTGTATCGACTCATGCTAACATTGCGCCCTCGGGTGCTATGATCGATAAGCCTACCAGTTATCCCGATCCGTATCACTTGACCGCCAGACAACTCCTCTCACTTCGAAGATGCGATCGTATAAGGCTTCCAAACATCATGTTAGACGAAATAAACGACAAGAGCAAAAGTGACACTCTTGTGAGAGTTATCGCGATATCTCAATTCTTGTGGATCGTGGCACAAATCATTGTTCGTGCAATCAAAGGATTGGTAATAGCACAACTAGAAATAGCAGTAGTAGCTTTTTCAACATGCGCCATCCTAATCTACATACTCAATTGGAGTAAGCCGAAAGGAGTCCAAGTCCCTTTCACGATACTCCATTACGAAGGCCCAATTCCGACAGATTTACTCGAATTCATGAAGAAAGACTTAGATCGTTCATCCATGTCGACCATCATGCTCAACTCCAAATGTCAAACTATTACTTCCGGCGACCCAATCCCTAACGATGTGATATATCCCTACGATGAAGATACATGGCTCATCGGGTTCGAATTCGGCAGTATAGTGTTCGGATGCATCCACGTTGCAGCCTGGAACTTCATCTTCCCAACTCGAATCGAACAGATTCTTTGGTGGTCAACAAGTATTTGGTGTACGGTTTTCGTTTTGATATATACTCTTATTCCTTATTGTGGAATGATCTGTTTTGGGGATTTCAAGAGAATTGCAACACCGAAGGAATTGGCTTGGGGTGCGGCTCCATTGTTCTTTTTGTATGCACTTGCTAGGATTTTCTTGTTGGTGGAGGTTTGCAGATCGTTGTGTTTTTTGCCGCCTCGAGCGTTTATTGCTACGCCGTTGGAGAATATTCCTTATATTGGTTGATGTTCATAGAGTCTGCCGAGATGATATTTTGGGGTGTCGATGAGAATGTATATAGTATCAACATAATATATACAGTATGATAGGGCTAGATGTCCGGGAGAACCCATTATTCATTTGGGAGTAATACATCTAATTTTTCTTTGCTATAAGTATAAGTTCTCTTTAATCATGTGTTCTCCCTCAATTCCGAGTATATGATCTGGAACGGGCAAGCGTCTTCGAGCAGATATATGTATCAATACAGTCCGCGCAGCTGAGGCGGCAGACTTATAGCTGGTTTTCCCGTACTGACTAGCGCACACAACTGTCCTTGAAGAGTGTTTCACTTTAACCTTGAAGAGAATACCCCGTTGCCACGGAGAATACCCATTCAACTACTCACTACTCGTACTCTTCACCGACTGTCATCAAGTCGACAGTCATTGGTAAGATAAGATTCCGGACAGTGTTATACTTACATGTGACATGTCATCTCCCTTTAAAACTCTTGATGCAAGAAATTGATTGCCAGCAAAGTGATCAACTTGAACCACTTGGTACAGATTGTTGAAATTCCAAAAGATAATGAACTTCCCGCCGCCCGTTTCATGTGATTATCACATGATTATCCCCCTCATTAAAGTTCCGGCTTAATTTCGTAAGACATTTAGCTTTATCGTGAGGAATTTTGACCAATAATTTGATAAATGTTATCTCATAATATCTTCGCTACTTGGCTCCCCACCGCGGTCACTTTTCCGGCCAATTCACCAATCATAATAAAGGGGTTATCAATGGAAATGTTTCGTGGGGTAACACAAAGAAATAAACGACCATCATCAATAACCAACGTTCATTGATATTACAACAAGCACTTGTTGCCAAAACATAAAATTTTGTATGAAAGTTCATACTCGAAATTTATACTGCTTGCACGAACAGTTCCATGAAAGCTCTAGGTACCACAATGGTGGTGGAATCCGGAGGTACACAAACACGTGGTCGGGTATATCTTCATTTTCCCCCCTTGGATTCTTACCTCTCACCAAAATCTTCTATTTTGTCTTTAATATGCTTTTGACAATGGAATTATTCAAGTGAATATTCTCAGCGATTCAACAATAATCTCTTATCTTTGAATCTGCCGCGAATACCCATTAAGCAGGACCGAGAGGTCATGTCCTTGCTGTGGCCGGAAGGCATTCCGGCCACGAAGGGAGAACATAAAAAGCTCAGAAATCTCGCACTTCCTGATGAAAATTTCTTTATCCTTTAACAAACAACATCAACAAAACTTCAAAAACTATAAAATCACTTTTCTCCACAAATTTCTATCAATTTTTCTGCTTCATAACAAGTCTTCTACTCATCTTTTGAACTCATTTACATCATGGGCTCAATTACTCCCACTCCTCTTCCATATTTCGAAGTCCTTAGGGATACCAAACCAGAGGACAATTCATTGCCAGCTTTCATGGTATCAACAACCAGAGGTTTCCTTCCACGTACCGAACCTATCATCAGTCTCCCCTCCGAATTTGACGCTCTAGAATCTATTCTCCAACGTATGCCCATAAAGACTTTTGATGGCAAGCCAGGTCTCTTAGCTACATTCACCCTTGGAGAGACAGTTCTCAACGAGCTTCCAGATCTTACTGATGCTATCAATAAGTATCAGGATAACTTGCCACTTATGAATGCTCTTTATCGCGACTACAGTTTCTTGGCTAGTGCGTATCTTTTGGAGCCTTGTCATGAGAGATTTCTCAAAGGTGAAGAGTACGGACTGGGTAGACAGACTTTGCCTAGGGTCATTAGTTTGCCTATTAGCAGGTGTGCTGAACTGTATGTATACTTTTTCACTTTTATATCACATATGATCAGTCATCTTCGATAATTTTCTTGACTTAGAATCATCTGTCTTCCAACCTCATCACATCAATTACTAATATAATTCCTTTGTAGTGCTGGCTTCAAACCATTCATGGAGTATGCTGGTTCTTACGCCCTATACAACTATCGTCTTGAGGACCCAGCCAAAGGCCTTGAATATGACAACATTCGCCTCATCCGTGCCTTTGAACATGGTCTTGATCATACTTCCAGTGAAGCTGGCTTTGTTCTCGTCCACGTCGATATGGTTTCCAATTCTGGACCATTAGTCGATGGTGTTGTCAGTGCTTTGGAAGCAGTCGAGAAGCATGATCGGGATTTGTTTGAGGGAGGAATGAAAAAGGTGTTGGGAGCAATGACCAAGGTTAATGCTGTTATGGAAGGTATGTTTCCTACTTCTGACCTCTTTGACTTCCTTCTATTGCTAGACGACTGAAATTGACACGTCATGAGGCATGTGGCAGAAATCGAAGCCTGGTGATTATACCTCTTTCAGAACATTCATCTTTGGTATTACCAGCCAATCCATGTTTCCACATGGTGTCATCTATGAAGGTGTCTCTGAGGAGCCTTTGAGTTTCCGTGGTGAATCTGGTGCTAATGATTCTATGGTATGTCCCTTTTCCCTCTTTTTATAGACTCCTCTATACAGGGATACCTTACTAACTCACCTCAGATTCCACTCATGGATAACCTTCTCCAAATACCCATGCCAATCACCCCTTTGACCTCAATCCTCAAAGATTTCCGCTCTTACCGTCCAGGAAACCATCGCCAATTCCTCGAGCATATCCAAAATGCCTCTCTAGCAGTTGACCTTAAATCCTTCGCCCTCTCCTCTCCCACCTCCACTGCTCTCTATCTCCTTTGCATGGACCAAGTCCGTGATTTCAGATGGCGCCATTGGTGTTTCACTCGTGAATACATTCTCAAGAAAACCTCGCATCCAGTTGCAACAGGTGGTTCTCCAATCGTTACTTGGTTGCCCAACCAACTTGGCGCTGTTCTAGGCGAGATGACGAGAATTTGGAAGGAGATGGGTAATGAGGGTGAGGGAATGGGCGACCAAAAGGAACGTGTGAAGGATGTTATGGAGGCCGTCCTTAGACAGAAGGATCAGTTGCAAAAGGAGGTGGAGAAGTATTGTATGGAGAGAGGGGTTAATACTGCTGCTGCTTAGATTAGTAATCTTTTCTCTTCGGATGGACGGGGTTTCTAGGTGGTTGGTTGGTTGGATGGAGGGAAATTTGATTTAAAACTGCATGCTAGATTGCGTGTTAGTACCTATGCGTGGCTGGACTTTTTTGTCTACAGCTTTTTTACCCATATGATGGAAGGATTGAATGGAGGTACATATAATGGAGGGTAAACTCGAGGATTCTTCTTTTTTTCTCCTTTTTTCCTCAGTAGGAAATTGCCTGGATTTTATTTTATTATACAGCTTGAATTCAACCTAACGATCGATGCATACATATATCAATTAGAATTATATTACATTCTACACTTGATCGATCTGATAGCATCTCATTGTGAGTAAGGAAAATACTAAGATTCAAATCCAGTTCTCCCATCTCGAATCCTTGCTAGTGAGTGATTCACTTGTAAAAATTGCGTTCCTACAAATAAGAATCACACATTTTATTAATTTTCAATCGTTCTTAATAATAAGATCTTATATATATATAAAGTTTGAGAAAAGAAGAAAAAAGTCGCTGATAAAGCTCAATTCCTATCACTGTTAAAAGATTCGCTCAAAAACCTTTATTATTAAGATTACAATTTTGAGATCTTACAATCTTGATTCTTGAGTAGGTAATTATATAGATATTCTCTAATATTAAATCTTGTTATATAAATCCAATCCTTATATAAGTATAAGATTTTGGTTTAATATTTATTAAGTTTATAACTACTTACTTCCTATTCTATCTCTCTGTTTGTTTATTTATATATCTAGGTATTTATAGGTAGTTATCTATCCATCCATTCATTTATTTATTTATTTATTCACTCAATTAGCATATCATATCAATTCATATCCATATGATAATCCACTTTTCTTTCTTCCTTCCTTTTTTTCTCTCCTCTTTTCTATTGCATCTATATCGACAAAATAGTGAAAACTGGAATTTACAAATTCCAGACTTCTAGATGCGAGATTTTCACTATTAGTTCTAGTCCCCAACTTCCAGTTTTCAACTTCCAACTTTCAGCAGACTAATTATATCTTAGGTCTATCGAGCTCTTGGGTATTTTCTCCTGCGGATGGAGTGGAGGCTTAGTGGGATTAAGCGGGCTGAGTTTGTGGTAAAGAATGAGGTGTGCGTTTGGAGAGGCTTCATGGACTCCGGTAGACAATAGCAGGGGAAGAGTACAGTAATGGCGGAATTAAAATTCAAACCCTTCTATAGTGCAATAAATTTTCTAGCAAACGGCGAGAAGACCACTGCTTCCGAATAATGTGATTTCCTTCACGCCTCCGGTATACCAATCACTAACAGTCGGAGAATCCAGAAGCTGGATTCACGAAGTTAGAGTCAAACATGGAATTTGCTGGGATTATTCGACTGAACACATTCAATACCGTTCCTGAAGACGCATTGATCTCTACGTGTGTTGTAATCATCTTGATTATCTCTGGGTGACAAAATGCTGTGAGAAGAATTATGACGCACACTCGTCTGACATTCTATAGTTTGTGTTCAATCACTGGCAGTGCTTTCACAGATAGCTGCACAACGTAGAGATGATTATTTTGAGTCAATATTTGTGTAAGAGGACCAGAAATGCGAGTATATTTACTTTTGTTAAGATTATCTCCTCATGATCCTCGTCCTGAAGTCGGCCTCAAAACTCGACTTCGAGAGGTTGACTATTTGCATGCCTTTTTAATCATGGAAACTTTCTTATCAGACATAATGGCTGTCTTATTCGGTGATGCCATATGTACTTGGAAGAGTGATCAAATCATTAAACTTTTCAACTTGTTCTGGTGTGCTCTGGATATTATTAAATTCGTCTAATGGTAAGATCTTACCTTGTCAACTTGAGAGGCCCATATGAATATATTGACCAAGAAGGAACTTATTCCTTGTTGTGATTGATCCAAACCGGATAGAAGGCAATACATGAAATTCGACGTAATCTGTAAAGTCTCTACGTCTAGGAGGTCTGCGATGTTGAGGATGAAGGGGGACATGAGAAATGCACGGACACACGTGATCTGCTCTAAAAATAAATTTTTTCTGTTTGTTTGTTGTGTACCGCATATCACAGGTAAAATACACGCGTATAAAGTACCTTTATGGCAGCCTCTCACAGAAATTCGTATACCTCCCAGCTCGTACATAAAAGTCTAAGGACATTAATTGTTATTATTATTTCATGATCAAATTAATATAATATTTGGAAACCCAAGCGCGCGACGAAGCATCTTTCTCCTCCACAACTTCAAATTAAATATTATACGTGCGAACCCAGCGCGCGATGAAGCATCTTTCTTCACAGCATCTTCAACCCATATTAAAACCATCTCAATTAGTCTCTCCCGGAATCGATCTTAAAGCCGAAAGTGTATAGCCAAAGGGTCAACAAATCATGCTTTGACCATCTCCTGGAAGAGGAAAGAATATTAAACGATACCGGAAAGCAAATGGCGAAAGGTAGCGGCTCCAAGTAGTAGACGCTACGAAGTAAGTAGGGATCCCGAATTTAAGGTGTGCTTTAAGTTCTTATCCCTCATTGGTGCAACTGGAAAGGTGGTTTGAAGCGGTACTTTTTGCAAAAAAGTGGGATAGGAAGTCCGTTGTAGAGACAAATAGGCGTATATGTTGGATGGAGCGGCGGTGACAGGGTATACGAAGAATGGCGTAAGCAATAATACTCGACAGTATGATGCTTGTCTGAAGCTTTGGCCATGTTTGAAGGACCAGGCCGCCTTGAACGGAGAAGTGGAAGGACGGGAGGTATCGGAGTAAGGGTAGGAAGCAAACGGACATCAACCATGCACTCCAAGCTTTGTATGTTTGTGTGTCCGCCTCAGGCGACCGGTGTACAAGAACCCGATAGGTAACAAACAGTCCCAGAATAAGTGGAAGGGCGGAACCACTGGTAAAAAGGTCAATAGACCAGTAACGAGGGGCAGCCAATGACCAGGTCAGAACACCAAATACGATGGTATATCGACATGAGGAGTCACCAATCGAAAGAGGAAGGGTATCTCGATTAGTCGCTCTATCGCCAACTTGATCTTTCAAGTCTTGCACCTGCATAGTGCTAAAGACTATCGCTGAGATTATACCAAGCCACATACTTGCGTCTGCGGAAATGGATGTAGAAGTCCCGGCAGCTACTCGCAGTGCACCAGATCCATAAACAAAGTATGCAAGAGAATTGATGGCATTTCGTACAATGAAATGCTCATCAGATCCGCCGAGGTCATTATACATCCAAGTAAGCAGCAAGCATAACACTGTCTCTTGACATGCCCCGAGAAAATAGTGCGATACGAACAGACCGATAGGGATCAAGATGAAAAGAAGCCGGCGGGCGGCACTGGAAGTAATACGCCCAGAGGGAATAGGCCTCCAAGATTTGTTAATGCTGTCTTCCAAGACAGATTTCGGAGAACGCTGATTGGAAATTGCAAAAAGAAGAACGTTGAGGTAAACCCATAAAAAGGTTCGAGGAATAGAAAGCAAGTGCATTATAAGTATGTCGGTGTCTAGTAACGTATGGGTTGGAATGGTGGAGTAAGAGTCTGTAAGGGTGCCTAAGAAGCCGATGATGGTTACCGGTATAATCATGGTCTGGACGTCGTTGCTCGGAAAAAGGTACAATGTTTTGAGAAATGAGCCGATACCTAAGATGGCAGTAGAAAACGGCAGGCTATGAGTCCAGTTGAACTATTCGACACGTTAGCGATCAAGATCTTTGTGTGTAAAGATTGGTACGAATCAACATGCCTTGAGATGGGCATGGTATGATGCCAGAGGACTCGGCCTATTCTGTTCAGTTGCAGGTACCAGCACTGAACAGGATACTACTTGATGGACTCGAGTGGTCATTTTTAAGAACGAATATATTACGATTATGAGCAAGGAAGTACTGGTAGCAACTTGATGTGCTTTTGCAAAGACAATTTAGATGTTTGATATCTTTTGGTGAGTGGATCCAACGACTGATCTTATATAGAAGAGCATAAAGCTATTTCATGTTATGACTTCATAACATACTATACTAACGACTACACAGTGTGAGACTTCTATATTCAAGTTAACCTGAGGAAGAAACATGTCTGGAGGAATATCTTCTGTATAATTACCCAAGTAAGGATAGCGTCAGACTGCAACTCGCGGGGCAAGGGCCCTAGTTCATCCGATTTAACTATTTACTGTATCGTAGAGTCGCTAGGATACGATTGCGATTAGAGTGGAGTGCGTCTTCAACTTTTAATCTTTCTGGCCGCATGAGTACTAATGGCGAAATTAGGGTAAGTGGGACCTTGCCTAAACTTGTAAACATTGAAAGTCTATGCACATGGCGCATAGCGGTACACTAGAAGATCAATAGCCCTAGTTTCTTTAGCTCTGGAGCTGCATACATTAGTAGCTCGAGTAAACACATCATGGTGTTCTGTTTTTGCTTCCTTTCTTCAACATCTCTGCCCTAATTCACTTGCATACACTTGTGGAAAATACATACCGAGGAACGATGCCACCTCAATATTCTTCTAACCACGAAGGTTATGCGCTCGGAACTGTTACGTCACTATTCCTTGCCCTCGGAATCATAGCAGTTATTTTGAGGTGTTATGTGAGAATTGTAATAGCTAAGAGCTTTGGACGAGATGATTACTTCATTGTTTTCACACTGGTAAAACTCGTATATCGGCCTTAGTTTGGGATACTATACTGACATAACAACAGAGTCTTCTCATTGCTGGTGATGTTTGCATCTATAACATGCTTCATCTTGGAGTGGGACGTCATCTCGACTCTCTTCCTGAGCCAGAAACCTCAGTACTGGCGATCTTGAAGTGGAATACTGTTTACCAAGTAATCAACGTTGTGGGCGCTTTTTTTACTAAACTTTCGATTGCACTTTTTATCCTTCGCCTCAAAAACACGAAGAGACTGAAACTCGCAGTCTGGCTTATTCTTACTCCTCTCGGTCTATCGACTCTAGTCCTCTGCTTTATTATACTTCTGCAATGCATCCCCCTTGCGGGACTTTGGACACCTACTTTGCAAAGTCGCTGCATCTCCGCTGAAATTCCTTTACAGGCAAGCTATGTTCAAAGTGGCTTTGCAATAATTACAGACATTGTCTTAACAGGCAGTCCAATCGCGATTTTGTGGAATGTACGTATGACGAGAAGAAAGAAGCTTGCCATCTGTGGACTCATGAGCCTTGGTTTAATTGCTACCATTGCCAACGCGCTGAGAAATGCTTTCATTCCTGATCTAGTAGCATCGGATTTAAGCTGTGAGTCGCTATTCCCTCCCAAATTAGAGAAAAAAATTGCAATTTTGAGTTTATTGCTAATTCCAATCCTTAGATACCATGGTTCCCATTGTCTTGGTGGCCGACCTCGAGTTCTCAATTGGTGTGATAGCAGCTTGCATTCCCACGATTATGCCTCTTTTCACCGGCGACAAAGCCAAAAAGGCAAAAACATACGAAAAGATGTATGGTGCGAAAGCGCGGACAGTTGGGAGTTATGGTGGAAAATTCAGAAAGGCTGCGAAAGTAACTGATATCGAGTTAACATATCCGTTCAGTGCTACAGCCAAAGATACAACAATTACCCAGAAAGAGATCCAAGCCAGCGATGCTGAGTTGCCCCTAAAATCGACAGGCGTTGAGGAAAACCCGGGCTTGCAGATACCAGTTTCGACAACCTGGAAAGTAGAGACCCAGAGCATGGTCTAGTGTGAAGTTAGGCTTTGGCATTTCTGACTCGGTGTTGCAAGAAATGCTTGGGGGTGCATTAATGCCTCCCAGATACTTGAGTACTAGTGTTATGGGCAGGGGATAAACACTGGTCAAGAATGTGTATAGGAGATATATAAATTTTCCTTTTCTGTGACCTTTGGCTTTCCAATTTTGATCCGTGTTTCCATGAGTGCCAGGAATTGACCATAACAAGAAAGGTTCCTGCAGCCACTATACGTTGAAGCTGAACACATCTTAGTATTCTCAAGGTTGGTGAGACCTATTGGACTGTAATGGTTTGCCGCTAAATCCCTTTATGTAACTACCCGCATTGCTACCCCTCTGTATCTCCACATTTACAAATTGGACCTTTCAAATAGATCCCTGCTTGTGCATCTATTTTGATATTTCGTCAGGGGCGAGATAAGACAAGTTGAAGCTAGCGACCTAGCCCTTGGTAGTACGAATTGCCCTATACGTACTGAGGTAAGGCAATAATCACTCATCGTCGCTTCAGTTCGATCATCGCAACTTTCGAGTGCTGAATCAAAACTGATTCCAATTTTTTTTAGCCCGATCCTTCCGTCGAGACACTTTAATCCAATAAAAACTCTTTGAATAAAACACCAAAGGTGTGGCTATTAGTGGCATGGTGATGCGTCCTAACTCACTTGGAATTATTGCTGTTGCATTGCTAAGGCTCAGCTATTGATTAAGTTGTATAATCTAGGCCAGGCTACCGAGGAGGGCTGGCACCGATTATGTATAAAAGAATAAGGATTAGCACCTTCGTATGCTCTCCACGATTTCTATCCAGAGTGCCCACAAATAACATCTCCAGTTTTTCAAAATGCCCACTCCGACCTATTTTTCCAAATACCCTCCTTTTTCCCCAGACGTTCCTGTGGCTAAGCTCCCTGTTATCTCTTTGTCAAAGCTCTTATCCGAAGACAAAGATGAATCCATCTCCGTTTTTGAAGCCGGTCGTGCTATGGGCTTTTTTGTGCTTGATTTGTCCGGTTGCCCAGCTGGGGAAGAATTTTTGAAAAATGCGGAGATTATGTTCGATTTGAACGAGGAAGTGAATGCACTTCCTCAAGAGGAGCTTATGAAATATGCTTACAATCCACCTACTTCTCTGTTCGGGTACTATCATCCTTCTTAATAAGCCTATTTTGATTCTCCCTTTCCATCAAATTTACTCGAACTGACTCCTTGTGACGAATACAGATACAAGCAGCTAGGTAACCTTAAGATTGAGTCAGGACTCCCGGATCGAGTTGAGTTCTACAATGTTGGTAGAGACGATATGACAGGTGTCTCCGCACCACGATCCAACCCGCCCTGCATCGAAAACGCTCGCCCACGGATAAAGAGCTACATGGAACAGGCTGATGGGATTGCGGGTATCATCTGTGGACATTTGGAAAAACAGCTACGATTGGGGAAAGGAGCATTGACAAAGCTCCAGCCGGTGACAGACCCGAGTGGAACGGCTTTAAGGATGCTGAGATATAAACCACAGGTGAGTTAAATCTCCATTAATTCCTGAGCGTTGCAAACATCATTCATTGTCACCTTGAATTTGTGTCTTGTCGCTCACCAATGACCTTGTGATTTTAATCTCTCGATTAAAAGCTAAACACTCATTAGCCGATTAATGATCGCCGCACTTCTCTCCTTGGTCATACAGACATTGGCTCTCTTACCCTGCTCTTCAACATCACCGGAGGCCTACAACTTCTCGCGCCAGATGCAGGTGCGTATATCTAGCCAATACCTATATTTTGGGAAGACTGGAATAGCTGATTATTTCTATTTCAGACCCATCTATTGAATCTTCCTGGAGCTACATAAAGCCCCAGCCCAACACCTGCATTGTCAATCTTGGCGATGCCATGGTAGAATGGTCTGCCGGAATTTTTCGTTCCAACATGCACAGAGTCACTTACGCTCCCGGCGATCAAAGTGCTACGACTCGTTACAGTTTGGCTTATCTTGTTCGCCCCTCTGGGGATGCTCCGATGAAGCGACTTGCTGCCCCGGACTATCCTTCCTCGCTAGTCCCGAAGATTATCCAGGGGAAAGAAACTGATAATGAAATGAATGCCAGAGAATGGGAGATTCATAAAGCACTCGCTATCGGAGCTGGTAAGGATAATGCGAGAAGTAGAGGCGGTAAACCACTTAGAGTCGAGCGAAAAGATTTGCTTCCTGCAATGACTGCGGTTGCTAATGCTTGAGGAAAGGATACATCCCCACTGGATAGTTGTATTTGGGGACCACAATGATGTTTCAGTTATTTTATGTAGTTATTCCTTTGCATAGACATGACTGGTTCACGAATAACGATTTTGTCTGTCAATAGTACACATTATAAATCCAAAAAGCTACCACACGCGCTCATCAATAAGTTATGTACACTTGTGAACTGAAGACTGACCAATCTGCCCTCGAAAAAGGTAAGTGAATCTCATATAGATTAAGCTGACTTGGGCGTTCCGGGTTTCTTTCAAATTAGCTTGCAGTCCAAGTCTTTGGGTTAACCTTCTTCTCCGCCGAACCGATCCGAAGGAAACCGAGTACCAGGAAACATAGATGTCTGACTACTTTAGCAATGTCAATATATAACCTCATTTATTTAGCATCGTGTCATCGATAGCACTAATTCATTTTATCCACTTGGGAATCTGCCCCGGATTTGTTACAGAACCCAAGAAAGCACTGTTACAATGCGCTGCATCTTGAGCGATCATGAGGGTCCAGACAAGTCTACATCATCTACTAGGTCCAAATGGATCCAATATGCACGATAGTGGAGACTTGTGGGTCGATATTGCATAGGTTCCAAATACCCGGACTGTGTTATCGATGAACTAGCCTGCAGAATTAGGAGGTTTGTTATCTAATAGTGTACGAAGATCTCTGTATCACCTAGATTTTCTTCAGTACCAAGCCGATATACCGGACCGCCAATACCCCTGCGCCGGACCGACTTACGCACCAAAGACCTCGTCACTTGATTTTGTAACTTTGCTTCACGAGCAGATACCGGTTTGTATTCCGCTGTGCTCATTTCATCGAGCCTATCAAGTACTTCACCGCAATACTACAGCATGTCGAAAATGGCGATTATCACGCCACGATCTGCTATCGTTTTACTCCGTAGACTAAATTCAGCAGGTGCTTGTGAAACTATTGTGTCTGGATTCAAACTTTCGTAGCCAATATTCGCGTAGAATAATCCTTATATTAGAAATTTAGGTCTTGCCCCAAAACAAATCACCACAAAAGCCTATACTTGCCGCCCATAGAAGTGCCGGTACGTAGAAGAATCGATCTGATCATATAAGGTTTCGCTCTAATACGTTCTAGAACTTCTAGTATCCGGAAAACTAGCATTTATTTATATGGGATAGATCATTAAATAAAGCTACACGTATACACGTGATGACGCATCTTACTATTATTAATATGATCTACTGTTCCCCATGAAATCATTCCCAATACCCCTCGAAGTGTAGTGCGGTGCTATGGGGGTGTTATTTGATATCATCAGATCATTTCTAAAAGTCGTCATATTTGTGCTGAGTTGAGTATGTATTATTGTTCCTAATTTTCAGACTATTTGATTGAATGTGACTTCGGATAATCAGCACCATCTTTGATGAATTCGAATCACACATCAAAGGCTGGCAAATCTACAGTAAAAGCAATTCGAGAATCTTCAAGGACTATTCAAAACTAAACCTACACCACTATGTGAATATGGTGGTAAGTTTTGGCGACTGTGTGCTGATGACACAGCACATTCACAAGCTATAGCTAATAGATGTTTATAAGAACTTTGCTACATATAATCCGCTTTTGCAAAATCGAATACGCTAGATTTATCGAGAGGTTTAGAATAAGCTTTTTATCCTGATTTTGAGAGACTGTGTGAAGGGAATCGGTGCAAAGTTTAGTAATAGTTTGCGATTCTAGTGGTGTGAAGGAAAATGGAATAAATAATCTCTGAATATCATCGGTACCAATGCACTCTTGAAGGCATCGCCGAGAAATGGAAGACAATAAGTTATATCTAGGTAATTTCTAGCATAGGCTTCATCAATATATTGAAGTCATTCAAACTCGATGGGAACAACATCTGGCTTCAATTCCTACACTTCCGATTTAGGGTTCAATCTTGTTCCCGTCGTCTTCGATTTCCTCTCTCCTTTCTCCTCTCTTCCTTAACCCTTTCACTTTCAGCTCTTTCCCTCCTCCATCCCGGTCCCCATTCTATCACAGCAAGTAATATGCAACTCAAAACTACATACGGCAACCTAAAAAGGGTATATGCCCATCTCATCCCAGTCCCATCCTATCCTATCCTATCCACCATCAGCACAACCAACGCCGTACCTCCCGCTCCCAACAAACACCTTACCAAATTAAATACCGCCGTCGCTACTCTTGCAGCCCTAGCATTAACATCCACAATCAATATACTGTAGGCAGCTTGCACTCGCAATTAACGTATACCTGAAACCAGCAAAATAACACAGTGCCTTGCAATATTAACTCTGAAATGCATGAGCCATCCATAAGTAACAGTACTCAAGCTCTTCAACATAATCATTCGAAACCCTACTTGCTATCGTGCTATATTTGATAGGAAAATGATAAGGATCTTGCTGTTGAGATCGCAACCGTCATTCCCAAACGACGAGCTCCACGGAAATTTGACTAATCAGTAATCTTTCCTTGTGTGAATGCAGCAACTAGAAAACCGCCAATGATCGGAAGATACACAAGCCCGAATTTTAATCGTCGTAGCCGTATTTATTGTGGAATCGGAGGGCATTCAGAGATGATAGCATAGAAGCCTGCGTAGACGATGCTGGCGTAGAAGAGTAGAAGTGCTGCTTCTTTTTCAGATACTATTCGTAAAGTTGCTAACGGATTTGGGAAACTTAGTTGGCGTGCTGCAGCTAGCTCATATCGTTTTGCATAGCCCGGAGTAATACCTTGGTTGAGAAGTTTATGTTCGTCGCTGATATTTGCCAAGCAATGACTTTTTTTGGGGGTCGTATCGATCCATCGCCTGCTATCTTCCTACAAGTTTCAGACATGAAGAGTAGAAGAGGAATGAAGAAAAAGAAAACGGCGGAAGAGATAGCTAGGGATCTGAAAATCTACTTCCAGCTGGTGTACTGTGAGATGATTCCACCAAGGATTGGACCAACTGCGGGTGCAAACCCTGCCACCGGGGATGCATAGCCAACGTAAATATCCTTTTCAGCAGATGTTGCAATATCTGCCACAACAGTGTTTGATAAGCAACAGTACCCGATCCCGCGGCCGACTGTACTTTATGTGGGATGGGAGAGCGACGTAGTTGATTTGGAGAGCGAGAGCGGTATTTGCGATGATGTATATTGTGAAGCAGATAATATATACGGGCCAAAAACCTGCTGAATCAAAGAAACCATCAATGAAGGTAGGAGCTATAGCTTGCAAGATTTAGAATTTGATATAAGAAGGGCTTTGAAGAAAAGATAGCGAGCTTTACCATGTATGTTGTGACAGTCAAATTTACTTGCCTGCTGGTAACATGCAGATCTTTAGCGATGGTGTTACTAGCAGGGGAATATATTTTAGTAGTGGTAAAGGGAGAGAAAAAAAACGAATGTGGCGATCGAGACGAGGAACCTCCTCCCCTATGTGGAAAAAGATGTGATGGAACAGCTTCTTGTTCCAGAATCTTGTTCTCGTCAGGAGGGCCAGCGTCTCCTGAGAACTTGTTCCTCCAATGTTGCGACTGGAGACCACGTTGAAGGAGGTTATCCTGAAGTGTAGGTTCACAAGTATTTTCTTTAATATTTCCATTTTCTTCCTTTCAATAGTCCCATAATTTATGATTTCACTGGATACATGATCTCCTTCATCTCTTCTCCCGTTGCTAGCCAACTAGTTTTGTTTTGACTGACTCATTGCGAACAAATTTCGGTCTAAATACGAAGAGATTAAACAAACAAGATCATGGAAAATGAGAATAACATGTAAAATTGGAACACGCGTACTTTCATGCTATATGTAAGATACCACATCGGTGCAAACCGGTGATGTTGATCTCAGTAATAAGGACTTATCTTCGGGCTTGAATCCTTTTCCGCGTCGCCAACGGATGAATTCTTTCCATATGATATCGAAACAAGCACTTAGATATGTTGGTAAAAAAAAAGATTATCTTTGTGTTACATTGACCTTTTCTCGTTGCGTGATTTTGCTAACTAGGTCATCTCATGTAAAGATCCAGCTATCTAATATAGAATCGGAGTCTCGCAAGCAGCCGGCTTATGGCCTAGCAACTGCACCACTTCAAGCTTTTTAGTATCCAACTTCTGTATCAATGACGAAACATACAAAAAATTCACTCATCCATAGAATGGTATACAGGATATCGTTTTAGAGCTTCTTCATCCTCCATCCAAAATACTCAAAAGCACCACTCTCTCCACCAAGTACCTCCATTTCCGTCTCCCAAATACCTTCTCTCAAGAGGAATGGCTTCATGAAATGTGGTTGTCGGTATGTAATGTACAGCCATTGACCTCCTGGTTTGAGTACCCTAGCAACTTCATCGACGTAACGACCAACATTTTCTCGGACGTCTTGAGGAGGATCCCACATTGATCCATGAATCATTGCATCAACTACAATAGGGGATTTAAAGTCAGCATAAATCCCAAAACCTTGCCATATCTTCACGTTCAACCCATTGAAAGGTCAAGTAGAATAAAGATATAACCTACGAGTTCCCTTATCAATGGCAACATCGATTTCTCCATCTTCCAGCTTCATATTCCTTACATCCATCACAGTCCACGTGGTATTCAAGTCCGAATACTTCTTACTCATTCTCTGAATTACTACTTCGGAAAAATCAACTGATATTTGATTTCTGTATCCATCTATATGGAGGTCGTATGTTAATGTCTAGTATTGTTAATTTCTTTCAAAATCTTGCACATTTCTCGTCATCTCTCACATTTGTATCTGCAGCAATGGACTATTGAATACATACACTATTTCCACACCCCAGATGCAACACCCTCGGCCCCTTTCGTTCTTCCTTGTCCTCCCCTGGACTCGGTAGATGTTTTTCAAAGAACGGTTTTAAAGACTGGAAATCCTTGAACCATTCAAAACTCTCAATTTCTTTCTTGGCTGCCACATCTTCTTCACCCTCGTCACGTATAACTTCCTCTGTTTCTGGATCGAATTTTCCTGCATACCTATTGTCCCAGTATGAAGGATGGGAAAGTTCTTCGAGAGACTTACTTCCTGACATTCCGGACTCAATGTGGTTTAGGTTGGTGTCGAAGAGATATGTGTGGTAGAATAGAAATTAAAATATACTGATGGGCCCCTCGGTGCCGGAAAAATAATTTCCCTCCAATATTTCAACCTTTAACTATTACAACCCTATACTCTTTGAATATAAAAAATGTATGATTTTAAAGCCCTAGCCCTAATAATTATTTTTCCATCTTTGAAATTCAATTCATCCTATTCCTCATAGATCTGTACTAATAAGAACGAATCTCACTTGTTGATGGTTCTCGCACATCCCATTTTTTACCCACTCTATCATTATCATGTGATGTCGACTTTTTCATTCGTGTTTTAAAATACAGAATGTTGGATATGGCATTGGCCAAAATGATTATCTTCACACTAGATGTATATACAGAAAAGATAATATATGCAGAACAATATTTAAAGGTGACAAAAGAAGCACGTATATACTCGAGTTGAATCCAAAGAATGATGGAATGGAGGGAAACGTTTTCCTCCTGTTGGGGTAGATAAAAATCGGGCAAATCTCGTTTATTTATCTCTCTTCATCTCGAGCTCCTTCATCGGACCAGCTAAACAGATCAGAATATTGCGTGTTCTCAAATAATCCCAAAGAGGAATTGGCTGACTGACGGATTCTCCTGAGGAAATGGAGCCGATGCCAGGAAGATAGGGGCGTCGTCGACGCCGCGTCGATGCGGATTTTAGGAGTTTAATGAGCTCCGCTGGTCCCTCATCTTCCCCTTATAAAGAAATGACTTTAATACTCTGCAGCAAAGGTAGAGATAGATTTAATGAGTGCTACGAAGCCATGCTAATTAGATTCAATACATTGGATAACGCACTTTGGTTGAGAGGTGGCAGAACATTGGTTCTATTGGAAGTTAAGGGAGGCGAGGCTGGAGATCAATAACACCGGGGTCAGGAAAAAGGGTTGAGGTACTTCTAAGAAAACTTTCTATTGCGGGGTGACGATCTTGAAGTTCTTTGAGAAGGGGACATGAAGCGGTATCACAACAGGTATCAAAAAAAGGTGTTTCATGGCAGCATCCCTCATCAGGATGGATGTTCTTAATTAGGATACTCTCTATTTCCATCGTATCAAAAAGATGTTCCACAAAATTCTTAGTGTATCTGTTGATTTGAGTATTTTAATGACAGTGTGGTTTTTGACTGTATAAAAATTGCTTCTTGAATTTGACATTCGAGGTATGGTAGTAGAGTTCTAATGTTCATGAGCTACAACTACACTACTGAAGTGTTCCTTTTAGTCGCCCTGAAGCTTTGAGAATCGTAGATCCTTGCTAGACATACATGATGTAGGGCTGCAAACATGATGTGGTGACTTCAAGTGACATGAATAACAATACATGATTGACAAGCTGGAAGGATTGTATGGTTATATGAATCAGATGATTTTCAGACATCAGAACCCCGTCGTTATACTATTGTTGCGGTAATATGTTATACTTCAGATGATGCTATCTTAATATACAAGTCTATGATTAAAATGTTTCAAATAATTTGATTTCAGACTATATATATCTTCTGAAATGATCCATGATATAAAACAATCAGGGTGATGTGATATGACATGACGGTACAACTTCAAATGACGATTACTTCACCTCCAAAGCAATCTCAATACGGATTCCCAACCAAAAGCATAGCGGTCACAAGTGATCAGGCACACATTGATAAAAAATTAGAAACCCTTGGGACAAAGAGCGAAATATCTGATAAGTAAGATAATCTAAAGAAGAGTACAAACAGAGAGCTATTTTCCCAATGAAACCGAGACCTGAACATGGACATTTGCTAAACTCAACCTAGAGACTATCAATTTTTGATTGAAATAAAATAATATTCATGTATAGACAGTGAAGAATTTGAAAGAATATACTGCAATTGTTTCCAAGTTGTGGAAGTAGGATACCAGGATATATGAACTTCCTGTTGATAATTTTGGTGTTGATTTTATGGTGCTTGCTCAATACGAGAGGCTGCCCGATCGTAATAATATTCCAGGAAGTAATCCTTCGGAATTACTGCAGACTTTGATGAAATAATGAGAGGTCTCAACTGGATTGTGAAGAAGGAAGTCCTCTGACTCTCTTCTGTTTCGTGTCCGCTTTTCTTTCAATCCCACCACAAGGAAACAGAAAGATGCTCAACCTCAGCCCAACAAAATAATGCAAAACTAAGAACGGATTACCATTCGTATCTTTGCTCAGAACACTATCTCCCCGAAAACGATAAGAACTGGCCTGCTTTCGTGCTGCCTCTCAATGCTCTCACCTACCAAATTTCTGAATATATGAAGGCGTATGGGGCAAGACATCAGTATCATCTAGGAAGAGGCATGGATTCTTATGAGGAGTTATTGAAAATTGTGAGCATGCTCGCCCCGCTGATCGACGTCCGATTTCCATAAATGAAACGGCACACAATCGCAATGATTTCTGTGTGTCCTAATATCCTCGTATATCCCACACTTCACCGTCCCATCGAGATACTTCCTCTGGATACAAACCCGAGCCTGTGGGCCTTGGATTGCAATTATTTTCGTTAAGAAACCGGGCTATCGATGAAAATTGGAAGTATGGAAATAATGGATTTTACCGAATTTTGTGACGAGGGCCAGTCCAGTGGATATCCTGATTTTCAGACAGCGAATATATGTTACGAGGAACCTAATTGCAGTTGAAAAGAGATACTAGGTTGAGTTTCATGCTGTACATGCTAGAGCATGGGAAAGAGGTTATTGCGTGGTGTTGCTTTTCTCGAATGTTCCAGAAACTGGCTCAATGACCGGATGCTGGACATGAAGAACATTTTTGTTTTTGTGAAGTGAGGATGAAATAATTGAAGCAACTGAACTATATATTTTCATTTTCCAACAATAAATATAAAGCTTAAAACGGGTAACTGGAAATGGCTTTTGTTTTGTCCTGGTCTCTAAGGAAAAGACTCATGTCGGGCTGGAAGGTAAATCAAAAATAGGAAATAGGAGTTAAAACAAACTTAAACTCGGAAGAATGATCATGATATCAAAAGCCGTATAACTGCTTTCCTGTGTCTGCGGAATCAAAATGATTCATTGAAATTCATGTTGGAAGTTCCTCTTCCAGAATAATCCGAAGCGAAAGAGGAGGGTTTACTTTAATAGCCAGAATAGAAATTGAAATGGAAATTGACAAGTTGTAACTGCTTCATAGCGGGATAGAGCTCAAAAGCTGGCTTTCATTCTCATGATTGCTCAGATCTGAGCACGTATTGGGCTAAAAAGATATTCCCCAGCCAAACTCATATTTGTGGACTAAGGTTACTGTGAGGACAATTAGCGAATGATTTTTCTCAGGAGATTTTTTGCCCCAGAATCCATGAGATGATAATAAGAGAACTAGCGAAGGCTTATGTGCGATCCAATCTGAAGTTAAAAATCAATGTTGTTGTAACGTACATTCATCAGGGAATAGGTATTTTAGGCTGAATGAGAAAAGAAACCAAGTTTTGGACGAGAAATGTGGATTTTCTACCTATCAATACGAAGATATCATTAGGTGATTATTTTGGAATACTACTACAGCAAATGATAATATTCAACCCCTTACCCTACTTTTCCGCATCCTATCACTTGAACTTTTGTCTGTATTGGTCAATACGAGCGGTTTACCCATAAACTACTATTCAGAGTCTCACTTCAACACCCCGTTCAACCATTCAACAGTTTAACACATTGTTGGACACACCTTTGAATTGTCCGATCTGTCGACACAAGAAATCCACGACTTCTGTACCTTGGGCTTGAAGATCATGAAGATCAGATGTCAGTTACAAGTGGGCAGCACGGAGGTGCCGGTAACACCGACTAACCCAATCTGTAATGTTGGTTTTCTTATTTGAATAAGGCAATTCCGAACTGTTCCACTGCCAAAGGAGCGGGCAAAATGCATTGTTCATTGAGATACTTGGTCCTTCATCATAATACGGGAAGTGGATCGAGCAGGTGGAGTGAGTGAGGCGAAAAAGGGGCTATGCGGTGTGGCTGATGGAACATTTCTTTAGGTAATGAGCTTGGCCCTACAAATGAAGTCAGTACATATTTATTTTATTTACCATCTACTCGGTGCATCATTGAGCCAAAGGGGCTCGTATACGATGGCCACGTTGTCTATCACTATTAAACTCATCGTATTCTCTTGCAAAACTGGGGTATGTCAAGCAGGGATGCTTAACTTTAAGGCCAATTGAAGGCTGTTTATTTGGGGCTATTTTAAGGTTCTCTTGCATGAAATAGAGACCCATTGCTACGAAATATCAGGCATTACTACATTTCGCAGGGTCTGTTAGATATACATAGATTTTCAAACCTTTCACTCTATAATGCATGAATTCATAGGGTATTATCGTTCGCTATCAGACTCACTTTGTTGAGAAAGAAAAGTAACAATGAAGTTCAGAATGACTGAGTATGTACTGGGTATCGAACAACTTCTATGCGTGTGAGAGCATGATAATAACCTTAATGCTTGGTTTTCCATATACAAGATTCCACTCGTTTCAATCGTTCCAATCGTTCCATAATTACTCCATAGAACTAATTCTGCTTGGGACTTCTAATCCAATCAAATTGGAGCTCTTGAGTCATGTTAGTCAACTTCATGGAGACGAGTACGGAAAATAAACTTCAAGCCGGACATCGCAGTAGAACAAAGGTTATACGGGAGTACAAGTGCCGTTAACCCTAATACAATGTACTAACTAATACAATGACGTTGAATCACCTACTCGAGGCCAAGCCTTCGATGATCCTCACACCCACCCAATACGAGACCCACAATGGCTGGCTCCACAAATCATGATCACAACTGCACAGAGGGGTTGGAGTATCTTGCAAGCTTCGAGATATAAAAGACTACGATATTCTTGATGTATAGTCCATCATTCAGACAAACAATCACATCTTCACACACTCACAACTCAACTCAACAACTTCCAACTCTTTACCAATTCCTCAAAGAAATAACCCATCAACAACCATCAAAATGCAATTCTCCGCCGCTCTTATCTCTGCCATCACCGTTGCTCTTGCTTCGGCTGCCACCATCGGACAACGTGACGAGGCCGTCTTCAAGGTCTCTGACTTCAGCGCAGGCTGTATCGAGCACAGCGCCCAGTGCTAGTAAGATACCTACCTCTCAATTCTAGCCCTCTATCTCCCCTCAATTATCTTACTAACACGTATTCAGCTACGAATTCTCTCTCATCCAACCCGGTACCATGGAGACCACCGGTGTTAGTTGTTTAACCCAGGTTAACGGCAACGCCGACGGCACCCTGCCCAACATTGGCAAATGGCAAGGCGAGTGCAAGGACTCTTCCCGCACTTTCTGGGTTGTTCGTCAAAACGACGGTCTCAAGCTTTGGGCTTCTCAACCAGTTACTCCAGCTAGCAACCAAACCGCATCCCACCTGATCCCAAGCAGCCAGCTTACCATCGACAATTACCTTGTTGGTAAGGCTGAAAAATACACTGGACCTACTGCTTTCGACTTGATTTAAATGGATGGCATGGACGGAAATCGGAAAGGTGACGCTTTCCTGTGGCGAAGTTGTTGAGCGGTGAATGTTGGCGAAGTTTCTTTTCTGCAGTGTTGGGTGTGTTTTTGAGTAGTAGTATTGAAGGAGTAGACTGGGAGTTGAAAAGCTTAATATAATACAAATTTCCCAATATCTCTTGCTGTGCACTTTACTCCGGCTATTTGTGATTTCAAAAAAGCAGAATACTGCAAAGTGAAATAAGTCACCGAGTATCTTGAATGATGCTTGGAATTATAATAATTAGTTCCTCGCTAGTAGTTATTAGGTCACTCATCGATACATACATAGTTTCGTTTATAGTATATTAAAGCCTAAAATATAATAAGAATCTATTACTGATTATCGTTAGCTTATGTTCTTGAGTGATCTAATCATATATTATTAATAAATCTAATCAGATCAATCAAAGGTAAATCTAATCTGTTCTGATCTGTTCACATCAGCATTGTCATCCAATTCATGATCTTGGCTTTGTTTTGCATATAACACTTGAATATTTCAGAATATTCTTGTCTGCCTAACTTATTGTAATATAATTATCACCTAAATTAGGTACATGAAGAGCACAACTCATAAGACCATTGATAATAAATGACACCTGGTATGAAATTAGACTAGTTTTTCGGTTTCGATTCAATACGCCACCTAATTTATCTTCATCAAAACACTGAACATCTGTCTGCAAAAAAGTTACATAGCTTTCATTTCTGTTTGTTAAGTTGAGAAGTTCCACCGCTAATGTTTTTACAGTCATAGACTATAGCTAGCGCCCAACAGGCCTAATCGTTTTGTAAACTATACTTAGTGTATCTGAACACACACTTCGAGGAAATAGTATTGCCACCATGAGGTCTAAAGAGCATGATATTCCCACTGAACACTCCGCCTAACTAAAATTACTCCTGAATTTCCTTTCCCGAAAAATCATACATCCCTATCTCTAAAAAAATGAAACTTGTAGCCACTTTGAATTATCTCTGTAATCATCGTTCTTACTGCATAGGCTACCATTAACAGAAAATCAATTGCAGTTATTTTTAATTGCAAAGAATATGCCACGTCTACTTTAAACATTTCATGTCCTAAAGTATCCCGTGAAGCAGCACCTCGATTGCAAAATGCACATATACAAGCTTTCCTCCTCGCTCCCCATACATCCAACCAACCTATTAACAACTCCTTCGCCGCCAACGAGCAGGAGAACCACCGGTATATAGGATCTGCGCCGACGAGAACGATAAATCTCTCAATCTACTAATATAGCTATCTATATAATGAAACGCCTACTATTCCCCCCAAGGACACGCATTCTCAGACGGTAATGGAAAATACAGTTTCCCAGAAGATTGCCTAGCTTCGTCAAATATAACAGACTTATCTACTGTTCAATAATTAAATCTCACTCCCAATGTGTTATACACAAATCTCAGAGTTGAATATTAGTACAGGAATGAGAATGAGACTTTTTAACGCCAGATTTGTGTTACGACGGCGTAACATACCCTACACCATGTGACCAATTAGTTAGTGGAATCATATGACAAGTGTCACCTGATCCAAAGCCGACCGACTTTCGAAAAGTCGACTGATTTTGGGATCGATCGGCTTTTTAAGAGTCGATCGATTTTTGGAATACGAAGGTTTATATAATCAAAATGGATTTCCTTATTGTAAAACTTTGTATTCAAAATCAATTATTTAGTATACTCTATTATTAGTTACGAGTTGTATATCACTATTATTGTTACTTAAATCCCTGCTTGACGTCTAATTATAAACTATCTCGAGAGCCTAAGAGTAATCTGAATTCAGATGTATAGATCTAGATTATAATTACCGATTCTAGGATATAATTAATAATATTAACAATAATAAGAGTTTTTCTTGGTGAGAAGATTAAAATATATTTACTAGGGTATCTTATAAAATATCACTTTCGAGTAGATATATAGTTATAGATGACATCTAAAGGTTACACATAATAGTACCCCGGGAAAATGTAATGAAACTTGATTGTTATTCGTTGATTAATATCCCACCAAAAAGGGATTATGCGTTATATGACTTGATGCATCCTTACATGTTCATTACCTGTGCAAATCGGCATCACTTATTCACCAGTTGAATATACCCAGACCCCTTCCGCCAAAAATCAACAAACAAAATAAACTAGTGAATAACTTGGCGCTTCATTCCAACTCTGTAATCCCCTCCCTAAACTTCCCCTCTTTAACATACTCCCAACCGTCCCCGGGCGTCGTAACCATACTCTCACTTTTCTCCATCTCTCTTTCTCTCCCTCCAATCTCCACCGGTGCAGCAATATCACTTGGATTCTGCGGTGTCGCCGGTACACCCCTATGATTCGCATGTCCATACCTGTGCCCGGGACTCGTCGTCGCATCTATATTTCCCTCAGTAAAAGGTCCACTCGGTGCTGTAGCACTAAAATAATCAGAATCTTTTCTCGTATATCGAAATAGTTTTGATGTTTTTGAACCTGCTTTCGAGGCAGCAATGTGAGATAAATGCGAGCCAGAGAATTGGGACATGGCTGGAGGTATATCGGCATCGCGGTTCGAAGTTGTTCTTGGTTGGAGGGAACGTCGGCGGTGGATGGTGAAGAAATATATACAGGCTCCTATACTTGCTAGTGCGAGAATTGATACTCCGATGCCGATTCCGGCTTTGGCACCTGTGGATAGACCGTGAGAAGTAGATGTGGAGTTTGAGGTACCCGTGGCCATTATTCCATTACTACCTGTACGAATAGCAGATAATGTGCCGGTGGTTGCGGCGCAATAATTTGTTCCACTAAGAACTGTACATCCAAATCCTACATCGCAACATCCTCCACCCATTGAACTTGCGCATGCAATTTGATTAGTTGTGCAGCCTGGGGGCACAATTGAGACAAGTGCTGTAGTTGATGAGCTCGATAATGTGACTGCGCAACCAGCGGAACTTCCTGAAGAGACGCATTGAGCATTGTAGTTGCAGCAGCCTCCTCCGAGAGAGTCAGCGCATTTGTAGAGGGATACCGAGGGACAGGCGCGGGGACAACATGTTGATGTTACGGTTGCGGTGGAGAAAACGGTGGTGGTTTTACTGCAGAGATAGGAATCGGAAGAGCAGGGAGAATCGCAATTGCTTCCTATAGCGCAGCAGGCTGCTCCTTTGGAGGGGGATACTATGCAATATTGGGAGTTTGAACAACATATTCCTGTTCCGTTTATATCGAGACCTTTGAGTAGAGATGGAAATCAGCAAAGGTTCCTTTGGGAAGTAGATCAATTGTGGAGACTCGTCGGCCTAACGAGAAAGACATGTAAACAAATATTAAAAATTGGGAATAGTTACAAGAATGTGAACCACTTTCACAGACCCCGCTATCTCTTCCTAACAACCTCCCCTCCTCCAACCCCATATAATACCTCGGACTCAATGCATTTCCCTCATTTTCCATTCCTACAGCTCCATATTGACCTCGTACTACATCAGCAAAGCCTAAGCCCAGAATAATAAACAGTCGTAGCCGCGATCGCGAAAACATCGACATCAGCATGGTGAGATATTTCGTATTATGTCTGTGTCGCAAACTTCAGGTAGAATAATCCTGCTGAGATATATAGATACAAGAATTTATATATGTAACATCGGCTTGGAAGATTCAGCGCTTCATTGGGAAAAAGCAAATGTCTCCGCACACTGGTGATACACTGGTAGATAGATAATAGATATCAATGACTTCTGACCAATCCCCCGCGCAAAAATCAGCGATAGATCTGGGTAATCAACTAGCGATCCAATGTGCATGTGGTAAACATTGAGTAAGATGAGCTTAACACCCATACTCATCCTGCAGCCCCCTCACATAGCTACCGCACTTCAATCGAGAGAGAATGGTAGAAATTGCTCTTTTACCTGAGAATATCAGTTCTTCCTTTCTTAAACTCTCCCCAGAGGCTTGGGAATGGGCCAAAAGAGTCACTCAAATCCAGATGACAATGCATTATGCATACAAATCTGGATACAGAGAATTTATGACATGATTAATGTTCCTGGTACTGGTATTAAAAAGAGTTTTTTAAAAGCATATGAAAACCGAAAAATTCCCATTTTGGGACAGCGTGAGTGCTTGTCATGTGAAGTGCATTTGAACAAAATATTATTAATGTGCATAAACAGCGAGGCGTAATTGATGTGCGACCGAACGCCAAGATTTCAACCCAACAACAACAAACAGCTTCCTCCAAGCAACTCGACAACAGCTACGCTACAACTTCGAAGAGTCAATATCTCTGGAGTAACGAGATGTAGAAATATTCTACATTCTCCAATAAACCTTCAAGATTCTTGGCGCCTCACCCACGGTAGGTCCTACTCTGCTGTCTTTCCTTGGTTCTTGTTCCGAATCTACAGCTCTTCCACTCGAAATGCAACAACCACGTCGAATATATCGCGCACAGAGTCGCATTTCGGATTGAAGATTTGTTGAGACTGTGCAAATGGCAGTTTAATCCTTAGTCGATCTTCAAATATCCATCGACATACCAGGAATTATGGATATATGCTTGGTGGATGGAACAATGCGATTGCTATCATATGCGGTGAGAACTTTTTGGATCCTGATCCACAAACTAAATCGCTGAGTATTGCGGAACTCAGCTCGGAATCGATCTATGGAGGAAATATGGCTTGCTGGAAATGGCTGGTCAAATGTCCGTCTTGCGCATTGCTTAGGTTGATCTTAGATCAACTTGTCGCGGGCGCAAGTTAAGAATCTGCCATAACTAAATATCAACCCGAAAGTATCGAGTTTTGCAAGACACACATTGAACTTCAGGGTTTATTGTTACGAGATGAGCAAAATGTGAATGGTCTCGGCGAAAGATCACGGAATAAAATAGAAGGGATGGTCTGAGATCACAAGATACCCGGGTGGGCATTGTGAATTTTGCATATTTCGCATAACCGTCCCCGACATATCGTTCTAATGATGACGAGCACCTTATATCTATCTATCCTGGTGGTGATCTCAAGGGAATTCCCCTATCATCAACGATTGCAGCAGCCGCATTCTTTCTTAGATGGGAGGGTCGAAGTTAGAACTCATATGGGTCATACAAGGAACTTCGCCCAGCTCAAGATAGGTAACCTCGGGGTTTGTGATGGTTGAAAATGCAGTGAGTGACATGGCAGCTTATCTTCTGTCACCAGGCTTGACATTCTCATAACCTACCTCCATTCAAGGCCATCATTCCTTAATGCAGAGACTTCCGGACTCTGGATGTAACCGTCGGTACTTTGATGAAAGTCTTCGTTGCAATTGAACCCGACTGTTGCCACACAACCCTGAGTTAACGCCACTATGCCAAAGTTTTGATCGTTAGGTAGTACTGGGGAATTGAATTTACTTTACAACAAAACCATAGTTATGATTTTAATCAAGAATATCGAATAATTGACTTTAATATCCTCATCACGATTTTCTAATTGACTGAACTGGAAATTTTCATGTTCCCCAAAAAACCCGATTTTCAGGCAGTCAGGCAACCACAAATAGGCGAGGGTTGAATCTCCCACAAACCCTTTAGCGCCTCAAGAATATTCGAGGTGGAAACTCTATCAAACTTGAGAAATTTCACCGACGTCGACAACTTGTAAATCCAACCACCACCGCCAACTCCACAATCAGCCATCGCAATCATGTCTGAAGGAGAAATCGAAGTCGAGGCCGTCTCCGGCTACCAAGTGCTCCCAAAGGAAGTCACTGAGGAGATTGGAAGCATCAAGGTACAACTCAATTGAAATGTTTCGATGCATGGGAAAATTCAGCTGACAATCTGCAGCTTTTCAACAAATGGAGCTACGAGGATGTTGAGATCCGCGACATCTCTTTGACGTAAGAATACCCAATGCGAAAGATCTTGAGGAAGGATGGATGGGCGGAGGTGGAAACACTCGACAACAATTTTGGATGGATGGAATTACAAGAAGAGGGAAAGCTAATGCGATATCTTTTCAACAGCGATTACATTCAAATCAGAGCACCAGTCTACATCTCCCACTCCGCCGGTCGTTATGCGCAAAAGAGATTCAGAAAGGCCAACTGCCCAATCATTGAGCGTCTTACCAACTCCTTGATGATGAACGGTCGCAACAACGGAAAGAAGCTCATGGCTGTCCGCATTGTTGCCCACGCCTTCGAGATCGTACGTTCGACCAAAGAAAAATGAAGTTTGGAACAAAACCTAATAATTGAAATTACAGATCCACATCATGACCGACCAAAACCCAATCCAAGTTGCCGTTGATGCTATCGTCAACTGCGGTCCCCGCGAAGATTCCACCCGTATCGGATCCGCCGGTACCGTCCGTCGTCAAGCCGTCGATGTCTCCCCTCTCCGCCGTGTCAACCAAGCTATTGCTCTCCTTACCATCGGTGCCCGTGAAGCTTCATTCAGAAACGTCAAGTCCATTGCTGAGTGCTTGGCTGAAGAATTGATCAACGCTGCCAAGGGAAGCAGCAACTCCTACGCCATCAAGAAGAAGGATGAGTTGGAGCGTGTCGCCAAGAGCAATCGTTAAATGGTCATATTTGGGGATTTTCTGTGGGGTGTTTCGATTTGCATTATGGATGGATGGGCGATTGGCTGCATTCCTGTCATATAAACGACTTTTATGAATGCAAAAAGTCAGGACACAACCGGAATAATGGATATATGCATTCAGTGATTTTGTGCCATCGGTTCAAGTGTACAAATTTGTATGGGACTATTGGCTTGAGATGGTTATAAGGCCTGATCATATACCATCTGATGATTCTAGAATTTTGATACCTCCAGATACTAAAGCAAATTCGATAAACAACCCCCGCACGCTCAATATTTACAGTGACATAATGACTCTTAAATAACAGATATCGCTAACGAATTCGCAGCTAGGCAGCTCTAATTTTAAACATCCCTGTCTGCGGATGCTAGGCCTACTGCAATGCTCTCGGAACACATTTTCTCCCAGTTAACGAATGAGATAGATGAATATCAACTTGATTCAAATGTCTGTACTGGCTTCCCCCGATCGCTAGGAAGTGACGTAAAAGAATATCAAAAGCTCAATTAAAGTGCTTGTCTTAGCACAATCGTACCACAACCAAGGATTGGTGATTCTCTCGTACCTTCCTCCTTCCCTTCGAGTCTAATCATCTACTAAATCTCCCTAGTATGATTCATTGCCGTTGATGTACGCTGGTATAATGATGTAATAATCATGGTCACATTTGATGGAATATTTGGAGCTGAGCTGAGCTGGATGGATTGGGTATGTATGTATGTATGTATGTATGTGTATGTATGTGTTACGTGTTATGTGTATAGGGAGGGTGAGGTTGGGGTGGGGTAGGGTGGATGGTGATATATTAGGTAAGATTGGGGTTTTGGGGGGTCTTGTTTTGAATTTTGGGGTTTTTGTGATGGTGGTTGTTATGATGGCTGGAGTTGTGATGGTGATGGAAGAGAAGAGACGAGAAGAGGTTTTCGGGGTTAGTTGTGTGGATGGATGGGATGGAATTTGGATTTATGGTGTTGTTGGTGGTGATGGTGGGTGTGGATTTTGATGTGGATTTGTATATGGATGATTGGAAGTCAGGAGTTATGGATGATCCTACCGTATTTATATTCATGTTTACACTCTTTCTCATACTCCTACTCTTCTGTGAGTAGAACCATTAGTCGCGGTTATACTGCTCATTATATGGATATTTATATTAATATATATAAATAACATGCACCTGGGCGTTCAATCATCGTTGTCGTTTTCTGCCTCATATTCTTGAATATCGAAGAAATTCTACAACAAGTTGTATCATGCCAGGAAGGAAATTATAATAAGATTCCTAGCTACTTACTAATCCTTCTCTTACTTTTCGGTTGTATTTATGATGAAATTTGGATAATGTTTGAGTAGTTGGCTGATCTTGTTTGTTGACTGTCCTGTGCTGAGATATTGAGGCTTGGGATTTGATGTTTGATGTTTGATGTTTGGTGTTTGAGGTATTGCTCCCCTCGATATTGTAGAAATTGCGGAGGTAGACTTAGTTGGGTGTAAGAGATGATGGGTAGTTTATACGTGGGATATACGTTTTCCGTTCACTAGGGTTAATTTTATTATATGCAACACCTGCATACTTTGCGTTCACTACTTTACATCATCCAAACCGACTATAAACTATCGATTTACTACGCAATTGGTATGTATGCATATGCATACACATACCTCTGGTTCTTATTCTTGGATCATTGTTTATTCTGTCGCTATTACATGTGCAGCGGAGGTGGATTATACATCTGGGCTAGAATGAGAAAAGAGAGGAAGGGAGGAAAGGGAGGAGAGGAGAGGAAGTGGAGAGCCTTGTTGTTTTATCTTGATTGTTTCTAGGTGTTTGATAATAATATGGAGCTGGGTAATGGATAGGGACCTTTTTTGGAAATAAGAGTTGGGGAATAAAGAATGGAGGCTTGAGATAGAACTATGTACTAGATCAGAGGGCGAATCAGCGAATTCTTAAACTCCCAAGTGTAAAAGATTGAGAGGTGAGAGGTATAAGGTAGTCTATGTGACTAAAGCGTAAGAGCATAGCACTAATGATGTAAAGATTTAGTGATGTTTTCTATGGTTGGATATAGGGGTCAGGAGAAGGCGAGATCGATGTGGTAAGTCGAGGGACCTAGTGCGGATTTTGAGAGTAATAAAGGAAGGTGGTTTGAAGGTATTAGTACTCACATATATGGAGAAATACAATGCATGAATTCGTCGAATCACTGAACTGAAGTGCTCAAGCTATAAGTGTTTTTGCAAATGCAGATAGCAATAAATTTTTATTATGCTGAGTAGAGGATGAGGTAGAAATGGTGGACTGAATAGGAGATATGATAATTTTCTTTGGGTGTTTTGTCTATAGGTAGGTCTTGGTATAAAACAGGGGGAATAAATAGTACATACTCTACAGGAACTTCAACAGAAAGATCGAAGCTTTGAATTTAATTGGAATATGAAATAAAATATTGTACTATTAGTAGCAAAAACTTTGGTCAAGGATCAGATCTTGATGGACATAGATGATGCGATATAAGTGAGGGAACAAGATGCTAGGACGAGGGAAAACTAGAAACTAATTTAGAAATTTTGGATACTGGCGGTACTCTGGAGATAGGATGAATCTAGTATTCTGAATAGATATTAAACGAACTATGCTAGTGCTGTCGCTCTTGGAAAGTAGAAGTGAGGGTTGAAGTTAGAGAGGTGGCGAAATTGTTGAAGTGAATATCTTATAGTGAATGATTGGTATTTAGATGGCGAGGAAGGGAACCGAGTCTTTGGGATTTGTGATGGGACGAGCTAGTAATGGCGCTAATGTGGAGTTGAAAGGAGAGGTATGAAAGGAATTTAGACGAATAGGGCACATTTATATGATTAACTAGCGATATTAGCAGTTAAATATTGGCGAGATGGGTAAATAATATATTGGAGGGAAAAATGGCAGATTGGGCCCATGCATAACGAAACCATCCCATCTCGGCGCGGTAAGATGGGATAGCAGGTCAAAATTAGGTATTTGAATATATTTTCATTATTGGGAGAAGAGATATAGATAGTGAATTTCAAGATGACTGTAAATGTTGTGCTGAATAATTGTGCAACGTATTTATGAATTAGGGGTCAGAAGTTGCCAGACATGATAACTGAGCATCTTCGAGCGGTAGTCTCAACAATACATCCAGCAATTCAGGGGCAAATAAAGTTATGCTATGAAACTCCACCACCAATCATGAAGTGTATCATTCCAAATAGTAGTATCCAGAGTAAAGCCCCATACACTGCTATGTGGTTCCTTACGAAGGATATCCTTATAATTACACAATACCCGATCCAGACCATCGATATTTCGCTAACCTATTGAATTCTGTCTTTACTAACTATAGAAGATGACTCTTTACTTCGAATTTATCTAGTTGGATATTCACTAGTCCTTCAATTACTCGCCCTTATCCCGCTGTTCTTCACTTGGTTCTTCTTCACTTGGTCCTCCCTCGTCGTTGGTCCCGTGTTCAGTGTCGACTCGCACACTTACACACTCGCCTTTCTCTTTTTTATTCGCAGACTTGAAGTAAAAGAGATTTCATTGTTATGAGGATGATATATGCTCTCATCCAGTGATGTTAATGCTTCAGTGTTGTTGTCAACTTTGACAAAAATGGGATTTGCTGTGATGATAATGAATATTCTATTTTTATACTGTTCGCATTACAGTCAGTATTATAATTATTAGTCCCGATGATTGAGATGGAAGATAAAAGAGTTCAACTTCAAGTCACGGGCTCAGTACAAATAATCGTAGGTCGGAAACTGTATGAAATTGCTTTCTATTATTTAGTATTAAGCCCAAGGAATTAACATCCGATATTTCCTCTTTTGCCACCCCGTTTAGTCCTATCAATATGACCCTTGAGCACCCTTCTAGTGTGTTGCAAACTTCTCTTTTGCTTACTTTTAGCCTTACCCAACGTCATCATGAAATTCTTCTTTCTTGATTTCTCTTGATTTGTGGTACTCTTGCCCTCGGCATCCTTCTTTGCTCTCCTAAGTGCCTTGGTTGACTTATGCTCACTACGCTCACCCTTCCCTTCTCTAGCCATTGCTATCTTCTCTTCTCTGGTATTCTTTTGTAACTTAGAGAAACCTTCGATTTGGTCAGCTGTCAAAGCATCATCTGCGTGTCTTGCTGCAGCGTCTTTCATTCGTTGAGATTGTGTTCTCCCACCCATTGCTTTATTCACGCTGGCCTCAAGACGAAGCTCTTGAAGCTTTGCAAGATCAGCAGGAGTGAGAATCTTAGTGGTTGCATATGTTGAGATCTTTTGCTCAAGAACTTTATCGGCATTCTCCTTCTCAGCGTCTCCTGACTTTTCGGCATCTTTGATGTCGAGCTTCGCTTTCTTCGCGGCAGGCTTTTCATCTTCACTATCACTGATTTCAATTTCAGCATCACTCTCGACGTTGATCCAACCACCTTCATCACTGTCCGCATCAGATTCCACATCCCAGGCATTCCAATCTTCTTCATCGTCTTCTTCCTCATCTGTGCCCAATTCTTCAGGCAATCCTTGTTCAGCCCGTTTCCGCTTCCTTTCATCTTCCTTCCACTGTTCAAGCAATTCGATACCTTCAATACCACCGACTTCTTCCTCACCAAAGCGTCTCTCTTTGATAGAACCAGCCTTAAGTCCCATGGTCGCTGTCTTTCCTCTGTCTCTTTTCTTCAACATATCAGCTCCAACTTCACGGTACAAGGATAATAATCCCTTCGCAGCCATCATTGTTCCCTTATCCTTACTCTTCCTGTACATGATAAGATCTTGAAGAAGTGTGTCGTTCATAGCTAAAGGTTGTCGCACGCAGATTTCTCGAATAGCGTTAAGTCCAGAAGCAGCAACCTCCGAAGCCGATGCTTCAGAGACGAACTCATTGGCAATTTTCTGTACCAGAGGTTCTAAAGCATCGGGTGGAACAAGATTATGTGTTGCTTGAGCTAGAGATGCCAAAAATGAGGTAACTGATGGTTGTCGTGGTGTAAGGTACTTGGTGAAGTATGAATATAATGAGATTACTGTAAGCTTATGCAGACCAACAAGTCGTGAGACCAATTGTAGGACAATAAGTTTTTGTTCAAGGTTTAGTTTCGACTTTGAATTTTGAAGATGCTTCGAAAATAGGGATTCGGCGAAACCCTGGGGATCGTGCAAGAGGTGCAGCGCGGAGAAGTTCAAGGGGTGAGGTGCTTTGCTCTTCTTTTCCTTCCTTCGTACCTTTTCGACGGCTTTTTCTAATGACTTCGTCTTCTTCTTTGTCTTCTTATTAATTCCAACTTGATGCTTCAGTTTACCAATATCAATGGCTTCCTCATCACTGCTTTCGTCCTCCATCTCCTCTCTTTCCTTGTCACCACCCAGGAAAAACCGTACTCCACCTCCAATAACCTTCTCATTATCTGACAAACTAGCTTCCTTCATAATCTCGACAGCTTTCGCATCTGTCCATATCTGTCGCTTCCATAATTCTCTTGTAATTTTAACAGCCCAGATTCCCTTTGAAGATGTTCGATCGGATGTGAGAAGATTGAATAATGCTGTTTGCATTGTTCGATTGAGACGATGGTTGATGCTTTTTGAATTTGAAGTTCGGAGATCTGATAGGATCTTCTGGAATAGTAGCGTGCGCAGAGTTTTACTGGGAGTAGCTACCAGTATTGGAAACAGTGTGTTAAGAAGGTTGGCTGAATCAATCACTTCCTTTCGTCGCAATAATACTAAACTGCCCACAATCTTCTCGCGCAATTCGCTCTCAAGCTCAGCATGATGTAAAGTGAGAATCTGTTTGAGATCCACTGGAAACTCTGCGGTATCTTCTGGGAAACAGTCCGAACAATGTGCGACGAAATCGATAAGGTCGTGAAATGATACGATGCCGCCAGATGTGGCTGTGGAAGGAGAAGACATATAAATGTCTCTCTGTGATTGATATTGTCCATATTGATTCAAGAAATCTTCTGCATATGATCTGGTATAAATGTTAATGATGATCTCGTTGCCATTATGGAAAGTGTGTACTTACTTTGGATCTCTTCGAATCTTGTATTGTAAATTCGGACTGAAGAGGTCAGCAATGGTCAGAAGAAAAAAGGCAATTGGAATCTTACAGATCCGCATCAACCTTCTCCAATGCGCCAACTCTCTTTTTACCCATTATGCCGGTTGATGTTGTATGCCTTTGGGTGATTGATTATGCCTCCTCGTTATTGGAATTCGAATTCACATGGGCGAGATATTTTTTTTCGTTATCATTATCTTAGCGCCAGTCGCTTAAGGTGTATCAAGCAAAGATGATTTATTATCCAGCCGGAGGTGTGTGAATATGAATTAACCTTAAACATTAAACTCAGCATGGCAAAAACTTTTCAACTAGATGCTTTTTCATTGGCTCGTATGTCTGCCAGCTCATGCTCATCCAAGAAATTCCATCAATTAACCATAGCGACGACGTGGAATTAATCCATGATGGTTCATCTAAAGTCATGAGAATGTGGCTACCACACTCGTATGTCTTCAGTTAGCGGTCGCATCAACGCGGAGCACGTAGTTAACAATGACTACATCGATCCCTAACATTATCGTGAGCCTCAGCTCGCGTTGCCAGTCATGGACCTTTTCAAGGGATGCGGATTGACCCGAAAAAACTCGGGTTGGTTTCCGGTGACAATCTCCAGCTTTTAATGGTACCACATAAGTTTGTGGTGGGTCTTAAGAGCCATTCTTTGCTGCGAGTACTGCAAGTACTGCAAGTAATTGCAGGATTTTTTATATGATGATATCACAGTTTGTTTCAAAAAATTAGGTTCCGGCGAAGACATAATTTAGCCATTATCCTGCCCAAATTCTATATAGCTTCTGTCCAGTGGCAGGTGTCTAACGACTTCATAAGTCAATTCAAACCCCACCCTCGTTTCTTCCTCTTCATCACTCTCTTCATCCACTTTCATTATTGGTAATGGATTCACCCACCGATTGTCCATTCATTTCTGCGAAAATGTCGGACGCAGACCCATATGTCCTTACAAAACTTTCAGAACATATATCGCGGCATCTCAACAAATCCCTCGATCAAGCCGTGGACAATTTGTCATTGAGACTTCAGGATACGGCGAAGGATGCTATCGCCGACACTCGAGAAATCAATACCATTATCGAGCAAGCGGTTAGGGAAGCTGTCGAAAAAGCCGTCGAGAAGTCGGTGGTAACGGAACTTGAGGCTGCTCCCATAGAATCAGAGTTCAAATTTCCACCTCCTCGGAATCCTAATTTTGTTGGTCGCTCTTCAACCCTAGCCAAATTACTGAGTCTGTGGAAACCAAACCGAAAGAGCCGATTGGCAATTATAGGGCTTGGGGGGGCAGGGTATGTTATTTCCCTCAAAAGTCTGATAATAAAGCTCACAAATTATAGGAAAACTGAGCTTATTACTGAGCTTGTCTACCAAATTAGAGAAGCCTCGTCAGCATCGATATACTGGTTTGACCCAGATAATTTGCTTGCACCTTCAGTTAACGGAAATGAGTCACTGGAAGATTGGCTGCGCCCTGGGCGAGACCCCGGAAGCTTGTTGGTCGTTGATGCAGGAGATAATTTTGATCACTTGACGCAACATACTGACTATGGTAGACTGATTGACAGACTACAAAGGTTTGAAGGTGCCATAATCCTCATCACGAGGACTAAAGCCAATGGATGTCTCTTGAGCGGGCCGCATAATATTTTTGAAGTCGATTCTCTCGAACTCGAACCAACAATGTGTTTACTTCGAGATAGATTGACGGTTGACCTCTTCGACAATTCAACTGACGAACAACTTCGTGAAATTGCACTTCTTGTTAACTGCCTACCAAGAGCTGTCGTTCAGATTTCGAATCTACTCAACGATACTTCGATGAGGCTCTCGCAGTTCATCTCCATTTACCGCACGAACGATCATTTCAAACTGCGGCTGCTGAGTTCGGTGGCACCGCTATTTACAATCTCAGAACAGGAATCTGTTATTGGAAAGGGCGTCATAGATGCCAGGCAGTTTCGAAGGAATTACCGTATGGCTGCTCGTATCCTCCATCATCTGTATTACCTCGGTGGCAATGCAGTACCGCGCTCTATAATCTGCTCGCTGGTTGATCCTCTTGATCTCATTGTTGTAATGTGTATTCTGAAAGGGAACTTTCTTGTCAGGGAGGATGATGCTGGAGAGACGTACAACATGCATCCATTGGTCTTCCTGTCACTTAAAAAAATTATCACTGGCGAGAGATCAGAAACAGATGAAAGCGATATCGAGCAGGAGCTCGAATGGTACACAGAAGCTGTTATCGCTTTTGGAAATTATTATCCTGACCCGAATAGCAAGGATAGAGAATGGTGGAAGAACTGCTTCGAACGTTTCCTTAGCGACGGAAGCAAAAACAATGATTCTGTGCGCATTGCACTAGCCTTGGTCTACAACAAGGAATCGAAACATCTTGTTCGCAGGGGCCTATACAACGATGCTTTAAAGATGGCCACAGCCGCCGTTGATACATTACCCGAGGCGATACCCCATGAACATCTCAACGTACTTCAAAATCATCTTTCGCTGCTCGAGCTCTTGGCCAAGTATGGAGAGCTTAGAGAGGCTTTGCAGGCGTATACCGAAGAACAGCCGGATGAATTATGGAAGAAGCGTGTTGAAGGTATCCTGTACCTGTCTGAAGGTACCAACAAATCCGATGTTGTCGATCTGTTTTGCCAGATTCGCAGGACTAAAGAGTCCATGAATGCCCCCGAAAGTGATTTATGCACCAGCATTGACGATTATGGCATGGCCCTTATGGTAGTCGGCAACTATCAAGCGGCTGAGATAGAATTCTCGACAGCGTTCCGGAAAAGAGCAACATTTTTTGGAACGAACCATCCCGACACACTTATCAGTTGCCAACACCTTGCAAATGTGCTGCACAAGTCTGGTAGATTCAATGACGCCCTTAGATTTGTGGAGGGCGCTATACGAGGAAGCCAAATGTCTCAAGGTGACGAACATCCACAAACTCAATACATCAAAAGTCTCAAAGCAAGGATCCTGCTTTCTAAGGCTGTTTCATATTCCGAATACAATGAGGTTGAATCTATCCTTACCAACGCTGCCGACATCCTCACTGCTCAGCTCTCCGACTCTCATCCTCTAGTTCTAACCTGTAAGAGCAACATTGCATTAGTAATGCTGGCGCAAGGCAGATATGATGAAGCTCTAACCATAAACCGTGCTGTTTTAACGGCAAGGGAACATGGCCCTTGGCTGGATCGTGAGCGACATCCAGACATACTAACGAGCCGACATCAGATTGCAGAATGTTTGATGCTGAAAGAAGGATGCCATGCCGCTCAGAATCTGAGTTCTCAAGTATTGGTTGATAGGACACAAATCTACACCGACGGAACTTTTGAGGGTGATGATTTCCACCCTGAACAGCTTACGAGTCTCCACCTCCAAGCACTCATCCTTGCTGGCCTTGGTCAACACAGTGGAGCCCTTCATAAAATGGATCTTGTGTTGATTGGTAAAAAGCAAGTTCTTGGAGAGTCACATCCAGAGTACCTTAATAGTCTCACTTGCAAAGGCGAAATTCTACGTGGTCAGCTTCCTCTTGAAGACGGACGGGAGGAAATGTTGGATACCATTGATGCTCTTCATGGGAGGGCTCTGGAGGGTCTCACTCGAGTATTTGGCTCTCAGCATCACTGGACACTTCAGTGTTTATCGTACATGGCGGCTGCAAAGCGTGAACGCGGTGATGCATTAAGTTACACCGAGGCCGCTGGACTTTATCGTCATATTTCGCGCGCTTACGAGGGAAATATGGGCGATCTCCACCCTGAAACGGTCAGAGCAAAGGCTCACCTGGCAGAAGTGATGCATCTTTTGGGTAATCGTCCAGAAGAGGCTAAGAAGGTTTTCAGAGAGGCTTGCGCTGGGCTTGCGAAGGTATTTGGCTCAGATGCCCATGCTACCATCACCGCGTATAGAGGTTACGAAAAATTTGCCAAGGACCTTTCTGATCCAGTCTAAGGCTTTTTGGAGTGTTTTGTAAAAAAAAAAATGGCATCAAAACAGCACAGTTCATGGATTGGTAATTGGAATGCAGGTTGGGAAACACAGGTACGGACGGGAAGGGCAATTCGGCGCAAACAAAATGTTCGGGTAGGCGTTGTTTTGGATATGTATTCGGGGCGGAGTCTTTCGTTCGTCCCAGCGCTCTGACACAAATTAGCAAGCAATAATTTATAAAAGCCTAGTTGAAGGCTCGAATTAATATGCGGAGATCAAAAACTATCTTGTCGTTCGTCCGATTTTGATACAGGTCATATTTTTTACGTCTAATTAAACAGGGTGGTTTCAGAAGTCTGATATCGAATAATTCAAGCATGCGGTCCATTAGTCTTCGTCTATGTTGAAAGATATTACCACTATATAGTTCGAAGCTACAAATTTTGACCATTTTAATTCAGCCTATTTGCGCTGCTGAAATTTTTGCCAGCAAACACCCACACAAACGGGTCTTGTACCACGCGAATCCAACCCAAGGCGCCACGTTCAGATTTCTTTCAATGGCCAATCATTTTTGATGCCTTGATTGCAGATATTCTCCATCAAATGCATCATTTTTTGCTTTAAACTTACTGTATGTTTGCATGTATTCCACCAGCTCTCAATTCAATTGATTTTCCTTTTCCTTCTTTCTTTGTGGCATTCCTGGCGCAATTTTCATTATGTTTAATTAATTCATTTTCTCTCTTTTTTTTTTTTTTTTTTCGAATTTTCCCTGGTGGATTTCGCACATTAAATATGGCTCCAATAATACTTCCCAGTTTATCCTCCCATCTCTTCCCCACAAAAGTCACAAATTCTACATCCTTCACCAAGAAACCCTTCTCCCAATCTTTTGATACATTACCTACCTCGCTATCATCTTCCTCTTCCTCAATCTCTCTCTCAAAATCTCCAATTCCGACTGTACTTCCCTACCTGTTCCACGGGAAATTCTCCACCGTCATAGTTAAGGCACCTACCACCACCTATACCCCCTACATCGAACTCAACAACAATGGAATTGCCTCTGAGCCTACTGCACTTCCCGACTCGACCCCTGTTAGCAATTCATTCGCTGTGGAGACGCAGGCACCGAAACCAAATAATGCCGGGAGGGATGTTGGGATAGTTATTGTTGTAGGGTGGTGATATTAGGACTGGTGGCGGGTATATATGATGCGGGCACAACAAAGCCAGAGGAAGGAGGGAAGGGAAAGAGAAGGGAAAGAGGAGGACAAAGAGAGGGTAGATAAGAGACAGGAAAGAGGGGGAGAGAAAGAAAGAGAAGGGGAAGGGGAAAGAGAAGGGAAAGGAAGAGAAAAAGAAAACAGTGAAGAAGTGAAGACCGAGGTGAAAGAAATATAGAGGAGGGGCTGCAGAAGGAAGGAATGAAGGTGTTTAATGGCTATAAACCTAGGGATGAAATATTGTGTTCTTATGAGCCGTGATTTGGTGGTGTTGCCATGATCAAACTCAATGTGTGCCCTATGAGGTTATATTGAGCAGTAATCATAAACTGACGAGAAACTGGAGACGAGCTGGCTCAATATTCGAGCTGAAGCTGGACGATTACAGTTGTATACATGGAATGAAGGCAGGCATCAAAGCAAAGTTGAAACTATGAATGAGTATTTCTAATTTTCAAAGGATATGAGCTGGGATGAAGGTTCTGCAGCGGCGAATGGCCAATTAGAGAAATACATTTTCGATATACCAAGTTCCAACAATGTATGACCTAAATTTAAGACTCGATGAATTGAGCTCGTTTCCCAGTGATCACCAAGATTGTAGTCAGAGACAAAAATCACAACAAGCAAGTATATGCAACAAAATCCGCCCTACTGCAGGGTATTGCATCGGACGATACGTGGAGTAACTGCCAAGGCATAGTGACCACACCTCAATTTGTTCAGTTGAAAAACTGTCATCCCGGAGCAAAGGGTTTCTTTTCCGCGAGCCACACATGAAGATTAAGCTCTATTTGGGCGGGGCAGTGTTGGTTCTCTCTTCCTGCTTGGTTGGAAGAATGCTTCATGGGATAGGAATGGTTAATCGATTCGAAGCCAGAAGTTCATTGGACAATTGGAATTTATAAAAAATGTAGATAATGCTAATGGTAGTCCAGCTCACTGTTCAACAATTGGTTATTTGATTGGATGACTTTCTGGGAGTCAGCATTTTTGAAGCTGCACAATCATCATATTTCATCTGTCCGTGTGCATCTAATCCATGCCCAGAGCTCCGCCAATCCCTACATCTTGATGTATATACCCCTGAGATAAATGCTCACGAGGTCAGCGGACATCGAATAGTTTTCAGATTGACGCGTCGACGTCCTCGCAGAAATAGTCTCCTACTTGCTTGAGTAGATGAAATTGGCAGGTCAATCCTGCAGCATCCAAACCCACCAACGCAGGTTGTACCTTATTCCCCTCTCATTCCTTCCGATCCAGTGCTATATTTAACTCGTACACGAGGTCCGGCTTATGGTAGTGGTGGAAAAAGTTTAATATTAAAAGCGGCATTGACCCCGCAATACACTAGACTAGAACTATGATGATCTGGTTTGTTTCTTTTCGACGACAAACCTTTTTCTTAATCCTTGACTACATCCCGTCCAACAGACACTTTACACACATTATGTCCTCGTGGATAGTGTCATGCAACTTGCTAAAAACAGCTCTATTATAAGAACTCGACGATCAACGTTACGAGGGACGCGGGTGAGTGTGGGAAAGGGGGCGGAATAGCTGGGAGGGATTGTCGGTCTTTCATATCTCAATAACTTTTTCATCAATTTGAATTTGATAGAAGTCTGTCATGTGTTGGAGATCAAGAGTATTATACGTGTCACACCCATACAAATTTGTAACTCAATTAGGTTTCCTTTTGACCCCAAGTGCTTTGATTGGGACATTGAGAAATGGACATTGGTTGCGAGCGAGAAGCGACTTGCGGGGTAAACTGAAATTATTCACGGCAGTTCGACTTTCCCCACATCTACTACATTACACCTCTTCCATTTCAGCCGTTCTGCTCGGAGTACTCGATGGAGAGCCCTTCTCTTCTCCTCCTTATCCCTTTTGTATGTACGTACGGAGCACTCAGCCTGCACCCTGAAATTTGCGCATCGATCGGCATCCATCCAGTGGGGATTTTCTAGTGAGACAAGAAGAGGGGTAGCAACATTATCTATGGTTGATTGCTCTTGGTTCCTTGTTCTTCATGTTTATTGCAGTCTAGCTGGCCAATGGCCTTTTTACGAAAATGCAATGTTACCATATATAGCGGAAATATAGCTAATGCCACGACAATCCTCTGGTGAGGCTATTCCGATACACCCGAAATCATAGAATATAAGATAATGAGAATAGACGAGATGATTCGTTTCTTCATCTTTTGTATAGCTCTGAGCAGCTTTGAGAGTTCGCGTGATACCTAATATCAATAAATTTGAGTGAAACAGCCACGATGACGATCCCAGATGAGTTCGACATCATTGTTTGCGGTGGTGGAAGTACTGGTTGTGTAATTGCTGGCAGGTATGTTTGACTCTTTTTAGATGTGGACTCTCATTGCTGAAGACTAACCGGCTTGCAGACTTGCTAACCTCGATCATAACCTTCAAGTCCTGCTCATTGAGGCTGGAGAGAGTAATCTCAACAACCCATGGGTGTTCCGCCCAGGAATCTGTAAGATAAACGCCATGTCACTTCTGCTTTATCCCACTAACAATCCTAGACCCTAGGAACATGAAATTGGACAGCAAAACAGCCTCATTTTACTACTCCCGACCATCAGAATGGCTAGCCGGTCGCAAAGCTGTCGTTCCATGCGCACATATCCTAGGTGGAGGTTCCTCTATAAACTTCATGATGTACACACGAGCGTCTGCTTCCGATTACGATGACTTCCAAGCCCAAGGATGGTCTACAAAGGAGCTTATTCCATTGATGAGAAAGCATGAAACATATCAGCGGGCATGTAATAACAGGTTGGTGGATATATTCTCTGAGAAACCACTCCTCTGACATATTCAGGGAACTTCATGGCTTTGATGGCCCGATTAAAGTTTCATTTGGAAATTATACTTATCCAATTACCCATGACTTCTTGCGTGCTGCGGAATCTCAAGGAATACCAACAACTGATGATTTGCAAGACCTTGTCACTGCGCAGTAAGTTATATCCTCCGTCAATATGACAATATGCTTACAATCATACTACTAGTGGCGCCGAACATTGGCTCAAGTGGATCAATCGAGATGTAAGCAAATCTTGCTCCGCAATTGAATAATTGACCTTACAGTTATCTCAGACCGGTCGTCGCAGTGATGCTGCACATGCCTACGTTCACTCTACCAGAGCTGTACACTCGAACCTTCACCTTATGTGCAATACCAAGGTAGATAAAGTCATTATCGAAAATGGTCGAGCTGTTGGTGTACAAACTGTTCCCACGAAGCCACTTCATCCAAATGTAAGTTATTTTCCAGAATAAACCGACTCATGCTGATTTGAATACTCTGATAGCAACGTCCACGAATTTTTCGTGCACGAAAACAAGTAGTTGTTTCGGGTGGGACACTCTCATCGCCGTTGATCTTACAACGAAGTGGTGTCGGTGACCCAAAGAAATTACATAAGGCTGGTGTCAAGCCTATTGTTGACTTACCTGGTGTTGGTTTGAACTTCCAAGATCATTACCTAACATTCTCTGGTATGCATCTTTATTAGTTCTTCGATCCTATTCATCTATGCTAATACTCTCAAGTCTACCGTGCTAAACCCGGAACTGAGAGTTTTGACGACTTTGCCAGAGGTGTCCCCGAGGTTCAAAAGGCTGTTTTCGACGAATGGAATCTCAAAGGGACCGGACCACTTGCCACAAATGGCATTGATGCCGGTGTGAAAATTCGCCCAACTGAGGAAGAATTGAAGGAAATGGAGACTTGGCCAACACCACATTTCAAATCAGGCTGGGACAGCTACTTCAAGAACAAACCTGATAAGCCAGTAATGCACTACTCGGTTATTGCTGGTTGGTTTGGTGACCACATGTTAATGTAAGTTGTCAATCTTAATGACTTGGGAGATCAATCTGATTAATTATTAGGCCGCCTGGAAACTTCTTTACGATGTTCCACTTCCTGGAATATCCATTCTCCCGTGGTGAAACTCATATCGTTTCTCCAGATCCATATGAGGCACCAGACTTTGATGCTGGTTTCATGAATGATGAGAGAGACATGGCACCAATGGTTTGGGGATACATCAAATCTCGTAATACTCCCTCAAAATATCAGTGTGCAGATAAAACAGTCGAATGCTAACTCCTACAAACAGGTGAAACTGCCCGTCGTATGGATGCATATGCAGGAGAAGTACAGAACATGCATCCATTTTACGCATATGATTCGCCGGCTCGAGCCAAAGATATGGACTTGTTGACCACTAAGTCATACGCTCTTCCAGGCAACGTTACTGCAGGTATTCAACATGGTTCTGTAAGTTCTATCTTCAATATTTTATATCCTTCGTCCGAAGTACCATGCAGTACTAACAAGAATTAGTGGTCAATGCCAGTTGAGCCAGGAAAGCCACCACAAATTTCCTACCTCAACAGTAACCAAAGAGACCTGCAAGAAGACCTCAAGTATAGCAAAGAAGATATCAAGCATGTCGAAGAATGGGTAAAGAGACATGTGGAGACAACATGGCATTCTCTTGGCGTAAGTAGCTGCTCTCAGATTCTCACAAGAACCATGATCTAATCCAAACTAGACATGCTCCATGGCACCTCGTGAAGGAAACTCCATCGTCAAGCACGGTGTTCTCGACGAACGTCTCAATGTACACGGCGTAAAGGGTCTCAAAGTCGCAGATCTCTCAATCTGTCCTGATAATGTTGGGTGCAATACTTGTATGTCATTCCATTAAGCTTTCTAAGATCATATCGACTAACAGCTATAGTCTCAACCGCTCTTCTCATCGGAGAGAAATGCTCCATGCTCGTTGCTGAAGATCTAGGTTATAGTGGTAAAGCGCTCGATATGAAGGTACCTAATTATCATGCTCCTGGTGAAATTAGCGCTATTGCTACTTCTCGCCTTTGACTTTATATTGGATGAGTACACGGAGGTTATGAATGAAATGATAGGAGTTTGACGGGTTATTTTGCATTTGACATTTGTTGTTTCGATTTTGGGTGTTTATTGGTGGTGGCATACTGGTTTATTTAAAGCATATTTTGACTTTTTGTTCGAATGTTTGAGGAGTCTCTGATGTTGTCTCCTCTCATCATGATATCTGTGTTGGAAATGGCATTCTGGTGTATAAACATTACCTGAATGGACCAAGTGCATCGCTTCTTCCCTGATGTGAATCAATGAATGACCTTAGTGGTAGAGATGAAAATGATTCAACTATCTATTTTGTTTATGACATTCACTTGTCTCGATGTAATATTCAATTTATTCACCAACCCACAAGTAAAGAGGAATTCATATACTCCCAAAATCAATACTAAGATTGATATGCAAACCCATTTAACCTTATTCTCTTAACATCATGGTATCCATCATTCTATTCCTGACATCTCATCAAGTCAAATCAATATCATCTCAATTCTTCAGCTGTTCCATGATCTATATAATGAGCTTTTAAAGTATCTGCTGTGTGAGTTGATGAGTCCAGGAATCTCGTACGGTGTGGTATGCGCCTACGATTTCTCCCTACCGTATCTCCTACTACGGCATTTCCCTACGGTCCAAATATGAATACCCGCCTCTTCTTCCTCTTCTTCATACACAGCTGCATTTCCTGGCTCGGCAATGATACGGCATGGTGACCACAATCACAATCAAAATCATGGTCATAATGTCTGGTATCTGGTACTGTAGAGGAACAATCCCGTATCAGAAGAAACTTCTACATATATTCTTATATTCGAATCCGAGAAAGTCTTACTTATAAAAAACAAGATTCCTCCCATTACAATCCCCAACAAGTTATCGCAGGAATAAACTTCGTACACCACGAATCTAATCTCCCATCTCCCAAAATAAAACAAAGAAGAAAATGTGCAACCCAGCCTCATACCTCTGCCACCACCGTCCTCCCCCTTCATCCCCAACCCTCTGGATCGGGTGTTCCGAGCACCCTACCCCTTGCCGTCGTTACCGTTTGATTCCTATAAATAGGACTTGTAAATTTGATTCTTCTTCAACGTTAACGTTAACGTTAACGTCGATATCTAAGATTAATATTACTACAACTTCAAATTCAATTCCAACTCCAACCCCAAGTGGAACTGCAACTGGAACTGGGATTAAATCTCAACATCCAGAATCTCATGCTCCACAGCAAAAGCAACAGCGACCACAACCACAATCCCAAAAATTGTTCTGTCAGCGCTGTCGTGATAAATGGGGTATTGAGGGGCTTTATGAAAGAGAAGTTATGTGGAGGGTGGGGATGGTAGATGAGATTCTTGGGGGGTTGGATGCGGGGGCTGGGAGTTTGAGGGAGATGGGGATGGGGTTTAGGTATAGGTTGAGTGGGAAGGAGATTCAGGAGGGGATGAGGAGGGGGGAGATGTTTAGGGAGGAGGGTTGTAGGGTTTGGGGTGGGGTTGGGGGTGTGCGTGGTAGGGAAGGGGATGAAATGGGTATGGTGGTGGAGATTAGGGAGTTGGGTGAAAGGGATGGAAATTAAAGGAGAGTGGAGATGAAGAGATGATGAAGGAGGTCGCTATCAAGATGATATGAGAATGGTGTACAAATTTACGACAATCAATCAATAACTAGTCAAGGTCTTGTTATCATTGAGTTCAGCCTCAACAAATATTTCCGGTATCCATCAATCCTCCCATTCGTCGCAAGACCAAACTCCAAACTCCATCTTCTCATTCCAAGCACATCAATCGGCAGCCTATAATTCGAACAATACTCAACCCAACACACCCACAATACCCATTCATTTCCTCACAATTGAATTTATATTGCATAGTTATAGGTATTTGAGTTCTTAATCACTTGCTTAATTTATTGATTGTAGTTCAAAATTTGATTTATTCCATAATTTTACATCACATCACATCATATTACATTTTCTAGGTGCTAAATATAAAACCTGATAATGCGAGTGGGAAATCTATATGGCTTGATGGGCAAGGGATAGAAGACATATGTACCGAGTAGAAGATAGTAGGTAGACTATAAACAAAATCCTTGATTAGGTAGGTGATGCTCCAATAAATGCCGTCTTATATTCTATCCATATCCATTCCATATCCAACTCACACCCACCTCCCCAGAACATATTCTTTGCCACAACAACCGACTCCTCAACCGGGGCTAAAGTATATAAACAACTACAAAAAGTAATATAACCTTTAAGTGACTACTCCTAGTATATCTTTCAAAGCCCGGAATTGATAATTCGCTCGTCTTTCTATCCGAGCATAAGCAATGAATCGTAAGGTTAGTCCTGGTATAAATCACTTGTCGCTTTTGCCAGTGGTGAGAATGATATTATCAGTCAGAGGCGAGTAAAGAGATGATGAGGATGAGAGAATCGAAGGACAGAAATCGGATTCCGGTTGTGTGAGAGGGAGGCGAGTGAAGAAACCATGGGAGGAGAGTGCTGAGAATGCATCTCGATTTCTTTAGCTTGGAGTTGACGTGCTAGTGGGTTATAGTCGGCTTTTGCGAAGTCCTGGAATATATAGACTAAATATTGCTTCAATGTTTTGGTCTCGGTTAATGGCGAAGAAGGGAATTGTTTTGCAGTCATGAGCGCGTATTCTTATGGGTCCTCGATAGTACTCGCCTGGCAAGTGGATTTTCTTTCCACGTTATCATTACCCCTGGATACAAGAGTTGCATTTCCGAGCTTTTTCGGATTAGTTTATCGGTGGATTGGCCAATTATCAGTTAAAATTTGTCTTCTCAACCGGCTCGCTGATCTAGCTGATAAATTGTCCATCAGCCAACACATATTTGATCTGCTCCTCGTCAAAGTATAAAATCGCCTCTCATATTGCCGTAGCGAACGGACAATTTTATTCTCCCAAACCTGCGAGGAATAACACAAATTGAGCCTCAGCACCTGGATCTCTCGCTAATCTATTCCGGAACCACATCTCTAAGGTGTTGAATGTACAGTGGCACACGGAAATAGCTTCTGTGCCCCAGATGGCCATACCAATTCCTTGCTCCTTCCATATTTTTAAGTTACTATCTTCATTACGCGCAGCGAACAAATCAATCAAATCTCCAGAAATACCGGTACATTTCGGACAGGCGGTAATATGGTATGCATAAGAGCAAACAGCAATTGCGCTCTTCAAGATCCCCGGTATTGCCAGCGGGTTAAGCAAAGGACTGGCATTAGAAGAAAGCCTGGAAAAGTTATCTTCTGCTAGCCGACATATCTGGGCAGCATTCCAAATTGCGGTACGAGGGTGTGGTGAAGACATCCAACTACTTAAACGCGCTCTTGTCCTTTGAATCGTTGAGCCGGCACCAGGTCGACATTTGAAGCAACATCCTTGTCGCTGTAAAAGCTTTAGGGGCGCATGAACTGTCAGAGCAGATATATGCCATAGGATTAGGTTTAATTGTGGAAATACACAATCTTCGGTGACTTCAGTAGCGATGGCTTTTGGTTGGGATTGGGTGTATTCTTCGATATTTGTGCGCCAGCGATCGAGATGAGCACTCCATCGGCGAACTGGGTCGCTTCGCTTTGAGTCTGTTATTAACTCATCTGAATCACAACAGCAGAAGGCTTCGCGAGCAGTTTCCCATGTTCCGATCTGTAGAGAACACAGCCCCAGGTGATAGTCGTTATCAGTGAGATGATGCGAAGATGAGTCTAAGTCGCTAGCATCAATGATATCACGCATGAGAAAACAGAATAGGGCTTTCTCGCGACCTGCAGGCTCATTCCATTGAAGTATTCGTCTCTCTTCATCAGTTGCAGCCGTCCAAAGCTTCGTGGATTTTGGAAGGGGAATGCTAATCTCCTGATAGCGAACAGATGGCGGGTAATCCATAAGAACGCTCAAGTAGGCATCTACCCTCAGACTAGAGAATGCAAGTCTGGCTTGTGTCAGTATATGGCCAAGGATTATTAAAAGTGGGGTAATTATTAATACCTATGAAGTTGTTCTTGCACCAACCAAAGGTCAAATGGACAATCTCCGAGTTCATAATATGTGTTTTGACCGTTGAAGATACCGGCATGGCGACAAGTTGACGTTAAAGTACTGTTAAGATGAACAGCCCGTGAAGACACCCCTTTCGTGTTCTTATCGCGGTATTAGCATTGATTGATGAGCACAAGGTTTGTATTGCATTTTCGGCGGTTCAACTTACCAAAAGAGAAATAGTGTATACAACACACAAAAGAAGGCCTTGAAGATTTTGAAGTGACAATTGGTCAATATCCTTGTCGAATGGGAGACTAGATTCCTGTGTAGTCAGGTTAGTATCATGCACAATACTTCAAGAAGAAAAAAACAATTACCAATCGAGCTGCTAGTATCGCTTCGAACACAACGAATGAAAGTTTTTCATGATTCGTATTCCCGCACAGCCAATCCGCCAGCATGATCATAGAACCTAGTAAGATTGGCGAAGCATTTTGAGAATTGAACGTTGGAGCATGCAATATTGGCCAAAATGAATGGATTTTGGTGAAATAAACATCGAGGAGCTGTTTCACGTGAGCTGGATCTTCATTCAATGTTCTTCGTAATTCTGAGGAATGATCTTGCTCGGACGATGATGATAAGGGTGATTGTGATGCAAATGTTGAGCTGGTTCTATCACTAGCTTCACCGTCATAACGCGTAACGTTCATCCAAGATTTGAGCGGATCATTGAAAGCTTGCAGAGACAGTGATGCATCGTCAGACAGAGGTATGGGGAACAAATCTGGAAAGCTTCCCCCTTCAGACTGATGTTGATTCCATGGTAAAATCTCATTGGGTGTAAGGTCAGATGCAAAAAATAGGTTGATAGCAGCATCGGAGTATGGAGGTAGAGACGATGTTAGATTTCCAGATTGAAACCAGGGTTGTACAAGATCAGAATTTTGCAGGGAATTGTTATCGTTATTCACGTCGGTCCTCAAAATGGTCGTATTCGCATTTGCACTTCCGACCTTCCTTCGGGTAGTCCAGCTGTCAGTCAATCGACTGCATTCCGTTGCGGTTCGGATACATGATCGACAAGGCGAAGTATCATCACACTTGAGCTTTCGTTCATGGCATGATGTGCATGCAACCATGGTACGTTTGGTGTTAGAGTTCTGAGTATGATGATCTAGATGTCGCTTCAATACGTCACTAAATGCATGTAATTTAGTGATCAGTCTTAATTGTTCAAACAATTGAGGGACTGATTACCTTCGTGCATATCGTCGGCCACATACAGGACATTCATGTTGAAGTTGAGGATCATGTGATTTCATGTGTCTGGTAAGATGCTCTTTGCGGCTGAAAAGTTTCCCACATTCAGACACATTGCATTTGATACGTTTTGAAGCTGGCTGTACCCGGACGGGAGATGATGAATCTCCTTCTTGCGGTGTCACAAATGTAGTGGGAGAAGCATGTGCCATGGTTTTGTACGCAGATTTGCCGGTGGATTGAGAGAGGAGTGGGAAGTAAATTTGGAAGAGCAAAGGGTGAGGTTGAAAGTAGAGTAACACAGCCACCAATTGGTGGTTGAACCGACATGCAATGCTTAGCCAAGCTCTGAATACGAGGGCGAGAAAATTGTGATTCTCCCCGTAGCAAATATAATAGTCTGCATCACGAACATCCGGATGAGGATAAAACCATGGGTATTGTGTTGTGGCTTTTTGATCTTTGAGAACTCTTACTATCAAAGAAACACTGACTGGAGCGGAGCATAATCTTTTGCTGAGCAGGACTTGCGTCCGGAACGGGTAGATGTGATTATGTAAGCTATCATCAGCCACATCTCATCAGTGGCAGGTGCATTAAAATAGAAATAATACAAAGGATTGGAATAATGATGATGTGCTTTTCGTGTACTTGTGTTGCTACTTGGCTCATAAGCTTATAAATGGTCACGCATCCACCCAGCCAGTAGACCACGATTGCCAAGTCTTTCCCCACGAATGGAGCTTTCTAACCGATGTGGAGGTGCCGAGCTAAAAGCTAAAGCAAGGGGTAATAAATAGTGGCCGGTGGCATGTGGGATGCTGCCCGAGATGTCCCAAAGTCTTTGTTTACCGGTTGCGCCAACGGCAATGCTTACAAATAATAGCACTGGTGTATTCCAACTGTCTATTATCGGCTCCCGCATCATCAGAATAACGGTTCTGCGATGGGTATACAAACCCGTTCCTTCTCTGCTTACTCGATCGAAGAGCATTCATCTAGCTCTCTGCTTTTAGTATCAACCTATAACCAACCCTAAGATATTTACTTGTCTACAAACATGTCTGGAATCAGAAAAGTCGTTTTAGCAGGAGTAAGAAATCGCCTGATGCTCTTGTTTCAATAAGCTAATTCTAACAATTGCATAGGCTTCAGGCAATCTTGGTCCAGCAATTCTCGACCAACTTGTCAAAGCAGGCTTCGAAGTCACAGTCCTTACTCGACAATCGAGCACTCACGAGTTCCCCTCACCTGTTACAGTCAAGCCTGTCGACTACGAATCTCTTGAATCACTCACCAGCGCTCTTACCGGACAGGATGCTGTGGTATCTACTCTCGGCTCCAATGTTCTTGATAAACAGCTTCTCCTCGTTGAAGCAGCAGCTAAAGCTCACATTAAGCGCTTTATCCCGTCTGAGTTTGGTTCCAACACACCAAGAGAAAATACCGGAGCTTTGCCAGTTTTTCAGTCGAAAGTTGCTGTTCAAAATGCCCTCAAGAAACATTTTTCAAGTGGAATGTCATACACCCTTGTGGTTAACGGCCCATTTTTTGACTGGGGTATCATGGTCGGATTCATAATGAGCGCAAAAGGAAAAAAGATCACCCTTTACGATGGTGGTGATCGGACTTTTAGCACTACCACCCTTCCCGATATTGGAAAAGCCGTAGTCGGTGTACTCGAGCATCCAGAAGAGACGAGGAACCGTGCCGTCTATGTACAAAGTTACGCAACGACACTCAAGAATCTCGCTGTGATTGGGAAGAAGGTTTTAGGATCGGATGGTTGGACTGAGAATGTTGCATCTGTTGATGACATCGTGGCTGGTGCATGGGAAGAGTTGAAGAAACCACAGCCAAACCCGGTCAAATTTGCTATTCAATTCATCATTGCTTCAATATGGGGTGAGGGATACGGTTCACACTTCGAGGCGTATCACAAGCTGGACAACGACCTCTTGGGAATCAAACAAATGACTGAGCGAGAACTGGAGGAATTGATTAAGAGTTTGGCAGGAATGGATTAGACGTTCAAGGCTTCTATTTGTTAAATATCTGGGGATAGTAGAGCTCACAAATTATTGCTACTTTTTGGTCTATGTGACACTAATTAATGATCCGCATATGACTACAATGACACTTGCTCCGTTTCTGTCAATATCCGGGGTTTCAATTCAAAGGACTCTTCTACTACAAATTACGCTCAAATCTTCACCATTCACCGATCACGTAGAATTTCTGACATGGGAACTACAATGAGAAGATTGATCTTGGGAAATTTGGCTACATTTCTAGAAAAAACTACTACGCCATTTAAAGATTGCGAGTTTCCGTCATCTCACACCAAACTTTGCCTAAGTATACTGCAATCATCAAGATCACCGGCTAAATATAAGCATAACAAAACGGTCCATCAATAGTCGACTCCAGGCTACTAATCTTCTGTTTCGGAGCCAAAACTTCAAAATCCACCAACGTTTCCAGCGTAATATTCGGACTAGGAGGAACTAAACATACCATTAGCGAAGCTCACCCTTTCAAAGAAAAGCAACTCACCATTAAAAGCAGTACCCGTCCCATAAACCTGTTTTGTCCTCTTTCCCGCATCCAAATTCTGCCACATTCCCCAAACTTTATCCACCATCGCATGATGTAACCAGAATACGGGGTCGCCGGCGCTGGTATACGCATCTAGACCTAATCCACCCATGGAGAAGTGACCACCCGCATGGACTCCATCTAGCGCTTCTAGATTCGTGTCGAATGTTCCTAGGTCAGGACTGTTCCTGATGAGCTTCACGACATCGCTAGGTTTCGTATTATTAGACCAGATTGGCGAGATATCTCGTGATAAACATCGTGGATTATACCCGAGACCGTGGTCGGGGCCATAGGGGGCATAAGCGACGGGACCGAGACTAACGTTGTAATTTGAGAAAGGACCGGATATGCAGCCACCACCCGTAGCGGGAGGTATGTCTAGAGTGAGACCGAACGCTGAAATAGTGGTACTGTTGCGGCCAGGAATAGGAGCTCCATTACTACCCAGTGATGTCGAAGAGCCGTCGAAGACAGTGGATTTTTGGGGATCTTGCCAGGAGATTGTCCAGTCCCAGTAGGGTTGATAACCTTTGTAGCCACATTCTTCACGGAGGGCTTTCTCGTAGAGCCATACTAGGTAGCGATGGAAGTGGAGAAAGAGACCCTGTATATGGTTAGTAATTACGACCTGAGTTATTCGGAAAAGTGGCTCAATAGCTTACGCTGAAGTGAACATAAGGTGTCACTTTAATATGAGTCGCACCGAAATCATCGAATCGACTTTGTGCACCCGGCACATCTTCTTTCGTGCTCCTCGGAGGCTTGGATTGCAGGCATTGTACAGCCTTGATATAATCCTTTCGTGAGCGTTCTGAGAGCGAGCCCCTACGAACCTAATCAGTACATATCATTCATTCTGAGCTTCAGTTGAAGTTACCACTCTTGACGATAAACTATATTTCGAGATGTGCATCCAGTTCTATGTTGCTTAGTTGCGCTTCTGATGTATTGATCATATTGAGTTTGCCATTTCCTGATTTGTCTGGATGCCTCTGCCTGGTCGTTTTCGTGGCCGTGACCGTATTCTGCCGCAATGAATGGGAGGTTCGCTAGGAGGAAACAATAAGTAAATATGATGAGCTTCATTTTCCCACTGTAATCTCACATACCATCAAGAAAGAGCTCAAAAACCTTTTCCGAGAGAATCGTCACTTTTTGTATAGAAACTACTTCTATCCATTAGGCCGCTTCAAGTTGAATATGCTTAATCTCGTACTGCGACGTGTCGGAGCAAACCCCAATATTTCCTACTACCCATCTGACGCGCTTTACGAAGGAATGTCTAGTAACTGCCTAGTATGCGATTCAATCTTAGAAAGCTCAGCCACGAACGCCTCAAGGAATATTCCAACTTATCAAGAGTTTGGAAGGCTCTGGGGAACCAGCTTTGGTATCGATTGTGAGGTGCAAATCCTGGAATGTGTCTCCGGTGACTTCCAACCGCTGAACCCCGTCGTGATAGAATTATTTAGAGCCCATTTAAGCCACACTTTAGCAGACATGTAAGAATTACTCTGAGCGAAGACAATCTTGATGTTTCTATCGGATTTCGGTGATCAGGCGCCAATTGCGATAAGTAGTGACGCCCAGTAAAGTCATCCAGAGTAAGAACTCAAGGATTCTTAGACACCTTTTTACTATTCTCAAGGCGATAACCGGGAAAGCTCACTCCAACTTCAAGACAATTTCATCTTAGTATTGTAATTATAGGATTCGTAGCTACCTTGTGGCGCGTCAGCGATGGGGAACCCTGATAAATAAAACCCAGTTATGCCAAGACGAGGCTCATTTGTGATAAAAATATGCTGGGAAGGGAAAAGGCACGCACTGGCACAGCTTGCATGCTTGCATGCTTGGGTTACACAGCTGAGCGCGAGGGAGCGAGCGAGAATGTGTAATTCCACTGCACACTGCACCCTACACCCTGCAAGCCATCGGTAATACCCACATTCAACCGCATAATGTCTCACCCACTCCACATACGCCGAGAATCTTGTAAAAAGATAATCACGATTACCATCTCAAAATAATCAGCCTCTCATTCTTGAGAGCTCCACGAACAAGTAAATCGTAGGCAGCATTTCTGGGATGACCGAGATTTTAATGTAGATAGTCTGGAGTACGAGATCTAATCCACCTATATCATCTCATCTTCCCAGTCTCAAGCAGATCTCCTCATGTAGTGTAATCTCACTTGCTTTAACAAAACCCGTAGCCATACTCCAATAAAAAATGAAGTTTGCCCCTACGCTCACAATATACGCTACTCTAGCTGCAACCGCGCTGGCACACAGGAGAGAATATCTTCCTCGATGCTCCACTAACTCAGTCTTACCATGTGCGTGCCCTACGGGTACAGATTACTGGGAATCGTCTACTTGGTCGGTAATGGGAGCCACTGCAAATGATGTCAAGGACTTGATTATGGATTGTAAGTCGCTATCTTCTTCGTCAAGGAAAGAATACTGAATGTGCATTAAAAGACTATGAATGTGCATGGCTCGGAGTCGTACCTTACGAAACTCGTGGTCCGAATAATAAGCCTGGTGTTTCGATTCGTACTTCGTATTTACCCACAAAAGTTGGCACCTATAGTATTACTGAAAAGGTACTTGCCAAATGTTTCAATGACATAACCAATAGTCTCTGGCGACGGAGTAATGAAGTGCTAACCTCTCTTCTAAATAGCTAACGGATCTCAAAATCGATTCTCGTGGAGGGTTTATCGAGAAATTCGAACAACTCGCGTCTACGGTGCCCGTGGAATACGATTCCGGGAATGGTTCTTTTAGTGGATACTGGGTTACTCTCGAGAGCACATATATTTTCAAATATGAAACGGCGATAAGATGGAGTATCTATGCCTGTGAGACAGGACACGCGCGAAGTATGAGATACCCAATTTATTAGCGGTGCTAGGGGATACGGAGATATGCTAATTTTATTCTTCGATGCAGATTTTGCCGTCTTCCATGAAAATGCTTTGAAGAACGCGAGTAGTGTTTTGGCCGCGCAGGGGAAAATCAAAGGTATAAATTTACAGCCTTACTCCGTTCAGAACTTTTAGAAATGTTGAGGAGCAGCATATTTTGGAGCAAATTCGTGCATGAGTAGAAATAAATATCATTCAAACAAGCGATGTCTAGATACGTTATGAAGAAGTGGATATAGTTCTCAGGGTTATGAGTTCGTTGCAAAAACCACGATCCTGTCATCTGAATAGACTCAAATATCATATTTTTGATGCGAGGGAAGAATGCAAAAACTTATTGTCTGTTCTCAACGGATTTAGCGTTCTTATGACCAATGTGACAAATGAGATCCTGCCACTCAAAACCCGAACAGAATAACAATCTCGCTATTGATTAAATCTCCTTGGAAGCTTCATGTTCCTAGTAATCAAAATCGCTCAATCAGGAACTTACCAATGCGGCTTGTGGGAACAACTGAGTATAGAAGGTATGGAGAAAATAATTTGCATTGATCTTCACTATAGAAGTCATCTATAAGCATGGCCACTCATAGCTGTCCTCGTTCTCTAGCATGCGTATCATCCTCCGCCCAGCCTTCCCGGGTATCTTTGGGTATGCGTATAAAAATCACACTGATAATGAAAGCAGCACTTGCCAGACCGACTCCCAAATATGCAGCACTATGATAACCCTTGAGCAAATTATCTCCATTGTCGTTTGTGTTCATCTCCACCGTCCCAGCAAAACCCAAACCGGTGCTCAAACCATAACCAAGGAGTGTGCCTATTAATGAACCTGCGACACCTTGATACTTCATTGGCACCGTGTTACTTGCAATGATCTGAGCGCTGGTGGTGATCAGATCAATAGTGAAAGCAGATATGAACATAGCTGGAAAAGCCATCGCCCAGTAAGTGAGATTAGCCGGAATAGTTGCGAGAAGGGCGTTGATAACGACCATTGCTAAACACCCCATGCCTATGATGACCTGTGCCGGCACCCGGGGAACGAGCCATGCCGCAAGAAAGGCGACAGCACATCCGACTATAGTAAGTGGTAAATACTGAACGCCAGTAAGAATAAGGCTGTCTCCGCGGATATTTTGCATATATGCATTCATGTACCAAAAAAAGATGCCCAAACTCATGAAAGAGAAGAAGATTGTTAGCATAAGCAGTCCAAAAGAAGGTGCTTTCCAAATATTGAATGGTAGAATTGGTTCTGTAGCAACTTCCATTTCCCAGTACACGAACCCAGCAAAATGGAGCACAGAGACGACAAGAAGTGCGATCTCGTAAGGACTATTCCATCCGACGAGTGGGGCTTGACTGTGAATGTGTTAGCTTCTTTGGCAGGAGAATAACGGATTTAGAACCTACTTCCAGACAAAGTTGAACAAGATGAGTGCAGCGATTCCGAGATAAGACCCAACCCAATCAACGGTTCCTTTCGGATCAATAGGGATATCTGCATCAACCGCCGTAATAGCAACACCATAAACTACAAATCCTAGTAGACCCCTGTGTGCAATTAGTGAATTAAATCTGTCACAGTGTATCATCACAGCTTACAGCATGAAAAAAAGCCATTTCCAATCAGAAAGTTGGATAATAACCGCACCGACAAGAGAACCACCCGCAGCCCCGACTGGTGCCATTGCGCCAAACAGAGCGAAGCTCAAATTTCGTTTCTTCCCGGGTGGAAAAGTGATGCCTAGCAAAGCCACAATGTTCGGTATCATGAGACCACCGCCGATTCCACAGAGGCCTCTCATAATACACATGGATATCAAATTGTCGGAGAATCCACCACATAAAGCCCAAAGAGTCCACCAAACGCAACCAGCGGTGAAGACGTTTTTGTGACCATAGACCGCACCTAAACGACCGCCTGTAGTAATAATGACATGTCAGTTACGTCCGACCAAAACATAATACAGTCAGACACCTTACCAATCAGAACGAAAGTTCCTTGAGTTAAGGGGTATGAGGCAACAATCCAAACCGACTGAGCCTCTGTAGCGCCCAAAGCTGCCCCAATAGCAAAACTTGAATTAATACCAGCACCCAAAGGAATCATCTGGACTAGTTGGGTCAAGGTAATGAAAATCATGAAGATATTCTGTCTCAATACACTGGGCATCCCATTTTTCGAGGGTGTATTGCTGCCATTTTCGAGAAATTTATCGGCACTTGGGGGAGAAACAGTATAGGACTCCTTGTCGCTGCTGAATTCTGGCGCAGATGGTGGATGAGAGGACATTGGTAAAATATCCTGGCCACTGTCGTGCTCAGTCACTGATGAAGTGCTGTGCTTCATTGAGAACGAAGAATTAAAAAGACTTTCGCACCGGAAGTGTACACTTTAGATTAGACTTTCACTTCGAAGGGGAGACCGTTTGTTCATAGATGATGGACTGGAGATTCTCAATGTAGACATATTTACATGTTTCACTTACCTTTAATGGAGGTTGAATGCAGCTACAGCAACACTTGCTTACCTCACACGATTGACACTTTCTGATCTCAAGCCGAGGGGTTGTGTAGCCATGATTTCAAATATTCTTATTACTGAAATTTTTAAGGATATGAAATTCTTTGATGTTGTTTGGGGATTCTACATTTTCTGGTGATATGTGGGATATGTGGGATGCCGAGGACATTTATAGGCTAGTCTTTATTAGGATTAGCGCGCACTTCCGTCTACCTGTCGGGAATGTGGAAGTTTGTGGAGACATCACACATCTGCACGTCTTACTTTTTCTTTTTACTGATCTTACACGAATATTCAGCCAGCCATGGATAGTTCCCAGGCAAGGATGAGAGAATCAGCATCTCATAATTCTCAGCGTGAGGCATGTGCCCAGCGGCAACATGCTCGAATACAATATGACGAGACCTGTCTTGAAAATGAAGTTCTTTTTAAAAAACGTTTGAGTTGAGTTATATTTCTTGATCAGTTGGCAAATTCTCCCCAGTATTACAGATTTTGATTGCAACATGGCAGCAGTAAAAGTTGACAGCCAACGCCGCTATCATGACACGTCCGCGGCTTATGTGCTCCCAAAAGCGAACGAGTAGGCTCATTTTATGCAGCCATAGGAGAAATTACTGATAATTTCCATAGCATCATTGAGCAAGACCGACTTGATGCTCAGGCAGCTGCAATTGTGGAGATGATTGGCGGCTTTCCCCTCTTGACTCCTTTGCAAACACTGGATAACATCTCCAAGGTGGTTGAGTGAGTATAGTCAGGTTATGAACTTTGGCGGATTCAATATCAATGATTTTTTTTCATGGTTCCTGCTCATTGTCTACTCATTTCGCAATGTCACCAAAAACGATTGCCGTGCAATTGGCTAATCTACCGGTGGCTTAGTGTGGGTTGCGGTACTGGTGTTGCGACCGTCCAGATTGCTACACTATTACCTTCTACCACGATCTACGGTCTCGACTTAACTCCGGTCCCAGAAGTATCAAAAGAAATGGCGCCAGGTAACGTTATTTGGGCTCAAGGAAATGCATTGGATGTTGACTACAACCAACCTGGCAACGACATAATGAGCCGCGAGATATTTACCTCCGGAGGACTGGATTATGTTTTCGGTCGCATGCTTTTTTTGGGTATCAATAACTGGCCGAAGTACTTCTCAATTACATCGCATGCGTTGAGGTCTGGCGGCATTATTGAACACCAGGATCTAGATTGGAAGTTCTACCGTGCTGGGACATCAGAATGCGTGAGTGATGACTGGGAGTGGCACAAAGCCGTTCTCTCCGGTGCCGCAAAGTCAGGATTATCGACAAATTCTGGTTCTAACGCAGCACCTCTACTGCGACATTGTGGTTTGGATGTGGTCAAAGTTGAGACTTTCGAGTTCTCATTCGTCCCATCAATCAAAACGCCCAGAAGCCAGTCAATGGGAAGATATGTACAGGCTAAATTGATACCACAGTATCCAGAATTGCTTCGAAAAATGTTAGGAGCAATTGGTATAACTGGTGAGAGGTTGGAGACACTGACAAGAGCATGCATTCGTGATATTACTTCTGAGGAAGGATTGTATCAGAAGTATACAGTCACTGTTGCCAGAAAGCCGTAGCCTAGGGGAACCTTTTCCGCACATAAATGTTTATACTGCCGAAATTAATATCTACGGGATGGAATTGTTCATTCCCAATATTTCCAGTGCTTAGCCATACTACCTACCACTCATTCTTAGTCTATTGAGCTTGCAGTGTTTTGATGAACGATACAGATGAAGTCTATTACCTCCAATTGTATTCTTGATCGATATGATCATCTGGGTCATTTGGAATGTTGTTTCTCATTGTCTTGTTAGGCCATGTATGTTGGCAGATTCAGATGTTTATCGTAAGGTCCCGGGAATATTTCACAATCATGGAAGTAGCGTTCAAGTCCTTTGCGCGTACTTTTTCTTGACTTTGGCCACGATACCAACTGGTAATCCTGAACTTTCTTGCGCCATGTTTCACCGCTGTCGGATCATACCATAAAAGTCTCTATAATCTCGGCAAAACATCAAATCTCCGTTCATTTTTGTTCGTTCAATTGAAATCACGTTTCACTCTTAATCAAGGATTGGGTTCCATGGCTGGATGTTATGTTAGGACAACGATGTGTTACTGTCAGTTGGGTCTAGCAATTTGAAAGGCTAAGAATGTGACATTTTCACATAACCTTTCATATACTTCAGAAATGTCATCATACCTTGATATTCGGTATGTACAGAGGTTATTGCCTAATTCATGTCTTACATATACATAGATCTTCTTTTTTTCATTTCTTATTCCCATGCAATGATTATGTTTGAATGTCTTTAGTAAGACTTACACGAGCATTCTAGAAATTACTGACTCACTTAAAACAACGACAATCGCTAGTTCGCGGTCCGGCTAGTTAAAAGAGCCTCATCTTGGCTGAGCATCCCGTATATGCATTTTTGTCAGCTGTTCCAGATGCTCCCGAGTGCATCTAAAAATGGTTACCCGCACCAGTGTTCCTTTAGACGAGATCCACTATCCGATACCCATCCACCAGGATCCAAGTGATTGATTTTGGCGAGGCTCTTCTGGGGCAGGTGTTTTTTGCGGAAAACAAACTGTCTCTGATCGAAAGGTCGTTCAACTTAGTCACAAGTGATACCAACTATTATCTTAGCAATTCAGACTGGAAATCATTTACCATGTCTAATTTAAGTTGATTTTGCAGTTTCCATTTAGTATTGATTTATTGACAGAATTCCTTTGGTGATAACGACAAACTAAGCTCTCATCATCTATGCACTTCTTGGTTGGAACTGCCTTTTTCAACAGAGCATTTTCGTTCCACCAAGCTACGTTGTTTACGACGCACAGTATGCTATGTCACTATGTCTCGTTGCATCATTTCGGAATGAGACATTTAAAATGATGATATTAGCTTACTTCTTTTGAGGCTCCAGTATTGGCATAAGCCAAACCCGATGTTTTTCACGGGACCAAGTGTTCTTCCGCTCTTCGCTAAAATTTCCTATCTTTCTCCATTTCAAGAGGCCATTTTCTCGGAAACATGTCGAAGGATTCTTCAGATCAATGAATAGCGCTGACTCGGCCTATGTGGGATAAGACATAATTTTAGGTTGGATTAAGCTTATCAATCTAATTTGGAAGTATGGCATAACTTCACGAGTTATAACGGTTCCTGGTCCCAAGTGAATGTTCACTAAGAGGCTTGGTAGTCATTCTGGGCATCCAGATTGATCTTGCTCCCAGGGTGGTCGTGTCATCTTCAATTCATTCGAAAGTACAACGGATGTGCGATCCAGTTAAGACAGCGTCTTCATACGGCTACTGTGTCGATGGCTACCGTGTCGATTAATTTTTCTCGTAAGCTCGTGTGGGATCTTTTATGATGAATGGATAGAGGTACGAGTACTCCATTGAAGTGTTGCTTACTGAAATCACCGTCATCCAAGTTTATCCATGATTATTGAGGCAATTTCTCCTTTGATCTAATCAAAATGAAAGCTGTAGTTACACAGAAGATGCATCCATCAAAGGGGCCTACGCGAATATGCGATCAGTTCTAGATGCGGCTTGTATGTTTGTATAAAAACCAGGCTCTGCAATTATACTTGCATCTAGGATTGGCGGACTATATGATTTTGGGCATGATTTTATAATTTTAATTATTATGCATTTCTAGCTTGGTAAAATATTGTGCCAAATTATGCCCTAATTTTTTGGCCATTTGATCCTACAGGATAAATGAAAGTGAATCAATTTTTAGGGCCTTTTACGTAGGCGCCAAAATATTTAGTAGGGAGAAGCTAATTAATTTTTCTCCTCCGAAAATAAGCTTTGGAGTTCCCGTTTCAATGTGCATATACATACTTGACTTGCCTGATATTACATATTTATATTGAGTTGACGAATATATTATATGATTATATGATTGCAGATCGCCCAACCCTACTTGCATCAACCCTCGGACCTTCTATAGTAGATCTTATCCATATCTTTCTTCTGACAATACCTTGCCTCGGAATCCCATTCAACAAGGATACTCCAACATTCAAAAGAGGAGTTATTCATCATAACTCTCTGCAGGATGCTCGAAAGTATCTTTTTAATCAGCGCTTTAGCGTATACTATTGCGTATGCTTCGGCACGTTTAATCCGGATCTGCAGCACACGCATGAAAGTTCCCATACCAGTGGTAGTCCCAATCCAAGGTAAGGTGAAGGAAAAGATCGATGAGGATGAAAATGTCTCAAAATATCAAGCTTTGAGAAATCTACGACATCAACATGAAGTTGCGGCCGTCATGTCAAGACTGATTGATGAAGATGGTGCAGGAGCTTGGCCTCCAAACGCAAATCATGATTCGTGGCCCATGGCTCTTCGTCCCTATAAGGAAGTTTACTTTCAGCTAATCCCACTTCTTTCCGCGGCTCCACCTTCACTAGATGACGATGTCAATAATGAGAGACGCAGAATGTATCGATCTATTATGCGCAAGTCGTTGATGGAAAAGGTTAATATTCCTCAGGTTGTAGCCGTCATGGCTGCTGTGGAAGCGGGAAATTGGGATCTCTTTCCGAGAGATGCATATAATGGCTTTTATTGCTGCGTTGCAGTTTGTCGTCATGCATACAGGTATGATATCTTCATTTAATAACCGAGTATTTTCTAAGGATTCGCAGATGGGCAACTATTCCTGTCGTCAAGGTCGCTCAGCTAGAGAAGATCGTCGAATTTCCATCTGAGCTCGACGCTCCCTGGCCATATCTCCAGCGAAATTTTGGTGTGAATGCCGATGCAGGAAACAATACATCGAACGTCTTGCTTAACTTCAACACGAGAGGGGAAAGGATCTACAGAATCAATGTTGGAATGTCAGACTTAATAAGATCATCCGAGGAAGTTTTCTTCCAAATGTTCTATGACCTTGAAGTAGTCGTAAGTCCTCATAGCCCTCGCTTCCAATCTACGCGATCCATCTCCTCACATCTACAGGCTTTCCCCATCTACCATGAAATGGTCCTTTCGATCATAGCCTACGCCTCCTCTAGCCCAAACACTTGTCTTCCCCACCTTCATACCATCAACGCTCGTCTACGCGATCTCTTTCTCGTTTTTTACGAAAACCTTACCAAATCTCGCGTCTCGCATTCCGTCTGGCTTTCCTACATTCAAGGGTTCCAAGGATGGGGCGTTGGCAAGATGGTTAATGGGGAATATGTGAAATACGATGGGCTTTCTGGAAACCACGTGCTATTTTTTCAAGCATTAGATGCGTTTTTGGGGATGGATAGGTATCTGAGCGATGAGAACATGGAGAGATATATACCAATTAGGCAAAGGGAGTTATGTTTGGCATTTAAGAAATATAGTTTTATTAAAGTGGCACACGACGAAGGGCTCACTGAGATTGAGGAGGAGTTTGCGAAGATGATTAATCAGCTGAAGGTTTGTAACCCAATATCTAGAGTTCAATTTGATCACTATACACCTTATTCTTGTAATGGTTCTTGTACTAACATACCATCATCAGGTATTTCGCGCAGCCCATCGCGCACGCGTAATGTCCTATCTCCAAGAACCAGCCCCCGAACGTCTAGTAATGACAGCTGGTAAATCTGTTCTCGAAAACTCAAACACGAATGGCCTGGCAGATGCTTTGAAGCCATTAGATGATATGTTAGCAACTAGGTTAAAAGAAACGGCTAATGTTGGAGCTGCTTGTGTCAGAGCTTGATGTTTTTATGGAAAGACTTGGAAGGAATCATGGTAAAATGGGCTTGGGATAAATTTTTGATTAGACAAAGCGATAGAAACATGCGGCAATGCAACAAATGGACTTCAGGTACTTTCTCGTGTTCTTCATACCCAGATATGATCGTAAAATAACCCTACCTTGAATTCTTTTTCGCTTTCGACTATATCTGCCTGCGTTTCTCAAATGATATGAACTTTCAGACAACCCTCCCAAAATAAAGCAAGAGAATTGGCAAGGACCCACGTTCTAGAACTCGAAGTGACAACACAACGTCAGGCTAGATGGTTTGTGGGCCTTATTGATTCTAACAGTTACCTTAATTCTGGTCTCGCAATTAGAAACCACAAAGACTCCCCGTCGATATGAGAACACTGCTGTAAACTAGTGCTTTAAGTTGCAAAAGACGTATTACAGAAATTCTTGTTAGAAAAGCGAAGTTTCTCGACGCCGTTAGTCTCGGTGCTTGCTAAACTTTCCTCAAAGCTTCTACTTGGTCTATGCAGTATTGTTTGGCTCTCTGTTTCCATCATTATTCATCGCTGCGGGTGAGCTCGTGGTAAACTTTTAACGCACTTCGCTTACAACATACAACAATCAACCGACGTCCAGGATTATCAAGTAGATTGTGGTAGCGGAGATGCTAATTAAAATGCCGGGTAATTTACTAAATTTACTATGCAAAACAATAAAGAGAGAAGAAATGCTGATGTATATAAGGACATTTGTATTTTGATTCAAGCTTGGAAAGTTCTGAATCCTCATTCACTACACTAAAACAATCTGAGGTCATAATCCACCAACAATTAGTTGAGGTTTTGTGTGGGGCATACCAGCGTAAGTCGTGAATTAAATACCCTCGGTATTAGCAGCCCTAAAAGTGACATGAATTGGTGCCAAATGACATAGACAGCACTGCATTTTCTGCTCATAGAAGCACTTTATTATGCTTCCTTGAAGATATTTGCAATTCATGAGCGGAAGCAAATTTTCAAACATAATCATAAGAATTCCAGCATTATCGAAATTCACTGCCTTATCGAGTACTCAAGCTGAAACTTCAGCGTCCTGAATGTCTCTCTTAAATTCACGGGATCTTCGAGTGAATTAGTATAATTACTTCTAGCCATTTCGCTTTGAAGGCTGTAAATTCACATTAGATTCTTCGCATCGTATTCTTACGCCATTCAACTACACCTGAATTGTGCTAGCAATAGTTTCGATATCACTCTGGTAGTCTCAAAAGAAAGACCCGGCCATAGAGACAAACACAGGAATACATCCAAGGAGGTTTTATCCATTTCAGGGACAAAAATACTATGGAAGTCTGGCGAGCAAAACGGAAAATTCAAAGTGCATGTTATACGCTGCAATCCTTGGGTAAGAGTACTGACTAATGAATGCTTGCTTTGATAGAGACAAGTAAAACAATAAGGTGACTCTTACATAAAAATAAAGAGGGTTAAGGGAAGCAAGTGTGACAAGTGTCATGGTTGTTGTAGTGGACAACCTAAGCACAACATAATTAAATGAATGGACTACTATAATAACTTGAGGACATTGGCTCCCTAGATGGATGTTCACTCGTCATTCCAAGTTCCCCTTAATTTGAGGTGAAAGGTACCTACGAAGACTTTTAGTGAATAGAATTACTACCGCCGTCCTATCCACGAATGGGTTGTGAAATTAAGCTTGTGGGTATCAGGTGAATACCTTGCCTGTGAATAATTTGAGGCAACGAACTTGCGATAAAAAAGTTAGTGCGAGAATTGATGGTTGATATAAGTGACATGTAGAGCAACCATGCGAAAGTGCTTTAGGGGGCCAAATAAGCGACGAGATCCCTGTGAAACTTAATGTCGAAATTTTCACCTTAAAAGCTGTACAGAGATCTTGTTTATGCTTCGCCACTGGCAACATAAAGCTGCGTGTCTCGATACTGTCATAGATGTGTGCTTGTGGTGTGACTTTCTATAGTTTCGTGTATACCTTACAATATCATTACAAAAGATTACTTCTATCAAAGTAACGTCCATGTTAAAATCACTTGACAGTTTATGAAAATAATTTATTTATAGACTTATGTTAAAAAGACCAGTTTTATACCATCAGCACTCTAAATTATAATATCCATATAATGACGGGCCACTCACGGAAACAAATATTGATGAACGAAGTTCAAAATAACCTATCCTCAAGCACTACCAGTAATCTTTCTATCGATTCTCGATTCATGAATCCTTGATTTTGTTCCCTTGAAGATTCTTGTCTAATTTAATGTAGATTAAAGACAGTCCCCAGGTCTCAGGCTACTTCCATCATCCATCCTCCCAGAATTTTACACAAATCCTCACGACCACATTCCACAGTCCAATAAAGCATTGAAAACCTCAATGAACTTTTCCCGAATCTATCCCTAAACCTCTGACACCACCGCCCAAAAAGTAGCCCCTTTCAGCAATATCCCCACACAAATTAATATACATCTCACAAGATCTTCACATGATTGGATAATTTACCCCAGCCGAAGGGGGCCCCCTATTTGGTCTCGGTAAATTTTCCCCTCCATTCATACACCAAACGTGCATTTTTGATTCCACCCAAGATCTCATAACCATCATCGTTTAAAGTATGCCGCCAATGATTCATCGCGGCCAATATTGACCACTCCGGCCACAATTGATTTTTTTTCACAGTGTCATTACTTGCCACCACTGCATTTTCATGAGTGGAGTTTGTCTTAGTCTTTGACTATGCTTGCTTACATATCCTATGATGCTTTCGCGGGTATTATACTGTCAAATATTTAACACATTCACATCGAGTTAATTGTTTTATATTTCAGTACTTGAAGAATTAAGACCAATTGGATACTTACTGCGGGAATCTGTTCGAGAACATATTATCCATTGCTTCCATTACCGTTATCACAAAGGTTATATTACTTCCTTTAGCTTTCCTTTTAGTTCTCGTGTGTTACCTAAACTCTACACTCATCAAGCTCCAAAATCATGGTCGTTCTACCCGATCCCACAAGGTAATGATCCTGCATCTCCATTTAATTTATTCTCTCCCTTTCTTCTAATCCCGAAAAACTCATGACTAACATCCCTCAAAGTGACAAATGGCCATTTTTCGGGCACGTGTATTTACGACAAGATAGTCTGGACTCCATCTCCAGTTCTCGACATCGACATCGACCACGAGATGAAACTCTTCGACTCTGGAACTACTATCTACCCCTCAAACATCAAAAGGATCAATTCAAGTTCGTGTTATTTCTTCAACGTTTAATAACCATGGTAGAAGAAAATTATCGTCATCGTCATCGTCATCGCCACAACCACAAATGGAAAGTCAGTGCCCCAATTGAGGATTGGTATCATCAGAGTATACGAGATTTATCAAAATTGGGCGTGGATGAGAATTTGATGAGTGGGGAGTGGAGGAAAGTGGTTCAGAGGGGAAATAGGGAGGAAGCAAAACGAGAGCGCAGGGAGGCGGAGAAAGTACATTTGGAGAGGAATGAGAGGGAAAGGGAGAGGAGATATGTACGGCGTGGATATCATGAAGGAGAAACTGGAAGAAGGAAGAGAAAGGAGTGTAGGGGTTACGAATGTTCCGAAGATGACACATACATCAAGCAACCCGCACCGCAAAAGGACAAATCCTCAGCCTCGAAAGAAAAAGACTTTCCCAAAGGAACACCCAAATGGGTAATCTGCAGCCGCAACGCTAATCACTGTCCCCGCACACACGAAATGGTAAAATGTAATGGACGTTGCGGTCTCACATCATGCAGTGACAAAGCACATCGTTGTCATAAAATATATATCGATTACGAGTGTTCTAATCCCGAATGTACGAAATGTCAAACGGCCAAGGAGAAACAGGAGGAAAGAGAAAGGAAAGTTGCAAATCCTAAGTTTGAGGAGAAATGGGTAGATTGTCCTTGTGAGGATCCGTGGTGTAGGAGGAAGGTTTTGGAGATTAAGGAGATTGAGATGCCGAAGCAAAAACTTTTTGTTACGAAGGTTTGAATGGTGAGATTTGGGTGAGAATGGGGGTCGCCGTTAGATCTTCTTTGATGAAATAATCATAAATAGTAGGATATCAGAACCTTTCATGTATTTGCATTCTTATTAATTACATCAGAATGTCAAAATATTGATTTCATAATCAAGATCGAATAGAATAATATTAATAAATAAATGTAATTCCGGTTGAAATATGACTGACAGCTGGATATTATATATACTTAAATACTACTAGGAAAAACTTTACACTTTCCTTTTTCAATAATCAATCAGGTCCTACTGTACTTGGTGAAAGTGGAATAAGGGGCGAGGGAGATTGAAGCGACGCTCGTAACACATGATACAATATTCAATATAAACCAAACAATTCAAAATTATAAAACTCAACTTTCCATTTCATTCACTTTATTTATTTATTTATCTATTTTAAATCTTAATCTTATTTGATTTTTAAATCATTATTTCTTATTCCTATCACTCACTATCCTACTGCTATTGCTACTTCCAACCCAATCTTTCCTTCTATCCATCCATTCATATCGCCAATCACGCCCACATCCTCATCCTCACTCATCCCAATAGCGATATAAAGATATAAAAGCATATATTTCCCCTACAAGCTACAAGCAAGTAAAGTTACAAGCAAAGCTACATCATATTCTTTATCTTATTCCCATTCCTATCCTTCTCACTCACATCAAACCCAGACTCATCAAACCCAAACTCATCTATCTATCCAAATTCAACTCAATTCATCCCAATCCAGCCCAGCCCCAAAAAGCAACAACGAATTCAAATATCTTCAAGCCCTCAGAAAACAGAACAAAACAAAACAGCCAACCAAGAAAGTAAAAATGCAAAAAACGATGCAAAAAAGATGTATAAAAATCACAAACAAAAGAAGATTTATAAATGAGTAAGTAATAAGAATTTGACGACTTAAAAAAACAAAAGAAACGCTAAACCGCAGCAACAAATACAAGCTTTTCCTCCTTTACCTCATCTCCCATCTTCCACCAACATCTCTTTCAATAAATATCTTTACAAGAACATTGCTTCTAATCTCTCCATCAATGAGTCCAGGTTATTACATAACTTAGATGCTCTATCAAAAGCATTAGTTGAGATTAATTTTTCGCTTTCGATATCATGAACGATTAATTCGAATTGAGAAGATTTGTTAAGGGCAAGAGTAGAGAAATCGAAATCGAAGTTGAAGTTCGTTGATGGAGCTGAAGTAGTATCTTCTGCGAAAAGAGCGAATGCTGGATCGGCATCGAATTCTTCATCGACAGTTTCCTCAACAACAGCTGATGGTGCAAGTTCATGAACTAATTTCCTTTCAACAATTGGGAGTTCTACCTTTACGTCATCAAACTCTAATGGAGCAACGAGATCCGAAGACTTTCCTGAGAGAATTGAAGAATCGATGACGAGTTCTGGTAGAGAAAGAACAGAGTAAACTTGTGGTTGATAACCAAATCCATCGGCATTAATATCAAGCATAGCAAAATCCATAGCTTGTTCTGGAATCATGACCATACCAATGTGTTGCTGTTGTTGGATTTGTTGTTGAACAGCATATGGATTGACATCCTTTCTGACTTGTATTGGTTGTTCATGTTGAATGGGAGCTTGTTGAGGTGGAGGTGGTGCTTGTCGAGCAGCTGGGTTTGAAGATAAAGTATCGAGGAAACCAGAGAATGCAGGTGAGGAAAGAAGCATTCTCGTAAGATCTGATAGACGAGTATTTTCTTCCATCAATGCTCTATTTTGGGATTTCAAATCCATATTCTCATTAACCTTGACAGCAATTTCTCCTTCGAGTTGACTGATGTATTCTATCACATATTAGCATTCTATTCCATTTCAATCCTCATAATATGCTTACCCTTTCTTCTTGATCTGAATGCACGAGCTGAAACCTTATTTCTAAGCTGTCTTCTCTCCTTGCTACTCAGTTTCTTTCCTTCCTCACTAGCCAATAATCTTTCATCTTCATCCATATCTTCTTCTTCCTTTCGCATACGATGAACATGTGTTAGGTTTTGAGAATTTCCCTCATCACCATCAGTAACGACACTACCTTGTCTCATTGATTTAAGAAGTTGAGCAATCTTTTCTTCGACAATAGGATCGGTACCAGTATGTGCTCTGGAACGTTGTTGTTGAGGTTGTCTTTGTTGACCATTTGCAGCCATAGCATTTTGTCGCTGTTGTGCGATAATAGCTTGTTGTTGCTTCTGTTGTGCTTGAGCCTTTGCAAGAGCGGCTTGTTGTTGATGCATCCCGGGCCAAAGACGACCGACATGACTTGACTGTGGTGGTAAGACGTTACCGACTGGTAGATTTTGAGGACCAATATTGGTTGGGTCAACAAAATTTTGTTCTGGGTAAAAGAATGCTGGATCTTGATCCATTTCCACATCGGATGGATGAAATGGTGTACGAGATGGAGCCGATCCAAAATCCACAAATTCCTCACTTGGACTCATGGCGGAAAAGTATGATGTATCTTGAAAGTTATATCTATTGATATGGCCATTGTTTTCGTTAACTGCCAAAGTATTTGCGATGGCACCTTGTGGAATACCAGTTTGTTGTCTATAAAGATCGTATTGATGACTTGGACCGGAAAGAGCTGGTTGATCTGATGAAGGTAATGTAGTCGGTGTAGATACTACGGATGATCTTACAGATGTTGGTACAAATTGTGATTTTGATGAAGATGGCGAGAGAGACGGTGAGTGATATGATACAGTTTCATATTCGGTATAATCGATTAATTCGAGAGGATCTAAACAAGCAACTTGAGGTGTTGATGAGATTGATTCGGATTTCATGATTGCGATGGACGGTGAGGGCGGTTGTTGATGAATTGTTCTGTGGGATTGAACGATTGATTGTTTGGGTGTAGTTGATGACTCGATGATTTGATGATGCGATTGGATGATTGATTTATTCTTCGTATTGTTGTTGTTGTTGTTGTTGTTGTTGTTGTTGTTGATGGTATTGATGATAGGTATTGATGGTGTTGATCTTCTGCGTTCCTTTTGATTTGTTTCCTTATTTCCTTACTTTCCTTACTTCTTTCTTCCCTTTTTGAATTTCCCTCTACTTCTTGTTGATGAACGAATAAATAAATAAATAAATAAATAAATAAATCAAGTGAATAAATTCAAGATGGAGAGATTGTTTAGAAGTGGTCAAGTTAAATTGATGAAAAAGACGGAAGGGATGGTTAATTCCACACACTAGAAGGGGCTAAGATATTCTTTTTTGGCAGAGTAGCGTTTAGTTAGGCGTTTAAAGTGAGCAACGGAGGAATGTACGTAGTGAAGGGAAGTAGTGTATAATGGTGTATAGTCGTGTGTAGTCGTGTATAGTCGTGTATAGTCTTAAATGTGTCAAAATGTGTTAAAATGTGTTAAAATGTGACAAGTTGAAGCGGACAAAAGTGTTGCCTTGTTCTTTCTCTTGAATGTAACTGTAATGTCGGTCTTACCTGAGTATTAGATCGATCCCGTATTAGGTATCCATCCTTTTCGGGGAAGAGCCAAATACTGCGAGGGTGGCTTTGATCAGCGGGAATTCCAAAAGACGACGCGCGTTCATAAATGAAAGAAATCGATTTGTTTGGTTGGTTGGCTGGTTGGAAAAATAAAGAGAAATAAAGCCAACAAGATTCAAAAGTCCTGACTCCTCGGTGATCGGAGTATCGGAGTATCGGCTATTTTAGTAAATGTAACTCAATTTGGTATAAGATTGTACAATTATCATGTATTATTGATGAATTATTATTATTTGTGAAGATGGTTGTGAAGATGGTTGTGAAGATGATTGTGAAGATGATTGTGAAGATGATTGTGAAGATGGATGAATGGATGGATGGATTGAATGGCCTGTTGAGCTGAATACTCAAAAGTTAGGTAGCATGCAATTCAATGTCTCTATCGTGTTGATGGTTATATATATACATATATATATACTAGGTATTCAAGGGAATACCTCGTATCGTATCGTATCGTATCGTATCGTATCGTTTCGTTTCGTTTCGTTTGCATAGAGAGCATTTGTATTCGTTATCTGATGGCTCTTTCGTTTGTTATACAAAGTATAGAAGAATGAGCCTAGAGGTATAAATGTATGTGTATTTAAGTGAGTAGATGATATTAAGATATTGATAAGGAAAAGAAAGGGAAGCCCCTACTCGATCGAATCTACATCTACATGCAATGCAATGCACAAAGCACAGAGAGTTCCTTCTCACTCCTATCCATCCTTACTTTCTGCATGTTCCATCGACTGATACTTCCCAGCGTTTACTACCGCATGCTTCGTACTTGAAGATATACTATTTGACGTCACTTAATCGTTGATCATCATGTTCGACAACTTCTCCATTCTTGTCCTATTTATAAAATACGCATACCTCGTTCCCACGATACACCTGATGCATTACTTACCGCCCATCGGCACTTTCCTTCACCATACATAAAGCCTCCAGCCAATCCATCAAAATGATTCGAGGAATCAAATCACATCATTCAAAATTCATATCCAATATATATCCAATATCCAATATCCAATATCCATTATCCATTATCCGACCACAAACTCCGCAGTTTATCCCGACTTGTATCCGTTTGCACAGCCCGCGAAGCGCACCAATGCAGGAAAACCAGTTCCAAAGTTCAAAGCCACCTCTCGCATAATCCAAAGAAAAGCCACTCACATCACGGTAACAGCTTTCATTACGCTGACAAACGCGTGGCAAGTCAGGTTATCTCCTTGCGCCTGCGCCTGCTATTATACTAAATGTACGGGATTGTCTGATACCTTTCATTCCCATCGGATGAAAACCATGAATATTCAATGCGTCAAAATTCATGCGTTGGTGAAATGATGAGTTGATGAAATGAATATAGGGACTTCTAGATCAACCCGAGTCTTTAAAGTTCGGGCCCGAATCGAGATCACGAAAGCCATAATATAAGTCTTTCTTGAGGTTTGGTGAAGTGAGGTGAGATTTGAGATTTGAGATTTGAGATTTGAGATTTGAGATTTGAGATTTGATATTCCTTCTACACTGTTACTAGGTATTTACGTATTTACGTCAAACTCTCGGGTATAACCTCAACATTCGCCTCATGTAACAACTAACAACCTGAATCCACTCGAATCAATACAAACACGTGATCGCCGCCAATACAAACCACCAATACCAAATCCCGAAAAATGTACACCACAATACACCTGGGCATCCACCAGGGCATCCACCAGTGAACTTACAGAAGTCCTTCTAGATCGTTTCACTATCATTTCACAAATGCAAAAATGCAAAACTAGCTCAAGACCCGTCCACTTATCCACCTCTTCCACTTCTTCCACTTCTTCCACTTCTTCCACTTCTTCCACTTCTTCCACTTCTTTTAGCCCAGTCCAGTTCGATTGAGTTGAGGTCTTGAATCATGACAAAAGTCAAGATCAAACCATAAATTCATTCTAGAAACCTTGATGATTTCTGCTCACCCAATAATTCACATGTCCAGGAAAGATGAAGAACCTAAACTCCAAAGTGGGATAGACTTTCCAGAGATTTCTGCTCCGTAGATTCACTATATATGGTCCTTTATGAATATTTGAATAGTACTAATATTCCGACTATAATAATCTCATGATTTTATATCGAGTCAAAATAATCTCTATACATATCATATCATATCATATCATATATCATACAGTGTGGAGTTCAACACAAATCCCAGATATTAAATTCCGATCTTCATTTATTTATTAAAGTTTATTTATTTTACAAATATCTTCCAATCAATCAATCAATCAATCAATCAATCAATCAATCAATCAATCAATCAATCAATCTCCTTAATCGTCATCTCTGCGTCTGTCTGCTTGCATAACAATCTGAAATTTTAGCCAATTTTCAGACTTGTAGAGGTTTAAAAACTCTGATTACCTAGATATATACCTAGGTACTCCAGGATTTATTGGATGAGTTATTCATCTCTACATACCTAGGTATCTACTAGTTCGTTCTCGGTATCGTTAGTAAGACTTGACATTTTTACAGAGTATTTCCATCCTTCCTTCCTGATGCTTCCCCCATTACATGCATGTTTCACATCAACCAAGACCAAACGAAATCTCGTCTGAAGTTAATGAGGAAGAGCCCTATGAGGTATCCATCAGCAGATGATTTTGTCCCTCAACCCCTTAAACTGGGTTTAACCCACGCAATGGATTATGGCACGCATTCATCCTCCTAGTCTTCGATATCCCCACAAATTATTCCATGACCCGCTCAATGGAGATAGATCTCCATCTTATACTCTGTAGAGAAATTCCTAGTGTTATTCTCCTGGTACATACTTGCTTAAACTTGCTTCAAGTCGAGTCTTCAATGTCTGGCTATTATCACTCTCCTCATTTATAATATATCCCCATGTCACTTATTAGTATCTCGTATCTATAGTATGTAGTACTATGAAGCACAGCCGATACAATGAATGGTCTAGCCTCAACCTCAAACCTTTCATATGCATATGCATATTCTCTAGAATACGTAATGCCCTATACCCTATAGACAAAGAAAACCGATACACTTCATCACACATCCATCACATCTTTTCCCCACAAGCACGAGGAATTCCTTTCAGAAATAGAATTCGGGGCGTATATGATATCGTATTATTTTTCATTAGCACCAAATCATAGGCGCTGGTACACGAAGCCTACGTGCAAAGCCCCGAAAGAAGAAATGTCCCTCGAGCTTGACTCCCCTTGCTTCTTTCTTTATTCATCTCAATTCATTTCAACTTTTGAAATCATCCAATCCAATCCAGTCCAATCACCTCATCTCATATGCATGTCGATACTCCAATACTTACTCCATCTTTTCAAAACAATCCAATCCCAGTAGCGCAGAAGTAAGTTCGAGATCGGTCAAGGCAGATTCAGACTCATGATTCCGAGGCCGGACAAGGCAGACTCAGACTCAGACTCATGATTTCATTGCGCAGCGCAGTGCAGTGCAGTAGTACAGCGGTAAATCATATGTTTGTTTCATCATGTTTTAATAACGGAGTAAGAGGTAGGTAGGTAGATAGGTAAATAGGATGATTAATTATTTTAGGGCCGAAATCCTCAAAGACATTATGGTGTTGTCTATGAGGTGGAGTTTAATTCTTTCTATTCTTTCTATTCTTTCTATCTTTGAGTTTGCTGGTTAATTATCGCGGTGTCGATATATGATATATGAGTGTGATTCTTTTACGCAGCGCAGTTATTAGATTAATAGATGATGGTTTGAAGAGGAGAGGATTGGAGAGAATTAGGGTTTTTGTTGGGAGGGTTATACTAGGTTATGTGTATGGTAGTGGCAAACTCATAATCGATTTGATCTAACTATAGCTAAGGCTATGTTTATATATATGTTATACTATACTATACTATACTATATATATACTTGTTATTTTATAATATTATGATTATAAAACTTTAAAGATAATCTTATATTTATAAATAAAATGATTTGAAAGTCAAGTTTTAAACTTTTATTTTTATTTTTATTTATTTACTGTTTTTTAATCTTCATCTTTTGTTCAAATTTAACTTTCTTTTTAATAAATTTTTTAAATTTATCATCTTTGGTTTATTAAAGAGTTTTAATTAAATATTTATTTGATAATTGTATATTTATATAATAAATTAATAAATTGAAAAAATTATATATTTTAAATATATATATATTAAATATAAATAAGAATATTATAATATTTAAACTTAAATAATAATAATAAAATAATCTTAAAGTTTTAATATAATTATTTTATTGAATTTAAAGATTGAATAATTTTATATCAAAAAGATTTATTTCACTACTTATTATATATTTTTGGAAATTTAAAATTATATTAAAGTTTTTATATATTTATTCAAATACAACAAACCCCTGAGTTCTTAAACCCTCAAACCAAATCAACAATCCCGCACACATCAATGTCACGATTTACGATTAAGATAAAGATATATTGAGGGGTAGCAGTCAATATATCTATATGAGTTTAGGCTTTATCAAAAAACAAAGCGATTTGTATACAAATTTGTATAATAATTGTCTTATATGATCTCTTTATCTTTAGTAAGTTCGAATATATAATCTGATCTTAATTATATAATAAAGAACCCTGGAAGTTTCGAAAGCTCCTAAAGCTTTAGGAGCTTTTTGAAACTTTAAAGTTTTATAAAGTTTCTTTATATTCATTAATATATAATCAAAATAGTTTTATAATTTAAAAGTTTTGTATTCAATTTAGTTATCAATTAATTTATTTATATTCCAATTGATCTAATAATATATTCATCTTTGAATAGATAATTAATGATTATTAACCTTAACTTATAACTACCAATTATATAAAAACCTAAGACAATTGTTACTTCGATCAGATCGTTACATTTTGAATATTGTTACAATTAAACTATATACAATACAATAGCTTCCAATCAATAATTCATCGAATTGTCTTTATTTAATCTAATCAAAACCTCTATTCAGATTATTACTATTATAGAATATAAATAAACAATTCAAATATCTATCT